GCGTCAAAAACCTGAAAATTTACCTTTTTCAATTGTAAAGAATTATTATTAGATTCTAATATTTCGCGTAATTCTTTATCCTCTTTTTGAGCGGACTCTAGTGATTTATGATCAACTGTCTGAGTAATAATTTCTATTCGCGACAAGGCATCTGCGACATAGTTTTCCTGTCCTTTAATGTGACGTATGTCCGTTGTAAACTGTCCTATATAGTCAAGGTGGCGAAACTGTCGCGGTGAGCATTTATCGAGATTTTTATTGAAAGCAAATGTTAGAGGTTTGTGGTCAGTAAAAATAACAAAATTTCTACCTTCGACAGCATAGCTGAAACGTTTGACAGACGAATACATTGATAGAAGTTCGCGATCATACGCGCTATATTTTCTTTGCGCCGAGTTTAAATTTTTTGTATAAAACGCTAATGGTTCCCACGAGTTGTCTACAAATTGTTGTAAAACAGCTCCCATTGCATAATCGGACGCATCGACTGCGATACTTATCGGTGCGCCTGGCGCGGGATGGGCCAACATCGTGGCATTTGCCAACGCTGTTTTTGACGCGAGAAAAGCATTTTTTTCTTCAATTTCCCAGTTTATTTTGTCGCTCCCCTTTTTTGAACCTTTTAATAAATTATTAAGAGGTTGTATAATTTCGGCCGCCTTCGGTATGAAACGTCGATAAAAATTTATCATTCCTAAAAATCTTCTAACCTGCTTGACGTTTTCAGGTTGTGGAAAATTTTTAATTGCTTCGACGCGCTCGGTTAAAGGTTTTATTCCGTGAGAGTCTACAGTATAACCTAAGAAAGTAATTTCATTCACACCGAAAACACACTTCGCGGGATTAATTACAACGCCGTATTTATTCAACCTTTTAAACAAAATGTTCAGATGCTCGTAATGTTGCTCCTCATTTTCTGATGCTATTAAAAAATCGTCAATATAGGCAAAAACAAAATCTAAACCGCGAGTTATTTCGTCAACAAATCTTTGGCAAGTTTGAGCCGCATTACGCAATCCGAACATCATGTTTGTGGCTTCAAATAAGCCGAAAGGAGTAGTAATCGCGGTTTTTTTAATATCCTCAGGTGCAACCGGGATTTGATGATAAGCCCTAATTAAATCTAGTTTTGAAAATACCTTTTTGTTGTAAAGATGTTGTGAGAAGTCTTCAATATGTGGTGGAGAATACCTGTCGGGTACAGTTCGGGCATTGACACCTCGATAATCGCCACAAGGTCGTAAAGAACCGTCTTTTTTCGGAACCAAGTGTAACGGAGATGCCCAATCTGCGTCGGAAGGACGAAGAGTTCCCTGTTGTACCAATACGTCGAAATCAGATTTTGCCTTTTTTAAACGGTCGGGAGCTAATCGACGAGGTCGGCTGAAAACAGGTGGTCCAGGAGTTGTTTTGATGTGGTGTTGAACATTATGTTTCACTCTTTCTTTTCCGAAAACTGGTGGGCGAGTAATATCTGGGTATTTTGCGAGAAGGCGATGGTACCTCGAATTTTCACAAACTGTTTTAATTGTCGCGATTTCCACGTCTAGTAACCGTGCTTGAGTCGTAAAATTTGTAATAGAGTCAATTATACGCGTATTTCGAGGATCGACTAATAAACCGTAGTGAGATAGAAAATCTATCCCTATTATTGGCTTATTGATATCGGCTATTATAAATATCCACTTGAAACTACGTCGCAGTGCGAGATCGAGATCCAACGCGATGGTGCCGTACGTAGCGATATTTGTGCCATTTGCTGCAAAAAGTTCATATTTGTCCTTTTTCACATTTTCGCGCACTAATTTTCGAGGATATACGCACACATCAGCACCAGTGTCAACAAGAAAGGAAATTTTGGAACGTCGATCTGTAACAAAAATGCGGCGAGAATTTGAACCGTCGTTATGTGCCGCTTCTACGCACGGCTCAGCTCGTTTCCCGATTTCCATAAAGGACATTCCGGCCGACACTTGGTTGCTTTTTCTTTAAATCGCCAATGGTACCAGCAAACCCGAGCATCGTCCGAAGAACGGGCCGGCGCTGGCGTACCACTACGACTTTTCGATGCCCCATGTTTTCGACCGCGCGATTGAGAACGATTGCGGCCACTTGTCACTGCACTTATTTGAAGTTTTAACTGTTTTATTTCTTCACGTAAAACACTTAACTCCGAATCTTGCGAGATTGCCGCAACTCGATCAGTTCCTGACTTAACCTCATGCATACGATCTGCCATTTCGGTTAAAACTTGTGCCTTTGTTTCCGTGGAGGCAGCTAGAACTCGCTGAATACTCGCGGGCAATCTTGAACGCCAGATTGCAAGAATCACTTCATCTGTGATTGACGGAAGAGCTAATTTTTTAAAGTCGCGGAAAAATTGCGAGGGCGTTCGGTCGCCCATCTCTTCACTTTCCATTAATTTTCGCACTCGCGTACTGTCAGATTCCGTCAATCTTTTGGTTAACTCGCCCTTTAAAAAATCAAATTTTTCGGTCACAGGGGGGTTAAGAACAACATCTTCGATTTGCTCAATATACTGTTCGCCTATATGAGCAATCGTAATGTTGAACATCATATCGTCGTCGGTTATTTTTGCTGTCGTGAACTGCACTTCGAGCAATTTAAACCATAATTCAATTTTCTGCGGCCAAAATTGGGGTACGCGCAAACTGTGTTGAGTCACTACTCGTGCAGGTTCACCATTGGTGCCGTTGCCCGGTTGGTTTGGCATTTTGACAATCACCGAAGAATAACACAAAAAATAATCTTAATTTCAATAAAACACTGTATCACTTCACCTCACCGACTCTAAAGAAAATCACGTCGGGGTCACCAATTTGAGGGGAAGTAAATAAATGAGTGCTCGAATTTGTATTAAACTAAAATAAAGTCTTTTATTAAATTGAAGGTTATCGTCGAGGCTTGGGTAATGCGCATACGCAAAAAGTATGTGTTTACAAATAGAAAACCCAAGCCGTACTGATTTTTCCAAGGGTAGCAAAAACCCTGGAAGGTACAAAAACAATTTTGATTCTGGTGGGAGGCGGTGAGATGTTTTTCGAAAAGAATGTAAACGATTTTTACATAGGTAACTGTTTACCTAGATGAGGTAAATTGTCGTCCGGGCGATAATCCGGGTACCGCAATTTTGTATACGTACGGTACCTCTGACGCGCCGTAATAAAACTATAACTCTAATCTTAAAAACATCTGCCAAAGAGTAATAAAAGTGAAAGCGTTTTTGGGAAAACTAAATTACAATATTTTCTTAAAATAAATATTTGAAAATCTTAGAAAACAACATTTCACTACGCCACAGTATATATTTATTTCCGGGTTCAAGAGACTTTGAAACATCCATTAGCTTATTTGCAAAAGTTTTTCGCATACACATTGAATAATGATGCAATAAATGTCAATATATATATATGTTTGAAAAAGATTTATTGAAATAAAGAAAAAAACACGACTATTTCATTTGTTCGAATATATAATTTCGTTTGTATAAATTTTAAAATAATTTAATATATATTTCCAGGAAACAATATATTTATTCATTTATAAAACAAAAAGTAATGACAATTTTTATAATCCTGTAAAAAAAAAAAGTTAATATTCATTTTTTTTCTTCATCTTTTTGCATTTCCGGTTAATATTATATTGTAAATAAAATTTTTTTACATAATCAATTTTATGTAGTTTTATTTTTCATTGAAAATAATAATTATATTTAAAAAATAATTCTTTGATTATAATAACGAAATAATAATAATTTTAGAAAATTCTATATATTTTTTATAATTTTAATATCACAGAATATTATAAATATAAACTAATTGATTGAGGGAAAATTATAATTATTTTTATTTTCAATTTAGTATTTATAATAATGTTATTTATAATTAAAATAAATAATGATAGAATTAAAAATTAATAATTAGCGACACTTTTGAGAGAAAATAAATTTATTATCGCCGTTATTGCATTTTATTAAATTAATTTTACAATATATAAATAAATTTTAATTGTAATTCGTTATAAGCTATTTATCACCAATTGCACGTGTCATATCTGAAAATTATTAGACGGAAATTAATTTTAATATATATTTCACTGATCCGGATATTATGTAAAAAGTTTTGTTTTATGAAATTCTTTTATTGATGACGCGTAATAAATGGACCTTGAATTTTTAATATTAAAATAAAAAAAAAATATATACCTCAACTAGGTCAGTTGAGTTTTTTTTTTAAAAAAATTCAATATTTATTTATAATATTATATAATAATAATAAATTTTTTTTTTAATTTTAGTAATAATTTATTCCTGTAAGGAAGGAACAATAGATTACATAAATTATGAATTATAGTATTAATGATTAATTCCATTTAAAATTAAAAAGAATTATTATTTGATTTGCAAGAAATATTATTTTTTCCCTATTAAAATTAAAATAGTTTATATTATGAAAATTATATAATTATAGAATATATGAAGGAATAGTAATAATGTTTGCCACAAACACTTGGTAATTAATAATAATCACAAGGGAAATCGTGCGTGGGTGCTGAAGTGGATGTTCATATTTTAAAAAAAAAAATTTTTTTAGTTCTATTAAAAGAGGATCTTAAAAGAAAAATTATTTTTCACTGTTTAATATTCATTACGTCAAATCATACATTAAAAAAATGTCAAAACACCTTTTCAATTAATTAAATTTAAAAAAAAAAAAAAAACAGACAAGTCATTTTAAAAGAATAACATATTTGATTGACGTAATTTTGATAAAATACTATTATCATTACTTTTTAACATTAATTATTTGATTTGTTTAAAAAAATAATTCTATTAATTTCAAATTTAATAAATTCAAGAATATATAAAAAAAAACCATTAAAAATTAATTAGAAATATCTAACTGGATGATCAGAATTCGAGGCAAAAAAAATTTTGTTCCTTTTTTTTTTAAAAAAAAGAATTTTTTTTTTGTGTCTAGAAAAGAAGTCTGAGATGGAAGAGATAGAGGACTATATCAGAATGAAAGCATTTACATTTTCGACATTCACGATGCCCAGCACCTTGTTCAATGTCAAGATGAGTGCAACCAAAAACGGTTCCAGGAACAAAAATTCCAGCTGAGTCATTCTTGTGTGTGTGTGAGTCGATAAACCTGGAAGTGCAGATCCGCATATTATTCAAAGGTATATTTTTAAATTTCATTTTAATATATCTTTATTAAAAATTTATTTATTTTCTTCTATAGGAAATTTTTTTTGAAATTTATCATGAATAGTAAAAAACAAAACATAAAAATAGTAAAATATCAAAATGAAATTATAATAAATTATATAGTGACTGAAAAAAAATTTTTTTTGTTCATTTATCAGAAATGAACTTTATTTTACTTAGAATTTTCCAAAGAAATCAAATTATGGTACCTTAACAAGTGTGTGAAGTACTCGACCTTTACTTGACATTTCAGACTTATGGTATATAACTGAAGTAAAACTAAATTTAATACAATGGAAAATTTTTTTTTGAAAAAAATTTTCCATATTTGTAATTACACATTCGGTGTATATTAATTTCTTATATAAGTTGCGGTAAATTATATATATTTTATATATTTACTTGCGAGACATCTGATTTTATATCCATGTTTTAAGTAGATCTCGAAAGTTTCTAGTTTCATAGATTACAAGATGGATTTTTTTTCGTTACGCTTGAAAACTCATATATATATATATATACACAAGTCTTCATAGTTGAAAGATCTCATTGATATTTACAGTATTACTAAATTTATAATAGATTTTTTCTAATTAATGACTATTGTTCAAAATTAAATTAAAATTACATTTGGAAACTTGTTTTTTGATTTTTAAAAATTGTTAAAAAAAAAAAACAATCGATGTAAATGATTTTCTATTTCAGATAAAACACATGAGCGACAATTTTGGAATAACAGAATTTTTTTTCAGATTTTTTTTTACAGCAGTAAACATTGTCAAATTTTGATACTGTTTTCGCAATTCTTACAGTCTTGAACTATTTTCTGTCGCAGTTATTTTTTTTTTATATATTATTATAACTATTCTCCCGAGACTGTAATGTCTATTATTGTAAGATACCATCATCGACTGTAATAACTGCCATAGGTTATCTCACACTACCATCGAATTTAGCTACCGTCAATTGTATAACTTACCTCACTGATTATAATATATAGGAAAATATTGTGGACAATTTAGAATTGAATTCAAATAAATATGATTTTTTTGAACGTTTCAGAATATTCTCTTATATGATTGTGCGAGATTAATATCAAATATTCTGGAAAAGTCAGGGAATTAAAAAAATTTAATCAAATAGTAACTCTGGAAAAATTATTTTAAAAATTAATTTTCAATTAAAAATTATTTTTAAAATTAAGACAAAAAAATAATTAATAATTATAGACTTTAGGAAAAAAAAAAGTTTTTTCCTCCCCAATAATTACTTGTTCCAACAAAAACTTTTCCAAAAAATAATTATTATAGAATAAATTTTATTGTGGGAGATTAATATAAAATATTCTGGAAAAGTTAGGGAATTAAAAAAATTTAATCAAATAGTAACTCTGGAAAAATTATTTTAAAAATTATTTTAAAAATTATGAAAAAAAATTAATTTTTAATTAAAAATTATGAAAAAAAATTAATTTTTATTTAAAAATTAAGAAAAAAAATAATTAATAATTATAGACTTTAGGAAAAAAAAAATTTTTTTTCCCTCCCCAATAATTATTTGTTCCAACAAAAACTTTTCCAAAAAATAATTATTATAGAATAAATTTTATTGTGGGAGATTAATATAAAATATTCTGGAAAAGTTAGGGAATTAAAAAAATTTAATCAAATAGTAACTCTGGAAAAATTATTTTAAAAATTATGAAAAAAAATTAATTTTTAATTAAAAATTATGAAAAAAAAATTAATTTTTATTTAAAAATTAAGAAAAAAAATAATTAATAATTATAGACTTTAGGAAAAAAAAAATTTTTTTTCCTCTTTAATAATTACTTGTTCTAACAAAAACTTTTCCAAAAAATAATTATTATAGAAAAAAATTTATTTATGTAAAACTTTATGTCCGGTTAAAATTAGTAAATTATTAATTAAATTTTTTGAAAATGATAAAATTCACAGGAGTTTAGTTAAAAAAAAAAAATAAATAATATTACAATTTGGATTTAATATAAAAAATTTAATTTAGAAATACATTGAAAGTTTTGTCCATTGAGATTTTAAATTAAAAAATTTTAAAAGTAATTTAATTTTCGAATAATTTATTTTAAATTTTACCATTTGATTTAGATATATATCTAATTACAAGGATGTTAAATAATTTTAATTCGATAAAAATTTTTTAAAATAATTACCATTTTTTTGTTTTTTTTTTTAAAGAATTTTAATGCAAATTTTTTGAGTACTTAAATTTTCGATGAATTTTAATGTAAATAATTAAATCTATTTAAAATAACGATTTTCTGATTAAAAAAAAAAAATTTTTGATTCAAATAAATATTTATTTGACAATAGTCAAGTAACCGATTATTTGAATCAAATAAATTTTGTTTATTTCGATTTTTATTTTCGAATGTCAATATACGTTTGGGAAAAGTTTTTGTTGGAAAATTTATTTTTGGGAAAAGTAGAAAAAAAAATTTTATTTTTGCTTCTCTATTTAATTTAATTATAAAAGAATAGTTCTTGGCTTATTGTAAACTAACTAGTTCAAAGTCAATTGTAATTCTAAATTGTAATTCTAAATTAGCCTTAAGAACGGTATTAATTATTTTATTATTCTACTATTTTACTATTATATTTTAATTTTTGAGTTTTGTAATTAAGAGGGCAATTAATATGTAAAAATCCAAAGAGATGTACATGGAGAGAAATAATATAAAGATGGTTCTGTGAAATATATTACAGAAAACAAGAAAAAATTGTAATCAAAAAAAAATTAATTTAGAACAATTAATTGAATTTATTTAAATATTTTCAGAAAATATTACACGATGGTCAAATTTCGATATAGTCGAAAAAGGGAAAAAAAAAAAAAATTCGACGAAATGGAGAACACCTGATGTACGGAGATTGGAGAAATCCCATTGATATCGAAGGCATCCACAAATGGATTGTACAAACTGGTAAGTGTATTTATTTTCTCGTTTGCCTGATCAATTGCCCCCACGATATCAATAGTAATTGTGGAGGTGTCAGTTGATAGTTTAAATCGACCTTGAGTCCTAATTGAAAGGACAATGGTCCTATTGGGCAATAAATAAATATATATATATTTATCTGTGCCGCAGACGCGAATCTAGGCGACGTTGTGCGGGGCGATTATGAAGCGGTGGCGGCGCGGCACGTTTGCAGGAATGAAACAAATAGGCCGGCGACTTTCACCGCGCCGCGGTGCTCAGCTTCACTTTGCACCGCACCGCACTTGGCCCAACAACAACTTTGTGGAGCTCAACTCTGAGATAGTAATGCCTCTCTTTTCAGGTGGGGGATCTTGCTCGCCAGACACGAGACATACCTGAGAAGCGGACGTGTGAATTCTTTTTCCTGAAGTTGACCCGCGTACACGTGATTAATCTCTCTCTCTCTCTCTCTTTCTCTCTGTCTCAATTTTTTTTTCTCGCTGTGGAGATTTTTATGTGATTATTATTTTAAATAATTTTAATTTCAAAAAAGAAGAAAGGACAACAAAAAAAGAGAGAAAGAGACAGAACAATGAATCGTTGATGATGATGATGATGATGATGATGATGATGAACATCAAACTCCCGAGAAGCTGTGAGATCTAATGTGCAATGTTCGGAAACCTGCGGGTGCGAAATTGTGACAATGGTACACCGGACGTCTCGTTTCACATTTCTGTTTTGTGTTGTGTGTGCTCTCTGGATATCCTTCGTCGTAGGTGTTGGTGAGTAATTTTTAATCAATTTAGCGAAAATAATTTATGATTGATCAACGATTGAAAATAATTTTTTTTTTCATGAAGAAATTAATAAAATTGTTGAGAAAAAAAAACGATCCTAATAATTTGTAGAAAAATACTTTTTTTTTTTCTTCTAAATCGTTGATGATAAATATCGATATAATTGTAAAAACGGTCCAAAGAGAAAATTATAATAATTTGTAGAAAAATTTCTTTTTTTTCTTCTTCTATATCGTTGAGGATAAATATAATTTATTTTCGATTTTTTGTTGAAATAGAGAATTTAGAAAAGTAAAACGATAAATGAATATTTAAATTCAAAAAAATTATTTTTAAAAATTGAAACATTAAATTTTTTTGTATTAAATATGCGATAATTGGTGAAATGTAAAAAAAAACAGAGTTGTGTAAAAATAGAACAATTATGTATACGAAATGACTAACTATAATTTTCTGCTTTCAAATAAATTGTTTTTGTAAATATAAAGAAGACAACTGAGAATTTATGAACTCGCGATACAAAATGAAATGCAGTATATAAACATTATAACTTGAATTTATCATTTGACGCTTTCAAATATTTGAAATAATTCTTCGAGAAAATGATGCTGCTTTAAGTTTCTAAATTGAAGGACAACATGTACCATTAGGTTTTTATGTATATGGCAAAAAAAAGAAAAAAATTATATAGGTAGTACTGCGAAATAGGAATATAATGTTTTTTGGAGATAGATTTATAGTTTACGGCGATAAAATAAAATTTTTAATTAAAAAGCAAAATTTTCAAATTAAAATAGAAATTTTTAATTAATATCAAATTTTCTATTATAAAATAAAATTAAAAAATTTATTAATCTCTCTCAAGTATATATATATATACAAGAATCATCAGGTCATTCTTGTTCGAAGAAGAGGCGAACATTTTGAAATCGCGATTTGTTGAACATGTTTGACGCCGAGGACGTTTTTATAAAGAATGTAACCATATAGTGAAATTAAAATTCAGGTACATGATATGAAATTGAAAGCGAAGTAAAACTCTTGTACCGTTAAAGTATTATTATTGATCAATAGGTATAATCCCGCATGGTGAAATCTGAGAATAGAGAGAGGAAAGATTTATTACATTGCATTCAATTGAACACCCGAAAGGGAGTTTTCTTTTTGAATGGATAATACTTCAATTTGTATTACATTATTTATGTCATATATGTATATATCTATATATATATACAATATAAATCTTGATGCAAAATTAAGTAAAATTTGATCTTTTGAAAAAATACAAAAAACCTCATTTGACAGTAAAAATAAAAATTATTATTATAATAAGTATTATAATTAATAAAAATAAAAAAAAGTTAATAATATATAATAATTTTATAATAGAACATTTAATTTAGTATAATTAATTTATTATACTATATGATGAGATCAATTTCATTCGAAATTAAATAAATTTAATAATTGTTTATTATTTAAAAATTTGAAATTTTAATAACAATAATAATTATTAAAATATAAAAAAATATTGAAAGATAATTTTATTTGAACAGTAAATGAAAAATTGATATAATTCTCCATATAAATAATTATATTTAATTCTTTTAAATGAGAAAAGATCAGAATTATAAAATTAAAATTTTTTTTTTAATCATTATAATATATTAATTGGATTATAATTTATTCTTGAATCTCTTTTATTCTAGATCACTTTTAAATCGATTTTTTTTTTATAATATTTAAAAGTAGTTTTATTTGGATATTTAATAACCCATGTAATAAATCAAAAATATTTTTATAGAGATTTTTGGGGTATAAAAAAAAATATACGTATAAATTAATTAGAATTTAACATATATGTAAATTTATTTATTGTTATGTTACGTGAACATTTTATATATATATATAAATATTGTGACTATTTTTAGATAAAATTTGTCTTTAAAAAAAATTCATTCTCATTAGCTTCAATATATTTCCCAATAATGGTTTATTATATTTTTTTGTTATTATTTATTATTATTATTATTATTATTATTATTATTATTTTTATTAACATTATTATTTTTATTATTAATAAAACAACAATCTTTTATTTTAATTTTTAAACTTTTAAATTCTTTATTTAGTTAATTATATTCTTTTATTTTTTTAATTTTTACAAAATTCATTAATTTCTTATTTTTTTGTTGATTTAAGAAATAATATGGAAATAGTTATAATCTTATTTAAATGTTACACAACAACGTTCTAATTTTTCAAGTTTATAAAAACACAGTGTTTGTGTGTGTGTTTTCCTTTTTTGCTTTTCGCTATTTGGCAACTGACTAAAAAAAAAAATTCCTGTATTTTTAATTAGTTTAAAAACCAGTGACCTTTATAATTAAAAAATTTGGCAACTTCCATTGACACTGACCAACCCACGCTTGAACCGGTATATTTCGGATACTTTTTTCTGACCTTCATCCAAGGTACTTGACTTTTATGAACTCAAAACTATTTGGCCATTAACATTTTTTTTTTTTTTTTTTTTTTAAATATATTTCGATTATATGGAAATTTTTTGCAATTATACACGTAATATTATGTCGTTTTTTTGTGCATAAAAACTATCTAAGTGAATTATCGTTTAAAATGTCGTAAGACGAATAATGTTTTATTATTATTATTGTCATCATTGTTATTATTTTTATTTTTATTAATATTTTTATTATTATTTTTATTAATACTTTTATTAATATTTTTATTCTTATTTTTATTGATATTTTTATTATTATTATTATTATTATTATTATTATTATTATTATTATTATTGAAAACTGTATTTAAAGTTAATAAATAATTTAATCCAAACAAAAATTAATTATTAATTTAAAAAAAAAATTTAGAAAATTTGTGTTTTTTACATAATATAATTTTGGTTTACGGTATTTTTTTTTTTCTAAGAAATTTTCTCTCACACTTAAAAATGCACAAAAGTCCAGTTTCTTTCGTTTATGAACAATTTACACGTATTTCTGTCATTGAATATCGACTTCTTTTGGCTGATTTCTTATTTAAAATCAACACACGTGGAACGTGGATTATCTGCAAAGAATTTGACATAATTTACAATTATATATTTCATATTTATATTAAATAAAAAAAAATTTTTTTTTTTTTAATTTACAAATTTTAATAATTTTAAATTCAATTTTTATATTGAAAATTAAATTTACAATTTAATAATAATAATAATTTCGTTGGGGATATATTTACTTTTTCTAATATTTTATTATTGATTATTATTTAATAAGAATATATAATTTTTTTTTTTTTTTTTTTTTTTTCTAATAACGTGTGTGGGAATAGAAGAGGAATCGTAATAAGAAATGAATGTAACGTATACGATTTTTTAATATAGTGAAATTAGGAGCGTTGCACCTCGCGCACAGTAACAACTTAACGACGTAACGCGACAATTATAAAATATTCTCACTCTCAACAAAGTGTTCTTTCGACTTAATGTCAGAAGTAATTACTAGTAACGTAGCAATGTTTGTAATTACGTGTCTATCTTACATTTGCACCTAAGATTATCCATCTTCTCATTAACAAAAGTTGAAGGTTGAACGTTGTATATAGTCTCTAATTTACATCATTTTATAAAATCTGAGAAAGTATCTCTTGCCTAAAATCATGATAAGAAATTTTTTTTGTTTTTTTCGCTTTCCACTTTTTTGAAGAAATAAAAATTGAAATTAATAGACAAATTTTTATCTCGCGAAGAATCTTGGAAAAATCTTCTTTTTTTATGGGAAATTAAAATAATTTTATTTATTTTAAAAGGGAAGAATTTTTTTTTTTTATTAATTTTTTACTCTATTAAATAATTAAGTAATTCTTTATTTAGTTTCAAAAATGATAAAATATGTAAAATATAATCTTAATAAAAATAACTATTTATATAATAATAGTAATTATTATTATTATTATTATTTATCAATTTAAAATAAAGGGAAAAAAAATTTTTATTTTGAAATCAAATAATTTAAATTTCAAAAATAAATTTAGAAAAAAAATTCTTTTGGAAGAATTCAAATTGAATTGCCAATGAAAATAATAGGACAATAATTATGTTTCATATAACAATTTTTGTTATTAAAAAATTCAAAAAAAAATTCCAAATAAACCCCGCGTTTAATAATATAAAAACTGCATTTTTTAATTTTTGCCTTCTTTTTTTTTTTAGGAAAGTTAATTTCTAAATAAGTAATAAATTTATAAAATTATTATTGAGTTGAGTAACATTACATGAAAGGAGCAACCAAGGATTCCTCACCTTAGTCACGTATTAATTTACTCTCCAAGTAGTATATAGGCATTGCGAGATATAGCTTTGAATAAATTTTTTTTTTTTTTTTATTTCCTGCCTTTGAAGATGCGCTGCAATATAATATGATGACACAAGGGAGGATTTCTGTTGCTCTTACCCAACTTTTTACAATATTTCTAGGAGAATGCGGGTTTTTTTTTCTTTTTTTTTTATTATTCTCATTATATTCATCTCTTTTTCTCTCTTGTGGTTTTTTTTTTTTTTTTTTTATTGCAAAATCTTGTGTCTCGTGTCAATGTACGACTCTTTATAGTATATGTATATATATATTATTGTTTTAAACATTTCCCACAGAATAGACATTATAATATAATAAAACACACGGCTACTGTGAATCGCGTGTATGTCAAGTCTCCGAGTATATAAAGAAGAAATGATAAAAATTTGTTAACATAAAAATAATTGAATTTTAAAAATTAATATGTTTTTGATTTTTATATTATATAAAATAAATTTATTCAAATTTTTATTTATTTCTAAAATTTTAATTTTCAAAATTTTTTTTTGGATAAATAAAAAAAATTGTTTTATCAAAAAAAAGAAGCTTATTTTGAATAATAAAAATAATTTTGATTTTTTTTTTTTCAATAAATATCAAAAAATGATAAGGAAAGATTTAGTTTTTTTTTTCTTTTTTTAGATTTAGTTTTGTATTTTTATAACAAATGGAAATTTAAATAAATTATTTATATTTCAATATAAGAAAGAAAAAAAAATTTGCTTGTTCGATTTATGTGTATAATCATTTGTAATATATACTATATAGATGAAAGATTTTCTTAATTGAATCAATACATTCAATGAAGTCTTCAATTATTTCTAAACATCTCATTCATTTAATTAAAATCCAAAGAAACGATAAATGATCTCATTCAATTGAAAAATTCTTACAGTTAATTTATAGTGTTTTCAATTTAGAATTCATCTTGTCAAGAATCTTTCTTTCTCTCTTTCATGCATTCCAATTTACATAAACAGATTCCAACTAATTGTAAATTATAACTGAAAAAAAAAATGATGATAATGTTTTAATGTGAAATTTTCAAATTTAATTTTAATAAAATAATTATTATTCCCAATTATATTAATTGATGAGGAAAAATTCTTTTTTTTTTTTTTAAATATAAACATTTTTTATTTTACTAATTTATTTTTATAAAAATTAAATTAATTAATTAATTTAATTAAATTCATATTTAATTTATTATATCTTTTTTTTAAAAATATATTTTAATTTAATTTTTTGTTTCAGGAGCTCAACGCGCCTTCACAGACAAGCAAAGATACGACGGATGGTATAACAATTTGGCACATCCCGATTGGGGTTCAGCTGGCAAGTATAATTTATTTTATTTGAAAAAAATTTTTTTTTTTTTTGTTTTTAAATAGAAAATAATATAACAAAATAAAATCGATGGAAAATTGTAAAAATAACAAATTTTTCTCATAAAAAAAAAATTTTTTTTATTAAAGAAAAATATTAGTGAGAAAAAAAAACCGGTAAATTCTTATAAATTTTTTTTTCCATTTTTTTTTTATTTATGAGATATAATATATCAAATATGTAACTTCTGTGCTTTTAAATGTAAAATGAATATTATAAAGAATTATATATTGAGTTACAAATATCTGATCGCGACAGAATATTAATTTATTAGCTAATTGATTATGTATATTTATTCATTAATAATGCGAAAAAAAAAAACAGTAATTAATGACGCATCCCTCTGTAGATAGCAGGCTGATACGAAAAGTGCCGGCTTCTTATACAGATGGAGTTTATATGATGGCAGGCCAAGATCGGCCTTCGCCTCGGAAACTCAGCGATCTCTTTATGCAGGGCGATGACGGACTTCCGTCTGTAAAAAATAGAACAGCACTGTTTGCTTTTTTCGGTAAATAAATCATATAATTATAGAAAATATTCATATATATGTATAATTATTACAAAATTCATAGTTAAATTTTTGTGTCATTCGACAAATTTTAATATTCTGGCAAATTCAATTAAATTTTTTTTTTAAATTCTTTTAGTAGTCAACTAACAATTTATAAATAAAAAATATATTTCACATGAGATCAACAAAAAAAAATGTTTTTACGGCAAATTAAGACAAATTTATATTTAAAAAAAAAAATTAAATATAGAGTTAAACAAATTTGATATCGAGTGAATGAAATTCGAATTTTAATTATACGTAGTTTAACTGAAGAAATGTATTAATTGATGTGGATTTACAGTGAAAAAAAAAGGAAAAATTGTCGAATGACCTTGAAATATGGAATATTACTCTGGTACCCTTGTGGCTTACTTCGTATTTATAATGTTCTTTTTCTCAAATTTTTTTTTTTTTTGCCCCCTCTGTTTTAAAGTGAACCGCGCGCACACTTTTTTTTTTCTTCTTCTTCTTGTGGTTAACGGTTTGAGTTAAATGGATTTTTTAGGGCAACTGGTCACATCCGAGATAATCATGGCCAGCGAAAGCGGCTGTCCAATAGAATTCCATCGGATCGATGTCGAAAAGTGCGATCCAGTTTTCGACAAAGATTGCCAAGGCAATAAATACATTCCTTTTCTTCGGGCTGATTACGATCGAAGTACTGGACAAAGCCCCAATAATCCCCGTGAACAGGTAAAAGAATTAATTCAATTTTTTTTTAATTCCAAAAAATTTATTTTCCCAATTAAAAATTTTGCACAAAAAATTCTCTTTCATTTTTAATTTATATTTAAAGAAATTAATTTAGTAAATTATTTTTTTAATTTTTAAAAATATTCACTAAAATCAGTCTCTCAATGATTTTTAAATTTTTGCAAATAAGATTTTTTTTTGAAAAAAAATTTATATAGTATTTTTCTTGAATTGGTTTTCTAAAAAATTGTTGAATAAATAAAATAAATAATAATGCCTTCGCTGAGAAATAAATATAATGAATTGTCGATTAGATAGCATTACAGTTTTTTTTTTACTTGTAAATCTCTCGACTGATGAAAGGAATATAAGAAATGAAACGTCTTTTAATCCTGACAACAATCGATTCGATTCATGTCTTTGATAATTTTTTTTTCTGTTCATCATGTCACCGAATGATTCGTTCTTTTTGATTTAAAGACAAAAATAAAATGCGAAAACTGTTGTCGTAATTGTTAATATTTTAATTAATATTATTAATTATCGAAATATTTTTTTGCGTTTTTTCTATATGAGACTTTGAAATTAATTTAATATTTCTTTATTGGATTAAAATAATTAATTTTTTTTTTTTATTTTAAAAAATGTTTCTCATAATTTTATTTAAATTACAATGTCAATTTTAAATTTTTATAACAATAGACACATTGAAGATGAAATATTTTAAAAAGACGTAAAAACTTGTTTGCTCTATATTTTCTTTTTCCTTATTTCTGAAAAAAAAGCCCCGGATCCTTGAAAAACTGGAGTAAACAGAATCCATAAAATCTTATAGTTAAATGAATGGTCAAAGTAGAGAAAACAAGACACACAAGGTTATAATATTTATATAGAATTTAATTAATAATCTTTTTTTTTGAAAAACAATGCTAAAAAAAATTTCATTTACATTTTTTTAAAAATATTCCAAGAGAATATTTTTTCATTTCCTTTTTTAATTATTTATACAAAATAAATAAATCTATGAAAAATATTATGAATACTTTGAGAATATTTCGAATTTAAATTTGAAAATATTCCAAGTTATTTGAAATTAATATTAGGGAAAAATATATGTGAAAATAGCTGTAAGATCGTGAGGTTTCAGATAAATAAAGTGACAAGTTGGATTGATGGCAGTTTTATATATTCGAGCAGTGAAGCTTGGGCGAATACAATGAGATCATTTAAAAATGGAAGTTTTCTTATGGATGAAAAAAAACGATTTCCAGTTCGAAATACGATGAGAGCACCACTTTTTAATCATCCATCGCCAAATGTTGTTCGCATTGAAAGTCCCGAAAGATTGTATTGTGAGTTTTGATAAATTTTATTTCCTTTAAAATTTTTAATTTATATACCAAAAAAAAAAAAAAAATGTTGGGAAATTTTCTTTTTTTAGTGCTTGGTGATCCAAGATCAAATCAGCATCCTCCGTTGCTTGCTTTTGGAATTATTTGGTACCGTTGGCATAATGTTATTGCAACGAGAATTCAAAATCAACAGCCAAAATTATCTGATGATGAAATTTTTCAAAAAACACGTAGAATTGTCGTTGGAACTCTTCAGGTTATTAATTTAATTTTATTATTTTTTCAAGAAAAAGATTTGATTTTTTTTTTAAATATAGGAAGTTTTTGAGAATAAAAAAAGGAATAGAATTATTAGAATATTAAAAGTATTTATAGGCTTCATTTTAAAATTTTACTTCCTGCATTTTATTAAAAATATAATATCAACAACACATTTTAAGATCCCATTTAAGAAAAATTGAAAAAAAAAGCAGTAATTTGTAAGAATTACGAGGTGAAATAAAAGCAGCAAGTATCTCTTGACAGTTACGTGACTAATGACGCGAGAGAAATAAAACTTTATAGATCTGTTTCAATTAGTTTCAAGTTTACAATAACGCCTTGGCCTATCTCAGAAGATCCTCTTTGCATTTTTTTTTTTTTTTTTTTTTTTAATTTATCTTCATTTTTTTTTTTCTCTTCTCATTGTCTTATTGACAATATTTGCTTATATTCATATTATTTAAAGGATGAGGAAGAGAGGAAGGTATATAGAAAAATTAGAAAAAGAGAAGTTTACTATATAAGAAAATGGAGGTCATAAAAGTATGATTTGCGGTATAGGATAATGATCGATGTTAGTGTTTGTTGTCTATAACGAGAAAAATAAAGACTGAATCAGTAGTGACACAAATTTTTATTTATTTTCATATTTATTTATTTATATATTTTTTGCATTACAGAATATAATCATGTATGAATATTTGCCAATTCTTTTGGGTGAAAAATTACCACCGTACACGGGTTATAAACCAGATTTGCATCCAGGGATAAGTCATATTTTTCAAAGTGCTGCTTTTAGATTTGGTCACACCTTAATTCCACCTGGAATTTATCGTCGGGATTCAAAGTGCAATTACAAAGTGACTCAAACTGGACGACCTGCTGTTAGGCTTTGTGGTACTTGGTGGGATTCCACTGTGAGTAATTTTTTTCCTCATTTCAATGGTTTTATTTGAATTTTATTTTTACTTTTTATTTAGATAAAATCATTTAAAGTGTATTTTTAAATAAAAAACAAAATTTTTTTTTGGCTAAATAAAATAATAATTAAAACTAGAAAAATCTGATAAACAATGAATAATTTTTTGATGAATTTTACATTTTAATAAAAAGAAATTTAATGATAAAAATTAAATTCTTCAGCGTCAATGTTAATTATGTAATGTGAATTTTATAATTGTCCCTCAGTAACAAAAGCGCAAGTATGAAGTAAATTATGAAAAAAAAAAAGAATCGCATTACTTTCATTGAGATAATAAAATTCTTATATATACACGTATATAATACTATTCTTATAAATAAAAACGTGGGAGTAAATTCAGGTTCACGCACTTTCATAATGTGAAAAACCAGTTTAACAATATTATAAAAAATTATTATGGCTTCTTCATTATTATTTATCATCATTCTTATATGTATACTCATACATCTATTATCTTGATTTTCACAATTCTTTGCGAGAATTTACATTCGCTCGTCTATTTATTCCAAAAATTCTTCTTTTTTTCATTTTTATTTTTATTTTTTTTTTTTATTATTATTGTACAAGAAGAATGTACACAAAATGCTTAGATAAATGGGTCAAAGACAGAAGGAGTGTGTTGACTTATAATCTAGATGAATAATGAGTTCACTTTGGCGCACTTGAAAATTATAACAAAGCCTCATGAATAATAAAATAATCGTATAACCAATAGAGAGAAAAAAAAATCAACTTTTCATAATAATGAACTTTAAATTTTACTTTCATTCAAATCACTCCGAATGTTAAAAAAAAACATTTATTTAGAATTTTTTTTTACATTTTCTAAAAAATATTGTCTTATAGAAAATTTAATTTTCCTTTTTTTCCCTCTTCAGTTAATAATTTCATTGACTATTATTTTACGATTTTCTTTTTTCTTTCAAGTAAATTCAATTTTCATAATTATTTTTTGTTGATGACTTTTTTTTTACCTCCCCCCCAATAATTATTGTATTAAATTACACACGAGGAATTTATTCTCGACATTATTAATTATCTTCTATCTTCTTTTATATCCGTGAGTCTTTATACAGTAACTACACCTGTCACTCGTGTCTTTTGTAATTCAAATACAGGAATGGAATTGAATTTTCGATTGAAATTCAATTTTTTCTTTTTCTTCTTCTTTTTTTTTAAATTCCTATTGTAAATTATAATGACATTGTCAATAATTATATTTACTAAATCACTCATGACGTGATTTAGTATGTTTTTTTTTTTTTTTTTTTTAATGTGATTTTATAAACATTCATGGAAATTTTTTTAAGGCGTGAAAAATTTAAAGCATCATAAATCGTAGCCTGTATTAAATGTGCAATATTTATTTGATTAGAATTGCAAATTATTATTGTTGAACAATAAAAAATATATATATATATATAATTTTTCCAGTTATTATGAAATTATTTGAGAATATTATATTGAGAGAAAAAATATAAAATATTTTTATTTAATTTTTTTGAAAATGGATTAAAGATCTTTTAAATAAGGGGATATTAATTTGAAAGTTGTAAAATTATACAAAGAATTTTTGAAAGTAATTGAAATTATTATATATAAAAATTCCTTAGCGCTAATTTCGGTATTTTTCAGTGTTTATTAATTGCAATATTTTTTTTTTGTTGCAAAAAGTTGTGCAATAGAGAGTGAAAAAAAAATGGTTAATTTGCGTAAACTAGTGTTAGTCATAAGAATAGTTCTTTCTCTGCATTATTCCTTTCTATTGAGAGAGATAAATGCAAGTCATACGGTTTTTTTTTTCTCATCACAGTTATCCAATAAAATCAGAAATGTGAATTTCAACAGAAAATATAATATATATATATAATAAATACTCGAGAGATTTATTATTTTATTCACTTTTATTTATTTTTTTTTATTTATTTCAATTAATATTTTATTTGTTAATTTTTTTTTTACAAACAGAAATTTTTCAGAATTTTGTCTTTTTATTTGCAAATAATTGATTCTGATTATAATAATAATAAATAACTTTTTTCTTTCCTCTTTTTTTTTTAGGAATTTTATGTAAATAATACAATAGAAGAACTTATAATGGGAATGTCTTCGCAATTGGCAGAAAAAGAGGATAATGTTTTAAGTAACGATATTCGTAATAATCTTTTTGGTCCAATGGAATTCTCAAGAAGGGACTTGGGAGCCTTGAATATAATGAGAGGTCGCGATAACGGACTTCCGGATTATAATACAGCGAGAACATTTTTTAAATTGCCATTAAGAAAAACATGGAACGAAATAAATCCCGAATTATTTAATAAAAATCCCAGACTATTGAGAATATTAATGGAAAATCATGCGAATAATTTAAATAATATTGATATTTATGTTGGTGGAATGCTCGAATCAAAAAATGGACCCGGAGAACTTTTCGCTGCTGTTATTAAAGATCAATTTTTACGATTGCGTGACGCCGATCGTTTTTGGTTCGAAAATGAGGAAAATGGGTGAGTTTTTCTTTATGAAAATCATTTTTTTTAAATATATATAAAAAAAAAAACATTCCCCCCCCAAGCAAATTGATATAGATTTTAACAGTTCTCTTGCACAATTTCTAAAGGTCTTTGGTATTTAATTTTTCTAACACAATGCAAAAAAGAAAAGAAAAAAATGTCTTGACCTTCTCACGAAACATTTCTCGCAAAACTATTAACTTAAATCGTTTGTCATTTTATATAATTATTATTTAGAATTTTTTATTTTAATAATTTAAAAAAAAAAATTGCTAAAATAATATTTTTTTTGAATAAAATAATAAAGAAGGAAAAAAATAGCCGGAGAATTTTTTTTGTGATATGCAAATAATAGAAAGTGAATACTGTTTTTTTATTTTTAAAGTGTGAGGATGATAATTTTTAAACGATTGACATAATTTTTGTTTAGAATTTTCACTAAAAGTGAAATTGAGGACATTCGTCGTGTGAGTTTGTGGGACGTGATTACAAATACGACGAGCATTATTCCGGATGCAATACAACGAAACGTATTCATTTGGACTCAAAGGGATCCATGTCCACAGCCCTTTCAATTGAAGGCCTCGATGCTCGATGCCTGTGTGCCATTTAAACGTTACGACTACTTCGAGGTAAAATCATTTATAGATGATTTTTTACAATTTCTTTATTTTTTTTCTCTCTCTCTGTCTCTATTACATTTGAAAAAATTTCATCTTTTCTCTATTACTCTTCGTTGTTTTTCAATTTTTTTTTTTTTTTTTTTTATATATATGTTGTGATATTCTTCACTGCTTATGCAACGCAGGAAAATCATTTCACCTGAGCACCATGAGTTGTGAAAGCGGAAGCCAATTTTTATTAGAAACTCTAAACTTAATTCTCCATTTCACGAGAGCTCCATAAAAATGGAATCTTAATTATTATCAATATTGTACAATAGTAATTATTTGGATTTTTCATAATAATTAATAATACACGGAAATTAAAATAAATTTTTTCTAATAATAATGTTTATAATACGAAAAAAAAAACTGTTTTTTTTTTTTTTTTTTAATCAAAAGTCTATTTTATTCAGGTATTTCAAATATTTTGAATTTTGATCATTTTGGGAAATGAAAAAAAAAGAAAACTTTCAAAAATTTTCAAATTTTTTAAAAATATTCGAATTCTATTAAAAATGTTAACGCTTAATTGAAATTTCATTTTTTTTTTTTTACGAAATATCAAAGATCATATTTTTCTTTTCTATAATATCGATTCAAAAATATTCAGAAAAATATTTCAAATTCTCGATTCTTATCGGAATTTTAAAATATTCTAATTTCTGAAAAAGTCTAAAAATATAAATCCAAGGGAATTAGACTGAATTTAAAAATTTCTAATTATTTTTTTTTTATTCAATTGATTGTATTTATTTGAAAATTAGTTAATAAATAAAAAAAAATGTTCACAGGGAAGCGAAATAGTTTACATCAATTCGTGCATTGTATTGTCATTGGTACCAATAGTTGTTATTGCTGTAGCCTATGGTCTAGTCAAATGGCAAAATAAACGTCGGCGAAAATTGAAAATTCTTCAAGAAGTAATGCGTAAACAAAAGGATGGCGGTCGTCTTTATGTGGCTAAAATGATTGTACGCGAATGGATTCACGCGAATCATAGTCGTTTGGTGAAAGTGAAATTTGGACCGGAAGCTGCGTTACATATAGTTGACAGAAAAGGAGAGAATCTCAGGACCTTGGACTTCACCAATGTCAACACAATCAACATTGAGGAATCTCAGGTGTGTACAAAAAAAAAATTATTCTCCAATTCTTTTTTTTTATTTCCTTAATGGATATTAAAATAAATTAATAAAAAATTCAATTATTTAAATTAAAATTACATAATTTATTTCTCATTTTGAATAATTAAAATTAAATTGATAATTACAAAATTTTCTCTTTAATTGTCAAGTTTGTGAGAATAATGACAAAAAATGACAAATAGTTGTTAGGAAAAATGAACATTTTCCCGACAGGTATTGCGAGAATGTGAAAATCAGTATGGAAGCAAATTGTATATATATATATAGTTGTTGGTTTACGCGCGGGAAAGTGGCTCATCACTAAAAAGATCATTAATTATTTCAGGAAAGCGAAAGCGGTCATCGCAAGGCGCTGATTCTGTTGCGAATACCTCGTGATTACGACCTCGTCCTTGAACTGGATTCCCTGAGCTCGCGTAGAAAGTTCATTGCGAAATTGGAGACATTCCTATCTTCGTACAAGAAGCACTTCACGTTGACACAGACCAATCGAGATATTATGCTAGCCAAAGCGGAAACGAGGGAACGTCGTGAAAAGAAGCTCGAGCAGGTAAACTTCTTTCATTCTCATTTTTATTTAATGATTCGTTACTGATTTTTTTCTTTCGTTTATCAATTATTATTATTATTAAGGAAAGGGAACGGACTCATTTTCTTTTATTATCATTTAAAAATAAAATTTCAGTAATTTGAAATTAAATTTTGAAATATGTGATTTTTTTAAATTCTAGTTATTATTTTAAATTTAATTCAATTATTAATTTATTTAATTATATGTAATATTTTTCAATTGTTATGAATTATAAATTTTTGTAATTATGTGATTATTTATCACTGATTTTATTAATTATTCATTAAATGAAAGGGTTCATTAAATTGAGTTGATTAGAGAATATTAATTTGTGGATTAATTATTAACTCGTGGATTGGTTTCTTTTTTTTTTCACTGATCGCTGATCGTCCTACAAAAGAATTAATTCTAGTCGCGATCGTTTCGTAAGCGAGAGCCTATTATCGAGAGCTTGCCTACTCACCTGTCGTGCTCATAGTTAATGAAACAACTATTACTCAATGTGTCAAGCAATAGCAGCGCTTCTTCGTCCTTTTAAGTTCACTTTGACTTTATTTTGCAGATAACGTCGCTTATCATTTGTTTAGAGCGGAAAAATAATTCACACATTTTTTTTTAAAGCTAGAATCAGAAGCAATTTGTCAAAAAAAAAAAATTTATTTTTACATTTTTTTTTATTTGCAATTATTTGCAATTATTTGCAATTTTTCTGATTTTATTTGCAATTGATGGTAATTTTAATTGAAGAGAGAATTTTTTTAAACTTATAAATTAAAAGTGATTTTCATTTTTTGTTTTGTTGTCTCTTTAGTTTTTCCGCGAGGCATATGCTCTTACGTTTGGTCTTCGACCTGGTGAAAGACGTCGAAAATCTGAGGACAATGACAACGGAGAAATCGTCACAGTCATGAGAACTTCCCTTTCAAAAAGTGAATTTGCAAGCGCTCTTGGCATGAAACCCGATGCTATTTTTGTTAAAAAAATGTTTAGCATCGTTGACAAAGACAAAGATGGTCGAATTTCTTTTCAGGTAAAGAAAGAAGAAAAAAATTTCTTTTAAAAGAAAGTTTTATTCACTTGATTAAATATTCTCGATTTCTATTAATCCATTTTTTTTTATTAAAATAAATGAAATCAATTATTTATTTGAAAATGAATTTTTTTTTCAAGTAAATTAATTATTATTGTTAAATTAAATAGTAAAAGCGTAAATAATATAAATTGTTGAATAAAACAAAAAAAAAGTGAATTTTTCTCTCTGATAATTTGCAGGAATTCTTAGACACGGTTTTGCTTTTCTCAAGAGGCAAAACTGATGACAAGTTGCGTATTATTTTCGACATGTGCGACAAAGATAGTAACGGAGTCGTCGATAAGGAGGAATTCTCTGAAATGTTGAGGTCTTTGGTAGAAATCGCACGTACCACAAGTTTATCCGACGACCATGTCACTGAATTAATCGACGGAATGTTTCAAGTAAATTTCATATTTTTTTTTAAATTACACCGCATTTTAAAAAAAAAAAAAAATTCTAATACGATATCAAAATTTGCTAAGAAAAAATTTTCCAATTAAAATTTATTTAAAAATAAATTATTATTAAATAATTGAAATAAAAAAATTCTATTTTTCAATATTTATTATATGGCGATTATTTTTGTAACAGGATGCAGGTTTGGAGAGAAAGGACCACTTGACCTACAACGACTTTAAATTGATAATGAATGAATACAAAGGCGATTTTGTTGCAATTGGATTGGATTGTAAAGGTGCAAAGCAAAATTTTCTCGATACATCGAAAAATGTTGCACGAATGACAACATTTCAATTGGATCAATTTCCCCTTGATGCGACAAAATCATGGATTCAAAAACATTGGGATGCCGTTTCGACTTTCCTTGAGGAAAATCGACAAAATATTTTCTATCTCTTCATTTTTTATGTCATTACCATTGCATTGTTCGTCGAAAGATTTATACGTACGTTATACATTTTTTTTTTAATTATTTAAAATTACAATTAAAATTTGAAATTTTTACTATTTATTTATTTTGTGATATTTGGTGAATGAAATAAATAATAAAAATATTGAAATAGAATAATAATAAAATAAAAAATATAGAATTGAATTTAAAAAAAGTGAAACATGAAAATTTAATGAGCGATTGTTGAATTTTTTTAGATTATTCATTCATGACAGAGCACATGGACCTGAGGCACATAATGGGAGTTGGAATTGCAATAACGAGAGGATCAGCGGCAGCATTATCATTTTGTTACAGTCTCCTCTTGTTGACTGTATCGAGGAATCTTTTAACGAAACTTAAAGAATTTTCAATTCAACAATATATACCATTGGATTCGCATATTCAATTTCATAAAATTGCCGCTTGTACAGCACTTTTTTTCTCAGTTCTACATACTGTTGGGCATATTGTGAATTTTTATCACGTCTCAACTCAACCAATTGCTAATTTACAATGTCTAACGAGTGAAATTAATTTCGCCAGCGATGCTCGGCCTACAATTACTTACTGGCTCTTTCAAACAGTCACAGGTGCTAATTTTCAAACATTTTTTTTTTTTCAATATTTATTGAATTTCTTTCTCACTTTAGTAGTAAAAATTTTTAAGAAAATTTGCATTAAAAAAATGGGACTTTAGAAAAGATTGGATAATAAAGTACTTGGAAGTTAATTTAAAAGAAATAAATCGCATACCAACGTTGATTTGTCGCATTCTTGATAATTGAATAGATCGTGAGCAAGAAAAATTGCGTAACGATAATATCCAGTAAATCACCATAATGCGCTAAATCAATTAGTCATTAGGAAAAAAAAAAACCCCAAGAATGTTAAATTAACTTCCAAATTGAATTCAAACTCAATAAATAAAGAAAAGAAAAAAGATATGAAAAATTTAATATATTTCTGTTTTTTTCCTCTCTAGGTCTCACAGGAATTTTATTATTTGTCATTATGATAATTATTTTTGTATTTGCACATCCAAAAATTCGTCAAAAGGCATACAAATTTTTCTGGATGACTCACAGTCTTTATGTTGCACTTTATGCCTTGTGTATAATTCACGGACTCGCAAGATTAACCGGTGAGCCAAGATTCTGGATTTTCTTTATTGGACCCGCTATTGTTTATACATTGGACAAGGTGAATTTTTTTTTTTTAAAAGTAAATTGCGTTTTTTTTTTTTGTAATGAAATGAGAAAAATTCTTTTTTTTTTCTTTTTTTCAGGTTGTCAGTTTGAGAACAAAATGTATGGCTTTGGATATAATTGAAACGGAATTATTGCCATCGGATGTGTTGAAAATAAAATTTTATCGTCCACCAAATTTGAAATATTTGTCAGGACAATGGGTGAGATTGGCGTGCACGTCAATTAAATCGAATGAATTTCATTCAATTACCTTGACATCAGCGCCACATGAGAATTTTCTCTCATGTCATATTAAGGCCCAAGGACCATGGACATGGAAGCTGCGCAATTATTTTGATCCCTGTAATTATAATCCAGAGGCGGAACGGCCGAAAATTCGTATTGAGGGTCCATTTGGTGGTGGTAATCAGGATTGGTATAAATTTGAAGTTGCTGTTATGGTTGGCGGTGGTATTGGGGTCACTCCCTATGCATCAATGCTCAATGATCTTGTTTTTGGAACGTCCACCAATCGTTATTCGGGTGTCGCTTGCAAAAAGGTGAGATAATTTAAAAAATTTTTTTTTATTTTCACTTTTATCACAGATTTCAATAATTTTTGTTTTTTTTATTAATTTTATTATTATAGATTTTTAACTAAAATTCTTCACTAAATTAATTATTTTTTTTATAATTTTAATAAAATTCTTTTTGTTTATAATTTACAAAAAAAAAAAAATTAGCAAATAAAATTACGAAAAATTTTTAATTTAAAATCAATTATTTGCAAAAATTTCAATTATTTTTAATGATTTAATCTTTTGGAAATTCAATTATTTTTTAAAATTTAATTAATTTTTAAAAGTTTTTATAAAAAATAATTTTTGAAGACAAAATAGTTTTAACCGTGGCATTGATGGAATAAATTAATTTTCAGGTATACTTTTTGTGGATTTGTCCATCGCACAAGCACTTTGAATGGTTCATTGACGTTCTTAGGGACGTGGAACGGAAGGACGTGACTGACGTTCTTGAAGTTCATATATTTATTACTCAATTCTTCCATAAGTTCGATTTAAGAACTACTATGTTGGTAAGGACAAAAATTTTTTCAATATTTCATAATTTACGTTTTTTTATATTATTAAATTGTTTCATTTTTTAATTCTTCTTTTTTGTTTGTTTTTTCAAAAAAAATTTCTATTTATGTATTTAATTTCAGATACAATTTTCAACAAATCTTGTAATTTGTATTTTTTTGCCGTGTGTATGATAAATTCTTCAATGTATAGATTAAAATCAGAAAAATTTGTGAAAAAAGAAAAATAAGAGAGAGATTTCCTGTTTAGATTTGTAATTTGAGCTCTGAAAAAAGAATTTTTGTTTGAATTTTATTTTTTTTGCTATTTCTTGTCTTTTTTTTTTTTTAAAGCGAGTTGCGTTGTTCGCCATTTAAGGAAACTTATCTGCGAAGAATCCTGACAAGTACGAGCAAATGTCGCTCTTAACTCATAGTGCAATAAATTGTCCTCACTGCGATGTATGTGTGTGTGTGTGTTTAAAACAGAAGAATTATTTGACCGAGGCGGCAACTGTGTGCATAGAAGTTGCTCAGCCAGCTTATAAATCCAATCTCTAATTCTCTAATTGTCTATTTTCTGCTTTGCAGTATATTTGCGAGAATCATTTCCAGAGGCTGTCTAAGAAGAGCATATTCACTGGACTACGGGCGATTAATCACTTTGGTCGACCTGACATGACGTCCTTCTTGAAATTTGTGCAAAAGAAACATAGTTACGTGAGTAAACTTTTTTTTTTTTCTACCTCTAAGGGAGGTATTATTTTTTTTTTCAATTTTCTTCTTTGTCCTTTTCTTTCGAGATATTAAAAATAATTTTTTTCCGAAATAAATAAATAAATAATAATAAATTTAATATTTACATTGAAAATTTTGAAAAATATTTTAAAATTTCTTTGAATTTGTATTTTTTTTTTTTTGAGAGAGAGAGGAGATGATTCAATTTTTTTTCCGAATGGAATTTCTTAATCTTTATTCTGGAATTTACAAACAAGTTTATTTTCAATGATAAATTTTAGATTATTATATTATGATAATTGAGGCATTTTCTAAGATAAACGTATTTTATTTTAACTAAACACGTGTTTGTTATTTTTTTTTTTTTTTTTTTACTATAAAAGGGTCGATATTTTGAAACGTTTTTCTCTAATTTACATACAATTTGTCATTTACTTTTCATTTTAATTAACTTAGTTTAAAATACGCTCAGTTTTATTTTCAAATTTATTTAAAATAAATTTAATAATTTTTTGGATATATTTAGTTTTTAATTTTTTATGACTTAAAATTTTATTTTATTTTAAAATCAGTTTTACTGTTTATTTAAAATCAATAATAATTTTTCCTTTTTTTTTTTTTAATAACAGGTTAGTAAAATTGGAGTCTTCAGCTGTGGACCCCGACCATTAACAAAAAGTGTGATGTCCGCCTGTGATGAAGTCAATAAAGGACGACGATTACCTTATTTTATTCATCATTTTGAAAACTTTGGCTGAAACACTTGGATATTTAATAATAATAAAAAAAAAGAATCTTAGTTTATTTTTAAAATATATTTTATTTGTTTTTTAAAGTCTCGTTGAAAATTGTAAATATTCGTGAGAATGAGTGTGATTGAATTTTTCTTTTATTTATGATTTTTAAAGAAAACGAAAATATAAAATTACTTAAATATGTAATTATTATAAATAATAAATTTATATACATAGATATTTAATTGTTTGTGAGTTGTCAGAGAGAAAGAGAGAATTAGATTTTTTTTTCTTTTTTAACTCGAGCAAGAATGTGTATCATGAAAATAAATTCAACGCTTTATAAATTATTAAGAGATCATCAGCAATAAATCAAAGCATTTATCACATCAGAAATTTTGTATATTCATTTTTATTACTAGTTTGTCGAAAATTTCGCTGCTCTTACCCCTTTTAAATTGTTTTCTCTTTTTAAAATTTTAATTTTTTTTGTTAACTTCTTATTCTTTTGTACTTATGTACGAAAGGGCACTGCCCGTAAATACATGTAAATAAATAAATAATCAATTTTCTATAATTTTTTTTTTTCATAAAGATAAATAGTTTTGCTTCAGATTTTTAAATTAATTTTTTTCTTTATGGATAATAAGGAAAATTGGGTCGTTTTTTCATAAAATCTTTTTTTCTTTAAAAAAAAGACAAACAAAAAAAAAACACCTAATTGTATAATAATAATTATACTATGGCAAGTGTTTTATTTTTTTCTATTTACATTTGAAATTGGGTTTTTTTTTACAGATTTAAATTGGATAAATAAAGAACAATTTCTTTTTTCTTCTTCTTCTTCAATAACTTGTACTAACAAGTCGCCTTTGAGCAGAGGGAATTGAATAAGACCAATTATTATTTTTCGCTGGCTCTTCAGTGATATCGGAAGATTCATGTGATACATAGCCACGATTTATTACGCCTTCGGTGTCTTCTCGTTTTTCATGATTCAATTTTGTCGATAATTGACTAGAAAAAAAGGTTATCGAAACGATATTAAAATTCAAATTTTTTTTTTCTAATTTTCAATAATTATATTTTTTTTCGAATGCTTTAGATTCAATTAGGCTGATAAATAAATAAAAAAAAAAGAATGCAGAAAATAAATAAAATAATCAAAAAGAATAAATTGAAAAAAAATGCAAAGAAAGAAGGAGAAAAAGTATTCTTTTAAAAATAATGTGTCACAAAGAATTAAAATATTGACTATTGCGGTTTACAAAAGAGCTGTAAAACCACAACGGGTCATATAACCGCATAACCATATATATAAAATTTTTCACGACTATTCTCATTGTTGCCTGATACCATACTCGAGTTTCAAAATGGAATAAAGTAAATTAAATTTGTAATTTTATATCTATTTTGCAATTTTTTGAATAAATTAACAATAATTTTATTAAATGAAAATTATTTAATTAAAAAGAAAAATAATAGTTTGCATAAAAAGAAACCTGATTAAATAACAAATTTGAAATATTGAAAAATAAATAAATATTTTAAATAGAAAAAATATTCTCACCTGAGAAAACGATCGCCAAAGGAATCTTCTATTCTAGGCAATTTTCTTCTAATACTTCTAGTGTCAAAACTCTCTTCTATATTAACGTGTCTATTATAAGGAGTATCATAATCAACTTCAAGTATCGTTGAAAACTGATTTGGAAATATAAAGTCAATGGCGGTAAGTACAATTCCAGAGAAAAGACACGTTATACCTAAAAAAAAAAAACAGTTATATTCTCAAAAGAAAAAAATTTATCACTTCTTCTATTTTTAGTTTACAACTTTTTAAAAGACCCAAAAATAAATAATAAAATTAATAATTTATGTTCTCTAAATGTATAAATTATTGTATAATAAAAAGAACTTAATAGAGAGAATAGAAAAAAATTTTTGGAAAAAAAAAATTAAATAATTTGAAATGAGAAGAAAAAAGAATTATTACGTCAAAATTGATGCCACAGAAGAAAAATAGTATCATTGAAAGAGAATGTGAAACTTGATTCTGAGTAACAAGAAAGACATGGATGAACAGTGAAATTGTGAAAGTCTTTCCCATATTAAAAACGACTTCTCAGCTTCTGTACATATTGACCGGTACTTTAAATCAAAAGGGAAATCTCTTTCAACAATGACTTTTCATTTAAATCAAAAAAAAATTCATTACTTTTTAATATTTTCCAATTTTCACTCCATTTACAAATTTTTTTTTTAATAAAAAAAAAAATATTTTTCAAGACATATTAAAAATTAAAAAAATTTTAATATTAAATATATTTAAAAATTATTATTTTATTATATTCTACTAAACAATGGAAAGTATTTATCTATATATATAAATCTACATTAGGCCGAAGAATATAAATATATATAAGTTTCGCGTTTAAATTGAACATTATCTAATTTCTTTGATCTTTGTAAGAATTTTCAAACTTTTGAATATTTTTATTTGAATACAATATAAAGTAACTATTATCAAATGGAAGAATCGAATTATTTATACACAATTCTCTTTTTATCTTCCTCTAAAGAAATATATGTGAAAATATTTTATGAATTTATATATTTATAATTTGGATGTTGTAATAAATAGTTTTGACTTTTTTTTTTTCAATGAATGAAATGTGAAATAGAAATTCTGACACAATTACATAGATAATATTACGTGTTACAGTCTATAAAAATCTTTAAAAATGAATGTATATATGAAACGTTTGTAAATGTATAATACTTTTGAAAAAAAAAAAAATATATATATATCTATATGCTCCACTTATGTCAAACCCGCATTAAAACAGATTTTTATTTCTACTGTCTATAATTTCACTAGGTCATTATTTTTACAAATACTATTTATGATTATTGAAAAAAAGCATAAAAAATATGAATATTAATAAAATATTATTTAATTCTAACTTTTCTTTTTAAATAAAAAAATAAATAAATACTATTTATGATTATTGAAAAAAAGCATAAAAATATGAATATTAATAAAATAGTATTTAATTCTAACTTCTTTTTTTTTTTACTATTTTTAAATATTTTTCTATATATATTATAACATTTAAATATATTTTTAAGAAAAAATCAAATATTTAATTTAGTAAATTATTTTTTTTGCATAAAAAAAAAAAAATAAACGCAGTGCAGACAAAAAATTAAATATGTAAATTCTTTTGAAAATTAATTTATATTAAAATTTTTTTTTTTGAATTAACTCTCATTTATTAACAAACCATATCAAATATCTTACACGAGTGGAGCAATAATTTTCGTATAAATATAGATTACATATTTTACATTGCCTCGCTATCAAAAGATTAAGAGAAAGGGATCTCTCCCTCTCTACTTTGCAATTGCCCCCGGATATCTGCACCATTAAATTCGTCCTTGAATAATTTTATTCAATGTGAATTTAATTTTTATTCGCGTAATATACCAAAAATTAATTTATTTTTTTTTTGGGGTAATTGTATTTTTTCATCTATTTTATTAATTATTTTTTCTTGAAATTATTTTTTATAAAAATTTTACTTTTGTAATTTAATTTGTTAATAATAATAATAATAATAATAATAATAATAATAATAATATTGAATTCAATATTTTAATTAATTTTGGAAAAATTTGAAAATAAATTATAATACAAAAAAAAAAAAAAAAGGGAAACTCACCAGCAATAAGAACGAGCCAATAATTCCAACCGAAATTAAATATAAGAAATGATCCATCGACATGTGCTACCAATGGCTCGGATGGCAATAATTTCCAATAAATGAGATTTGTAAAGAGCAAACAACCGCCGGTGAAAATCATGCTGTATGCACCGTAACGGGGTACCACGATCAATAAAAGGTTCATCAACATCCACGATGCAAAACCCGTCCTTGAAAGATAGAAATAAAAATATTAATTTACATTACACAATTACATTATTCTTTGTTTATATTTATTGCTCGTTTTTTTTTTATTGTTATTTCACATTTATTAAATCTTAATGTTCCTTTTTTCAATTATAATATTTTTATAACCAATTACTATTTTATTTCTTAAAGTATTTTTATAAAAAGGAAATTTTTTTTTTTATCAAAAACTAAAAAAAAAGGATTTAATTCTAAAAAAAAAATTTCGAATAAAAAACAATTTTAAACCATTTAATAATTATTATTATTATTTAATAATAAATATAATATATAATAATAATATAATATAATATAATAATAATATAATATATAATAATAATAATTATAATATTATAATTATTCTTTAATAGTTATTATACTTATTTAATAATTATTATTATTATTTAATAGTTATTATTAAATTATAATTTGTAGAAAAATATCAATTTTCGCGGATGAATTAATAATTGATTAACGTTTATTTAGAATGTAATGCACGATCGCGACACCTGTTACTGTTACACACATGATATGATAATCAATTTTATGATCACATTGTTCAGTGATTTATAATAAATGACGCTCATATGTCTCACTGTTAAACAATTTTTTCTTTTTTTTTTTCCTTTTTTTTTGTTCACGTTGTTGTAAATCCTGTTGTATGATAAAATCAATTGCTTCTGTATAATTATAAGAACACACGTAATTCAGAATTTGCAATAATTAATTTTAAACGAAGCGTAAAGGTAATTATATTATTCATTGTAGAATAATATATAAATACATAATTCGTAAAATATAGCAGAGAAATTGTAAATATACAACAATATTATTTTCTGAGAAAGTATAACCGTCTGTTCAAAAAAAAAAAAAAAACTACTTTTGTATTTCGAGAGAAGGAGATTATTACACAATAAATATGCGCTTTATCGAAAATTGTCAATAATTACAGTGCGCAATAGATAATTATGAATTTTTTTTTTTTTTTTTAATTGTTATTTTTTTTTTTCTGTTCTTAATGAACACGTGTGTGTTTATCGCGAGTTTCACTCAAAAGTTTCACTAGAATAATTTTTGTTAATAATGTGACAGAAAGTCATAAACAATGTGTATTTTATGAGGTATGACTTTCCATTTAAGGTGGTACTCAAATTTCTCCATTTTTTTAAAATGCTTTTGCGTTTAAAATTTTTGAAATTGGAATTTAAATGGTACATTACATAATTTTTTTTACAAAGAACAATATTTTTTTTTTTTTTTTTTGATCCACCGAATTTTGTTTCAAAAGATTATTTTTTAAATACATATAGAATTTTTATGCTGAAAAAATATCCTTAGTTTCAAAATTCGTATTAAAAAAAAAATAACTTACCAAAGCATTATTGTAGCATAATATCCAGCCTCTCGATATTTGGTACCCCATGAGAATCCCTCTTGATAAAAACTAAAATATTCAACGAGTGAAACAATAGGAAATGGAGCACCACGAGCAAGTGCTTCTTTAAACATATTTCTCATCTCGTATGGTGTTCTCCATAAGAATCTTTCATTATATTCAACGTCAGCAACATCCATGTTCGTCGGTATATCTATCTCAAAAAAAAAAAAAAATGATTATTAAAAAATGTTAAAATACAAAAATGATTAAATTATTAAAATAAAAATAGTTCTAAATTTTATATTATGAAAAAATGTCTATTTTTTTAGGAACAAAAAAAAATATTACAATAACGAAATAAATAGTGAAGGATATTATATATTGGTTAATAAAGATAAGTAATAAATGATGAAAATTGACGATAATAAATTTAATAAAAAGGATTGACCTCAAGTAAAGGAGAATATATTAATAGTGTAATTGTCGCGGTGTTGTAATGTGAATCCGTCATTAGTAGAGTGTGAATATTCCTTACGCCTGTAAGTGATGTTGATGTGCATCAGACCAATGTACCCGCCGATTTCTGCGGTCATCCTTTGTTTCGTGAAGGCGCTGAAGGAGCCGATAATAGTGGCTGAGGTCGTATGCCACGACGAGCCATATTGTGCAACTGTAATGTTAAATCATTTACGCAATCATGGTCATTTACTTTATATATATATATATACATCATCCCGTATAAATACAACATAGAAATAATTTCTATTTCTACGAACCTTGAATCGAGGTCCCCACAAAGAGGCTCAACGTGACTGTCAGAAATGTTGATAATTTCTGTAAAATATCATTAAAAATTCTCATCTTATATTATTTAAATACAGGAACAAAAACATTTTTTTTTCTTTTTTTTCATTTCTCAATTATTTGTCATGTTAATTTTTCTTCTCATTTGTGTTTTTTTTTATCCAGTAATAATAATTGTAAATTTATAAAAAATTTTATTCTAAATAAATTTATTTTAATTAATAATTAGAAAAACTAATATTTTGTATGTAAATTTTTTTTATTAAAATATATTCAGACCTCGGATCGACTTAAAGGCACAAAAAAAAGTCGAATTATATTCAAAAAACTGGATTTTTTTTATTTTAACAAAAATATTTTACAGATTTTTAAATCAAAAATTTTTTTTTTTTACTTTTGGAATAGTTAAAGTTGAAATTTTTAGAAATAATTGAATTTTAAAGGATTTTGTTAATTTTCAGCACAATAATTAAATTTTACAGAAACTAAAAATAATTTTTTCAAATAATTTCAGATAACATTTTTTTTTAAATATGTTAATTGAATTGTCAAAGATTTACAAAATTAAGATTTTAAAAATTAATTGTACTTCAAGTGATTTTTTAATTAAAATTTTTTTTTATGATTTCACTAAAAAAATTTATTAGAAATTGCGAACGAAAATATAATAATTTGAAAAATGGTTTCAGATCGTTAAATTTTCAGAGAATATAAAAATAGTTAAAAATTATTTAATTTCCTTAGAGTTATAATTGAAATTGTTAAATTTCTAAAAATTTTCGATGGAAAATTTTAGAAATAATTAAATTTTAAAAGCTTTTTAATTCAAATTTTTGAAAATAATTGAAATTTTAGATAATAATTTAATTTTAATTGATTTCTGATTGAAAATTTTGATAAAAATTAATTTTGAATTGAAATTTTGGATAATTATTGAATTTTAATTGATTTTGAATTGAAATTTTGGGTAATAATTAAATTTTAGTTGATTTTTGATTGAAAATTTTGATAATAATTAAATTTTAGAAGCTTTTAAATTCAAATTTTTGAAAATAATTGAATTATAAATGAAATTTTGGATAATAATTTAATTTTAGTTGATTTTTGATTGAAAATTTTGATAATAATTAATTTTGAATTTAAATTTTGAATAATTATTGAATTTTAATTGATTTTGAATTTAAATTTTAGGTAATAATTGAATTTTTATTGATTTTAAATTGAAAATTGGATAATAATTGAATTTTAAAAGATTTTGAATTGAAAATTTTGAAAATAACTGTATTTTCTTTAATTTTGAATTAAAATTTTGGGTAATTATTGAATTTTAATTGATTTTGAATTGAAATTTTGGGTAATAATTAAATTTTAGTTGATTTTTGATTCAAAATTTTGATAATAAATAAATTTTAGAAGCTTTTAAATTCAAATTTTTGAAAATAATTGAATTATAATTGAAATTTTGGATAGTAATTCAATTGTAGTTGATTTTTGATTGAAAATTTTAATAATAATTAATTTTGAATTGTAATTTTGGATAATTATTGAATTTTAATTGATTTTGAATTGAAAATTTTAAAAATAATTGTATTTTCTTTAATTTTGAATTAAAATTTTGGGTAATAATTGAATTTTAGTTGATTTTGAAAATAATTGAATTTTATTTAATTTTGAATTGATTTATGATTTTGAATTAAAAATTTTTGGTAATTTTTTTTTGATATTTTTTTTAAAAATTATAAACAATTGTTAAATTTCATAAAAATTTTAATTGAAAAATAATTTGAAATAATTGAATTTGTGATGAATTTCATCAAAATTATTAAATATAATTAATTTAATGAAGAATTTTAGTTAAAAATTTGTTAAATAATTGAAAAAAAGAAAATATGAAGAAGATCTGCATTTTATACTAAAAAAATATATTTTATTTAAAATTTTTTTTTAAAAAATGTAAAAAAAAAATCGAAATAGTCGCATTTTATTAAAATACTTCGAAAAAAGTCGTATTTTTAAAAAAAAAGTCGAAAAAGTCGTATAATCCGAGGCCTGTTATATTGATTGCGAATTATACTGAATATTTTTTCTATGTATAAAATAAAATTCTATTTTTAAATATTAATATTATAAAACATGTTTTTTTTTTTTGCATTCGACTCGAGTAAATCGTAATATAATTATTCTCGCGTAATAAAGATTGAATAATATTTGTCAAATAATTGATGAAAGAAAACAAAGAGATAAATAAAATGAATTTCGTTTCAGTGAATCATTGCAATATAAAATATAATCTCTAGTGATGTATTGAAATCGAAAAAAAAAATTTCAACAAATGAAATAAAATTGAAATTTCAAAATATTAAATAATCCTATTAATTACAATAATTGAAAATTTAAAAATTTGTTAGAAAAATATTATATTTAGGATCCAATAAAATAATTACTATAAAAAAAAATTTATATCAAAAATAATATAATAAAATAATAAAAAAAAAAAGATTGTAACGAGGATTCATATAGAAGAAGAATAAATCCTCGAGTGTCAAAGAGACAAGAGAGCGTGGATAATCAGAAGGTCGTATATATATACATACATATATAGTTAATGGAAGTTCGTGACTCACCTCTTTACGAATACCAGGGAAAATAATGAGGAACGCAGTGAATATCGTGCAGAATATCACGAAGATTGTGATGAGTCGCACATCGCCAGTGACGGGTGTACGATTAGTGTAACTGTACAATGTTGGTCCTCCATCATTACGAAACGCTCCGAACCATCCCTTCATTTTTCAATCTAGACAAAAAAAAAAATTATACACATTATAAATAAATACAACATAAATATATCAATCCTCTTTATCTTCCCATTTACAAAATAATTATTCACCATTATGTCAGGACAATGTCCTTTATATTTAGAGTACTCAATTTTATTATACAATTTATTTTCATCAAAATCAATTATTTAAATAAATAATTTATTATTGAAATAAATTATTTTTCTTAATTGTTCAATTATTAAATTTTTTTTTTCATCAAATTTTTCTAGAAAACTGAATTTTTTTTTAGTTCATTCATTTTTTATAATAATGTAATCCAATTTTTTCTCTGGACCTTATTATAATTGTAACAGTATTTTTCTATAAGTATAAGAATTATATAATCCAATAAAATATATTTATGTAGAATATTTAAAAAAAAAAAATGGAAGAACATTAATTAGTGAAAATTATTCTCTGTAACATCATTAGAATGATGAAATTTTATACGAAGAGTACGAAAAATCTTTCAACATATCTAACGCACAGCCTCGAGGCAATGGACCAGAACCGGAAGATGTCTTTAAAAAATGTCGAAATTTCTTTTTTTCTAGAAAATATTCTACGCTTACTTGTGCCATTTTTTGTTCTAAAAAAACAAAAAAAAAAAAAAAATTTCAAAATATAATGATGAATTCCTTATTTATAAATAATGAATAATAATGATTTTTATTGATAATTGTAAAAAAAAAATTTTTTAATTTTTTTTCTTGTATTTAATAAACTCTAAAGACCCTGTGTCGTTTTGGTTTTAACCTTCACCATATCCCCGAGAATTCCTAATAACCTAGGTTTTACTGTATAATAATAAATTACGATATTATAATGCTAATACTATGCGCATATTATGATATAATCTCTTTTATCAAATGTGATCTAATCAATGTTATTAAACGATCAAAATTTTTTTATAGATATATCCGTCTGTGTTTGCAGAAGAAATATTACTAAAAAATAAAAAAAAAAATTAATTTTTGATTAAATAATTAAAAGTCTATAGAATTTTGTTAATTTACAAAAAAATTTATTATTTTTTTACCAAATGTGTAATTTATCTATTTATTATTACGAGTACTATTATTATTATTATTATTATTATTATTATTATTATTATTATTTCAGTTTTTTTTTTATTTATATTATATTATTTTTATAAAACAATAATGAGCTACTGAAAGAAAATAAAAGAGTTGCAATTAAAAAATAAGTGAAAAAAAAAAAAAAATGTTAACTAATTCTTGTTTAGAGAGATAATTAGGGAATCTTTTTGAGTGATTATGACTTAATTAATCATTAAAAATTTGCAACCTTGCCTTCCTAATAAAAATGCATGAACAACACCATTCCCAGAATCCCCTCCTCATTAATTTGTTTTTTCCCTCGACTCGTAAAATTGAGTCCTTGACAAAATGCCCTTGATTTCTAGGAGAATGTGAACTGGCCTTTCAAAAAAAAGACAACAATGAAGTTGTTCTGACAGTTTTTTTTTTTTTTTTTTTTTTTTTTTTTTTTTTAGCTCCAGTTATACTTATTCAGAAGCACGCACTTTTTAGTCGAAAAACTTTCAAGTCAAATATTTTTTTCACCTTTTTTTTTTTTTAAATATTTTAAATACTTTGTAAATTTTGCGAAATTCAAAATCAAAAAAAAAAAAAATCGTTCACTTTTATATATTATTATTATTATTTGATATTATGAATTATTAAGTTTATAAATATTAATATTAAAAAATTCTTTTTTCTTCTCCCTTAAACATTTGTTTTTTTTTTTTCAAAATGAAAGTTAAATATTTGCTGCAATTATTTGTGCACTGAAAAATTCACAAGCACTTGACAATAGTTGAACATTTTTTGTTTTGTTTTTTGTCTGAGAAAAACACGTCGACTGGCATGATTCACAATAATGAAAAATCATCATTCGCACAAACAGGACTTGTGATAAATAATTTATTCATGTTACATCCTCGACGAACTGAAATGGTCTGTGAAACATGAATATTGTAAATTGCACACCAACATACAAATATTCGATCTTCACTATCTCGATAAAGTATATATATATATATACATTGGGGAGTTCCCCTTTTTACTTCACAAACGCCATCAGGTAAAAGTCGAAGGAAAGGTCACTCGCACGGGGACCGTATCCGTGTACGTGTCATCGGTCAAGTAAATTTTTATTTAACAAAATTTTCATATACAGCTAAATTTTTATTTAAAAAAAAAAATTCTACTTAAATTTTTCATTAAGAAAAAATTTCCATTTTACCAAATTTTCATTTAACAAAATTTTAATTAAATACAATTTTTATTTTTAATAAAAATTCCATTTTTTCAAACTTTTATTGAGCCAAATTTTTTAATTTTCTCTATGGCCGAAAAAAACAATTATTTTGGCGAAAATAAAAAAATTAAGTGGAATAAATTTTTAATTTATTAATTATATATAATTTTACTAATGTAAATGATAAATATAATTTTATTGTCAAATGAAAATATTAATTAAGTAAAAATTTATTATTTCGACAAAAGAAAAATTTAATTAAATATTATTAATATGAAAATATTGCTTATGAAATGTATTTCTAATATAAATGAAATATTCCTAGTGGAATTAAAAAATTAAATTCTATTAATAAAATTTAAATAAATTATTAATATAGTTTGCGATATATTTAATTTATAGGTCCTTGTGGGGAAAAATTGGCCATCAAACTCCAAATTAAGTGGATTTTGATTCCACAATGATATAGAATATTTTTTTGAATATTCCAATAATTCCCTGCGATTTGGAGTTGTAAATTTTTCAAAATTATCTAACGATAATAATTAAGAAATATTTAAATTACTTTTTTGCCAATGAAACTAAATTACTATGATATAAATTTGAAGAAAATTATTTAAATAATAAATAAAAGAATATCTAATAAAGTAAAAAATTATTTCAAATATACAAATTTTTTTTAAAAATTAAAAAAATTATTTTGACTATAATTATTTATTACAGAAAAAAAGCGTTAATTCAACAATAAAAATGACATTACTTAAATCCTTTGGTAATTTAATAAAATTCCCAAAATTTATCATCTCGTTGTGGATGTTAATTGACTTATTTCACGTTTTAAATTAATAATCATTTGTGACGTCCACTTTTCTTTCTTTTTTTTTTTTTGAAAATGTGCACGTCGTTTAAATTGCACACGTGCACCTGACAATCACCGAAACACGAATACGAGAGCTACCAGGATCAGGCACAAAAGTAGCTCAAAGACTGAGCTCAAGTAGGTTAACAGGTTTCCAGTTGAAAGTGGCCTCTGTTGTTGGAAGGTGTAGAGTTCTTCTATACAGTGGGGGGCAATGGGCCTTAACAAGTGGTGAATAAGAGGAGGAGGGGGCAAACAACACATAACGAAGAGTTAAATCACGTTAATGAACGATGATTATTCCAAGGATCATGAAACTCCACGACTAGACAATTCAATTCACAAGTTCCTTTTCTCTTTCTGTCTCTCTCTCTTTCTCTCTCTATAAATAGGAAACAATAGTATTAAATAAAAAAAAAAAACAATAACAAATTGATCAATTTTTAATTAACAGAGAAAATTATATGCTTCATTGAGCCAATGACCTTATTTAAAATAGACAAATTCACTTAATGAAATTTTTTTTTCCCTTTCTTTATAAATTTGAATTTACTTCCTCGTTTAAAAAAAAAACTAAAACAAAAAAAATTAAATAAAATTGAGAAAATAAATTAAAACTATATTTAATAATAATAATAATAAATAAATAAAAATGATAATAATTAGTAATTATATTATTATTTATTATTATATATTTATAATCTATTTATAATTTATTTATTATTAATTTTAATTAATAAATAAATGAAATAAATTTTTTTATAATATTATAAAAATAATAATAATTATGAAAATAACTAAATTGATATAAATGAAAAATTATAGTATATTAAGCAAAAAAAAAAAAATGAAAATTACAGTTGAGGAAGTAAATCGTTTTTAGACTGTGTATTATTATTGATAGTAAAAGAAAAAAAAAAAAGAAATTAATGACATTTCCAGTCATTTACGCGAACTGGTGTGTAAGCATGTGGGCTTAAAGATCCATTTTCCATTTGTAAGAAATAATTCACGATTAAGTGCACACAGAAGACGAAATGTAACACTTGTCCATAGTTAAGAAAGCAGGAAGTCAGATTATAAAACCTATTCCTTAAGAGTTTTATTATTATAATAGTTTCAAGCAGTCAAGTTGCAGCATCTCTCTCTCTCTCTCTTTCTAAAAATTTTTACGTGAGAAAAACATTCAATTTTCTAAATATTAAATATAATTTTATTATTTTAATATAAAAAAAAAAATTATTTTATTACTTTCGTAAATTAAATTTTTAGTGTAATTTTTTTTAAATTTAGTCAAATTAAAATTTCAACCCTTGGGGGGAGGGGGGTCGAACATAAAATTATAATTTAATCTGACAACGGCTATTCGAAATTTAAAAAAAAAATTTTTTTTTTTTCTATGGGGGTTTTTTTTTTTAAGCGGGTTTCTTTTGAAGTATTACTGGCACATTTAGGGGGAAATTAAGGTGTGTATATATGAAAAGAGGAAGGGGGCTCTTTTTGAGGTAACAGCAATAACTTTTTGCTATTTTGAGAATTCTAATTTTGGTACGAGTGATGCCATACTTCAACTATAGCAAGCAGCAAGCGGCGCACCATCACGAGAATTATTCTAACCGAGAAAATCTTGTTGCGCAGTCGCCTAAGCACATTGGCCACCTAAACTACCGCCACTGCCTACCATCCCTCTTCAAGGTAAAACAAAATTTTTGCATGAATTTGCACATTTTTTTTTCTTTCAAAAGAAAAGACGAAAAAAAAAAAAAAATCCCCCCCCCCCTCCCCAAATATACTCCAATTCCCTTTTTTTTAAATCTATTCAAAAAAAAAAAAACTAAAGTGTAGAGTGAAGTTTAAATTTCTTTTTTTTATTTTCGAATTAATTTTTTTTACTTCCGGATTGCCAATAAAAAAAAAAAAAAAAAAAAAAAGTTGATTAGTGCTACAAAGTGAGTGAAAGAATAACTGGAGAATTTTTTGAAAATTCAAAAGTGAAAATTCGTCGAACCATAAAAGGTTTGTGGGTTATTTCCGCCTAAGTTTAAAAATACTCGGCAAACATCGATGATTAGGTGTTAAAATATTTTCTAGTATTTATCAATTTTTTTAATTTTTTTTTTTTTTATTTTGAAAAATAGATTTTTATTTTTTTTTTTTTTAATGAAAAATAGAAAAATGTGATATATTCTTTAACTATCAAAAAATTTTCAACGGTTTTTTTTTTTTTTTAATTCATATTAATTAAAATTATTTTTTGATATAAATTCGCATTATTAATAAATTATATACAACAATATATATTAATAATAACAATAATAAAAAAAAGTATAAACATTTATTTATAGAAAAAGAATTATTTCATCAAGAAGTTGATTTGTTTGAAAAAAAATTATTATAAATATTAATAATAGAGAGCAAATTTTTTGGAAAAGTAAAAAAAAAACAATTTCTTTCTATTATTTGAACAACCTAACAATTTGGCGAATTAAAAATATATTTTCTTTACTAGAATTTAATTATCAATTTTTGTAATACAGAAAGAATTTTTTTTTTTCTAAATAATTGAAATCGAATTTTTTTTTTGCCCCTTTAATTTTTTTAACAAAAATATTCTATAGATTTATAAAAAAAATAATTTTTTTCTTTTATTTTAATTTAAAATCTATTGTAATATAAAAAGAAAATCAAAATTAATTTTTTTTGAGGATGATACATTTTTATGTGGGTGCGGATTCTGGAGCAAATTAGAGGAATGACGATAATGCGATTTTCACGTAAATCTTTTAAACGACGCATGGGCCAAATCGGTTTTTATTAAGACACGATGAAAAGTGAATAAATATTTACTTTGCTTGAAATAATTCTTCCTCCTGGCTTTCTATATAGTACACAACATTTATATATGTATATATATTCGTCTTCTATTCGCTCTCTTGCACGTGCGAACACGCGCGTTCACTCATTTTTGTATTTCACGGAATAGTCTCAGATTTGTGAAAAACAGATTTACTCATCAAAATTAACTTTATGTTTTTACCAAAAATAAACAATCGTCAAGGAAAATTTTCATTTACTATCAATAATTTTTCATTATTATTACCTAATTATCGTAACTATAATTAAAATTTATTATTGTACAATAATAAATTATAATTATAAAAATAATAATTATAATTTATTATTTTACAATAATAAATTATAATATAATTATTTTTTTTTTTTTTTAAACACGTTTATTTATCTTTATTTGGATAATATTTTATAAATTAAACCTCAAATCAAAAACTTTAATTTACTCGAATTAAAAGTTGTTAATTAGATTAGATTTTTTCCAATTTTCAGAAATTATCACAAAGGGATTAAATAAAAAAAAGAAAATAAAAACTCACTGATCACTTAATTCCACGTGTCCGAGAAATGGCTACATTTTCCCCTCCTTTCTGTCCTTCGCGTTGTTATTTCGGCATGAACTAAAAAAATAAAAATAGTCAAAAAAAGCATTCAATTAATTATTTTCTAAAAAAAAAAAAACAAAAACGATTATTAATATTTATCGTCATTGCTATTTTTTATTACATTTGTATTAATATTAAAAATATAAAAAAGAGTTTCAACATAAATTTTTTTAAAATAATTAAGTAGGACAATAAAAACAATTATTAAAAAATGTTTTTATATATGCAAGTAATTGATTTTAATTAGGAAATATTTTTCCCGAGTAATGGTTGAATAAAAAAAAAAAAAAAATAATTGCTTTGATGTGCTTTCTAATCTAGAATATATAAATAAATCTTAGAGAACATACCACCCTATTTTCAAGGTCGACAAATGTAGAATTTGAATATAAAAAATTTAATTTTTTATTATCCCCTTTAATTTATATCGTCACAAATATTCTAAGTTTAAATTCAAGTTTTCTCACTCTCGACTTTTGCTTGACCTTTTTGGTTCACATTTATATCTTGTATAAACTTTTACTGTCGCGCTCACTTTCATACTAATTAATTTCATTTAAATTTGAAAAAAATATTTAAATAGCTAATAAAAAAAAATATTTGTTAATTTGTTTTGACATTATAAAAATAAAGAAAATGTAATACAAGAAATCTAATTTTGAAAAATATGTGAATCATTTAAACACGAGAGGAACGACGAAGAAAGAAATGTGAATAAAAAAAAAAACATAGATGAACTTGAGCAGAAAGTTATCATTTTGGTTTTTTTTTTTTTTTAACGCCTTGAAAATGAATGTATTTACTCATTTTTGACGAAGCCAAAAATACACATTTAGAAACTTGGTTCGAGGTGTCTTTATTTTTTTTATTTCATTTATGGATGAAAATAAATTCGCGCCTCCTCGCATGATAAGTTTAAATTCATTTTTATTATTAAAAGGGAATTTTTTTTTTTATGATTTTCAATCAAAAGATACAAGAGAATTTGTAATCATCGTGATTATATATTTATATAATTCCCGTAAATAAAAGAGGAAAGAAAATTTTTTTTTTTTTTTGAAATTTTTGAAATGCGCACATTTATGTGAGATTATATCCAAAATGCGTTTGAAAATTATCTAAAGAATTGGACGAAAATAGTTGCAGAAGCCACTATAATATAAATAGTATATGTACAACTCAATTTCGTATGCACTGACCACAATACTTGCTTCCTCTTCGTCCAAAGTGCAATTTCGTCTTGGCTTGACCTGCTTTCCAATTTCTCTCATCCACCTACATGACATTCTCACAATTAAATCTCCCTAGGGTGTGTACGATACTATTTATCTCAATCATTAATCATATTTTCATTAAATTATTTTATTTAATAATCATTTCACTTTCATCGTTCTCTTTCTATTCTCTCTTTTTTTTATTATTTAAAATAAATAAATTTTTTTCCTGATTAAATGGCCAAAAAACGATTTTATTCATGATAGAAAAAAAAAAAATTAATAAAGAAACAAATCCGGAACCAAAAGCTATGATAAAAATAGTTCAGACTCGAATGACGTATTAAGAGAGAAGGGAAATTTCCGTGGCTTATTTTTTTTGTCCATTTTCTTTTTTTTTTTTTTTTTGTTTTTTTACTTTATGAGAAGCGTTACGTGGGTTTAAATTTATTTCTTTATTCTTCCAACGAAGGAGTTCATTGACCAAGGCTCAAATGTAAAAGGCATTTGACCTCTAAAAAAAGTTTGTCAAATTTACAATTCAATTAGAAATTCTAATGAGATATTTTATTGCACCTGATATTTTATTGTATCTGAATGTCATATACCTAATTTTATTTATATAGAATAATTATTGAAAAAATAATTAATAAATTAGTTCATTTTTTGGATTATTTGAATAAATTAAATAATTATCAAAAAGAAAAAAAAAATTGGAATAAAAAACTTGTTAATATATACTAATTACCACACACACCTGGTTTATGTTCTGTTCTCGTTACTCATCCAAATTTGCCTCGTTCTTCTGCATAAGACTAAATAGAACACGCGGAAGGTCTGCCAAAATCTTGCCACTGACACAAAGTCTATCAAAAGTAACCGCCGTCAACTTTGGTTTTTGACCGTGACTCATTCCTATAAAAAAAAAGAGCATGTCAAAATTTTCAAATAAATTAATCATTATTACCGCCCCCCTTTGAATTAAATTATATTACTTTTCTCAATAAAATTTACTAATAACTGAATGGAATTGAAATTTTTATTCAAAAATTTTGAAATTCATTCTGGGAAAATAAAATCTCTTCGAAATTTTCGGATATATTTGGCTTGCCAAAAAATTATAAAATTAAAAGTGATGAGCAGTTATCAAAATACAATCTCACGTTTTTGAATGAAAGAATATAAATAGCAATTTTCAATCGCTTGATCACAAATTTCCATTCACAAAGAGAGAAAATACTTCCCCGACAATTTTTTTTTTTTTTTTTTATTAAAATTATAATATTTAAAAAAAAAATAATTAAAGATTCTTATGAATTAGACAAATTTTGATAAAATTGGTCTAAAAAATTTATTAATTAGCTTGAGATTAAAATCGCAATTTGTATTAAAAATTTGCAATTTTCATGACTTCAAGTCTTTAATTTAAATCTCAATATAATTAATATATAATTAATTTTAATTTGCAATTTTATATTCTAAATTATTATATGAATTTTATAGGTGTCCCTGTACATCAAAAGGAAAATGTCAGAGTCACAAGGTAAAGAATTTTATTTATTATTTAAAAAAAAGAGAAGTTAGAAAATTTAAAAATTTTAATATTTTTAATGAAAAAAAAAAAAAAAAAAAAAAAAAAAACTCTAAACGTAATTTATTTTCAGACGTTCAATCTACAGAAAGCAAAGAAAATAGTGACTCTGAATGTTCAAGACCAAGAAGCATTGTGGACGACAAAAAGGAATCTTCATTCGATGGATACGAAACACCAAAATCAGGTTTAATAACATTTATCTTAAAAAATTACTTTTTTTTTTAAAAAAAAAAAGAAAAAATATTTACCAAAACCGAATTTAATTAATTTTATTCAAAATTTTCTTTATTGAATTCCATTAAGAAAATCAACAGTTTTTAAGCAAATTGAACGCAAATGCCAAAAATAAACAACAATATATAGTTGCGCCGTCAGGTCTCGTCGGCTTTGGTAGAACGTCACATAAGACGAGTAACTTAAAATAAATCTCAAGAGAATCCCCGGTTTTAAATAAAACCGGGTTACCGACTCGCGTAACAAAACTCTCAGAAGAAAATATCGTCCTCCTATTTTTATAATATAATCCTTTATGTACGAAAAGTTTATTTTTGAATACAATTTTTCAAAAGAAAATTTTTTTTTTAAAACCTCCCTTTCTTGATTTATAACTAAAAATAAAAGTAAATTTTCAACTTTTAGTTACGAGAAAAAAAAAAAAAAAAAAGCCATGAACTTTACTTTCGTGAAGAAGAAATTTAACTCGTTAAAGAATGCAATCCAGCAACGTTCGCGTACTAGTAAAGAAATTCTTTCCCGTGGTCTTTTCAGAGTGCACAACGACGTCAAAGAGCGACGAACCGGAAAAGAATGTTGGCAACGTCGACACAAATTTAGCGAAGCCCCCAACGAACTTAACATCAGGGATGAACGATCAACAACATCAACAAATTCATTCCGGTGAGTGTAATTTACTGCCAGTACTTGTCGAACGTCTACGATCAGCATTGGAACTCTCCAGTCAAAGTAGCGAGGATCAATTACCAATCGAGGATTCATCAGGTGTTGACTCCGAGGAAGATCTTCGTAATTGGGCATTGGGCCTCAATAATTTCATCGATCAAAATGAAACAACAAATAATTTAAAATTGGATCTCAAATTTCTCGAGGATCTTCTTTTATCGGATATACAAACTGCTCTGGCTCGTCTCCAGGACACCTTGAAACGCGTCGACATTGGCGTACTCACCAAATACAATTCCACTCTTGATCCCACCAATAAACTTCATCTTTTGCGTCTTATTTCAAATCTTCTCGCTAAATTAAAAATTCCCGAGGACGCAATTAAGCCAGAAAATAAAGAAGAAAAATCTCTTATATCGCGAAGAAATCGTTCCGAAAGACATACAATTGGCGTCTCAAGTGAGGAACTTGCACAAGCTAGAAAATGGTTCGATGAACGAAATCCACAAGGTGAATTTGATTTTAAAAATCTAATTAAAAATGAAAAATTGGAAATTGAAGAAAAATTCCCAACCAATAAGAAAGTAATAGAAATTTCAAGTAAAATTATTGACAATGAAGATAAAAATAATTTAGAAAAACAATTCAATCAAGTACATGAAAAATATATGAAGGACGCTATTAATCAACAGCAGAGTTTACAAAATAAAAACAGAGAGCCAAAGGAGGATAATTTCGATAGAATTCTTGAGAACGATGATAGTTACAGTGATAATATTACAATTCCATTTTATCAACAACCAAGTGCGCCTAAATATAATAAATTTCTCGCCAAAAAATCCCGATTAAAAAGAGCCAATACAATAGATATTCCAAATTATTTAAAAATTCAATCAGATCAAAATGGATTGAGAAAACCCATTGATATTAGTGACAAAATACTTTCAAATGGTGGAAATGTTATTCCTTCATTTCAACCAAAAACCGAGAACGATCGTAAATTTCTTGCACTTATCAATAAAAATAATGATAACGTATCACCAATGACATCAGTTCCTTTCAAAAATTTTAATCATCGTCAAAATTCAATAGCCGATAAAAATTGGACAAATCGCTTTTCAAATATAAAAACTGCTTTTGATAAACAAAATAATCATGAAATAGATGAAAAAATTGATAACAAAAGAAAATCAATTGATAATAATGAATTTTCCCTTAAATTATCATATGGTCCAACAAAAAAATCCAATGGCTTTACACATGCGCCAACTTCGCCATTTCAAAAAATTGAAAAAATTTCCAAAATCGATCCACCTGCATTTCTAAAACCTGGATATAATCATAAAAATAATTTACAAGCTAAAGTCAAAATATTTGATCAAGAACAAAATTCAAAAACACCACCACCACCACCAAGAACAAAATTAATAAAAACAAATATTTTTCACGACGATATTAATAATGAAAATGGTCATATTAATTATCAAACATTTTGTAAACAATTTGCACCAAAAGGATCAAATCATTTAAATCAAACACGATCAAAATTTATCAATGACGATATCAAAATTATTACTAAAGAATCAATAAAAAAATTACCATTTGTCACACATGAGAATGGACCATTTCAAAAATCAAAACAAAAACTTTTGAAAATGCAACAAAATAATGAATCACAAAACTATTATCCAAAACAATATGAAATTTATCCTGTAAATGTTAATTCATCGATAGCAAATATTGGATATCGTTATGATCATCATTCAGAACAAAAGACACGAAATTCAAAAAATTTTGAAAAAATCAATGACAAACAAAAATGTGCTAAATTTTCCAATGAATCCGATCACAGTTCAATTGGTGTTCAAACTGGTGTCGATAATTATCAGGATAAAAATAGATTTTTAAATTTAGAAACAAGAAAAAAATCCAACAATGCCTCGGTACAAACATCAGAGCTTTGTAATATTAATAAAAATTTTGACTATCAAAATTCATTCGCAAATTGTGAAATAAAAAATAAATTTGAAGATTTTAAACCTTTAGCAACAGAACTTGATAATACAAATTCTTCAAAAATAACAAAAGAAAATTCACGAATTCCTCCCTATATTGGACTATTAGAAATTTCACGGCCTTATGAACAAACTGGTCCACCAGTTCCAGAGCGTTCTAATTACAATAATGTCCTTCTTAGAAATTATAAATCCGATCAAATTAGATCAAAAAGTTCCTATTATGACTACGAAGAAAATCCAACCTACGTCCCATCAATTTCAATTCGAAGAAATTCCCTCGACAAAAATGAATTTCCAAATTCTCAACATATACAAAATCAGGATATTAGTCCCAATGGTGTTGTAACAAGATATGCCTCAGCAATAGCAACCGTTGCCTCATTACCTGAATCCAAAAAAATCCCCCCGACAAATATTGACGAAATTCAAAGACACAATCAACTTCAACAAAATTTAAGTCAAAGAATAAAAGAGAACAAAAGTCCTCAAGAAATTCAAAAATCACAAGATATTTATCGAAATTCAAAAATTTATGAAAATAATTATCAAATTGAAAATCCTTCATTTCTCTATGGCAATAAAGCAACGCTACGTCATAATTCCGATACTGATACTAGACGAACACAGGAGAAAATAACAATGTTCGAAGAAATTAATCAGCCACCGGTGAAAAGGCATTTTAGACCTCTTAATGTACCACGAACTGATTTAAATCCACCAAAAATAAATATTGTCAATCCATCAAAAGTAATACAACCAAAATTCAAAAATGAACGCTCACCAATTTTAAGTAGCGTCAGTCCAATAGATTCAAGTGACGAATATCTTATGTCATGTGCAAATAAACCATCGAGAAATATTGTTCTAACAAAATCTGAATCATGGCATCAGCTTGCATTATCAAAAAATACACTTCAAGTACCACAACAATCAATTTCAATACTAAAACCACCAAAACCAAAATCACCATCATCATTGAAATTGACAAAACAATATGAAGCCTCATCATCATCTGATAATATTAAAAAAATGGAAGAAAAAATACAAAGATATTTTCATGGTAATATTACTTCAAATGAAGGGAAAAAAGAAAAAAAGAAAACAATGAGAAAAAATTCAAACGCCCTAATGAGAAGTCACACGATGCCACATATTTATGATGATAAAATTTTTGATGAAAGCACCGATGTTGAAAAGGCGTTTGATTCATTATTTAAAGAAACAACTTGTACTGACAATCGTTATTAAATGCGTGCGTGTGTGTATGTGTGCGATTCATTAATTATTCGCTCTCATCAAAAAATTGTAACAATTTTTCTTTAAAAAACTAAATTAGTGCCTCTAAAAAATTAACGAAAAAAAAACAAAAAAAAAAAAAACAAAACTACAGCGAACAAAAAAAATTGAGTCCGCGCTGAGTTTTAGATGCTGTGATAGCCGAAAGCCTATTTTTTATGTCGTGTCTGATGTGTGTTTCCAAAGCCATGGATGGACGTTATGTAAACTCAAGGCACAATCCAATAAATCAGTGAGTTTTTTTTTTCAAATCTCATTTCTTTGGGAATAATTATTATTCTTTCCTATTAGAAACTAAAACAAAGAAAAAATAAAATTAATTATTAACAGGGCTTTTAAGGATATTTTACTAATGGCATTTTTGAGAACCTATATATCCTTTAGAAATATATCCCTTTTTTTTCCCCCTCAAAAATTAATGAGAAATTTTCATTTAACCAAATATCTCTACAATAGAAAATCTAATTGTACAAAAAATTATGCCTAGAAATTCAGTTAAATAAAAATGTTCTTTTATAAAAATTTTACCCAAAAAAGAAATTCTAATAAAATTAAAACAGGCCTCGGATCGACTTAAAGGCACAAAAAAAAGTCGATTTATATTAAAAAAAAAAAGTCGAATTTTTTTATTTTAACAAAAATATTTTACAAATTTTTAAATCAAATTTTTTTTTTAAAATAATACTTTTGAAAATGGTTAAAGTTGAAATTTTAAGAAATAATTGAATTTTAAAAGATTTTGTTAATTTTCAGACAATAATTAAATTTTACAGAAACTAAAAATAATTTATCAAATAATTTTAGATAACATTTTTTAAATGTAATTAAATATTCAAAGATTTACAATTGAGATTTTTGAAATTAATTGAACTTGAAGTGATTTTTAATTAAAATTTTTTTGATGATTTCACTTAAAAAAATTTATTAGAAATTGCGGACAAAAATACAATAATTTGAAAACTATTTTTTATTGAAAATAGTTTCAGATAGTTGAATTTTCAAAAAGAATATTATTAAAATAATTTAATTTCCTTAGAGTTATAATTGAAATTGTTAAATTTCAAAAAAATATTTCAATGGAAAATGTTAGAAGCTTTTAAATTCAAATTTTTAAAAATAATTGATTTATAATTAAAATTTTGGATAATTCAATTTTAGTTGATTTCTGATTGAAAATTTTAATAATAATTAATTTTGAATTTAAATTTTGGATAATAATTGAATTTTAATTGAATTTGAATTTAAATTTTGGGTAATAATTGTATTTTATTTGATTTTGAATTGATTTATGATTTTGAATTAAAAATTTTTGGTAAAATAATTTAATTTCTTTAGATTTATAATTAAAATTGTTAAATTTTTAAAAAATTTTCGATGGACAATTTTAGAAGCTTTTAAAGTCAAATTTTTTGAAAATAATTGAATTATAATTAAAATTTTGGATAATAATTTAATTTTAGTTGATTTTTTATTGAAAATTTTGATAATAATTAAATTTTAGAAGCTTTTAAAATCAAATTTTTGAAAATAATTGAATTATAATTGAAATTTTAGATAATAATTCAATTTTAATTAATTTTGAATTGAAATTTTGGGTAATAATTTAATTTTATTTGATTTTAAATTGAAAATTTGGAAAATATTTGAATTTTAAAAGATTTTGAATTGAAAATTTTGAAAATAATTGAATTTTTTTTTTATTTTTAATTTAAATTTTGGGTAATAATTGAATTTTAGTTGATTTTGAATTGAAAATTTTGAAAATAATTAAATTTTAAAAGATTTTGAATTGATTTATGATTTTGAATTAAAAATTTTTGGTAAAATAATTTAATTTCTTTAGACTTATAATTAAAATTGTTAAATTTTTAAAAAATTTTCAATGGATAATTTTAGAAACTTTTAAAGTCAAATTTTTGAAAATAATTTAATTATAATTAAAATTTTGGTTAATAATTTAATTTTAGTGGATTTTTGATTGAAAATTTTGATAATAATTAAATTTTATATGCTTTTAAATTCAAATTTTTGAAAATAATTGAATTATAATTGAAACTTTAGATAATAATTCAATTTTAATTGATTTTGAATTGAAATTTTGGGTAATAATTTAATTTTATTTGATTTTAAATTGAAAATTTGGATAATATTTGAATTTTAAAAGATTTTGAAAATAATTGAATTTTTTTTATTTTAAATTTTATATTTTGGGTAATAATTTAATTTTAGTTGATTTTGAATTGAAAATTTTGAAAATAATTAAATTTTAAAAGATTTTGAATTGATTTATGATTTTGAATTAAAATTTTTTGCTAATTTTATTTGATATTTTTTTAAAATTATAAACAATTGTTAAATTTCATAAAAATTTTAATTAAAAAATAATTTGATATAATTGAATTTGTGATGAATTTCATTAAAATTATTAAATATAATTAATTTCATAAAGAATTTCAGTTAAAAATTTGTTAAATAATTGAAATAAAGAAAATATGAAGAAGATCTGCATTTTATATTAAAAAAAATATATATTTTATTTAAATTTTTTTTTAAAAAATGTAAAAAAAAGTCGAAAATAGTCAAAAAAGTCGTATAATCCGAGGCCTATTAAAAAGAAATTCTGTTATAGATAAAAATTCGGGTTTGTAAAAAAATTCTCATTAACTAATAATTCTGAAATTAAAAAAAATTAGTTACATGAAAATTTTTAATAGAAATTCTGTTAAATAAAAAATCCTTTCTTTTTTTTAGATATTTCACTTTCAGTTTAACTCCTTTTTTTTCCATAAAAATTTATTCCTATTTTTTAAAAGCTTATTTGCTCTTTATTTGGAAAAAAGGGGCTTTTTTAACCTATTTTTACCGAATACAAAAAAATTTTATTAACAATGCTGTAGAATTTAAAAAAGTTTAAATAAAAATCTCATTGAAGAATTTATATATACACACAGGGTGTCAGAATGTCACAAGCTCAAGGTTTTGAAGGAGGCGACTGCGAATTCAGAATTAAAATTCGAATAATACTTATAGTATGTATCTAATTTTAAATTCACAATTTGAATTTCAGCATTGAAATCTTTTTTAATTTATTAATTCTCAATATTAACTGAGTTTTTGTGAAAGTCTTTATTTCAAATTACTAAGATGTAGCGATTTAGACCTCTAAAAATATGAATAGTGACTAACAAAGAAATAACTGTGCACAAATATAATGAAAAACTAAAATTCAGACAACAATAATATAATCTAATGTAAAATTACATTCATAGCAATTTTAAAAATAATCACTTTTTTAAAAAAAAAAATTTATTTAAAAATAAATTTCTGTAGTTAAATATATATTTTTTTTTAATAAAAAATTCGTTTTTTTTATTTTTTGAAATATTTATTAAAAATTTCAAATAGAAATTTATTATTTAATTAATGATGAAAAAAAAATGTTTTTCAGAATTTTAAATTTATTAAATTAAATTTCGATTCTGTTTCATTTAATGAAATGCTTCAAATAATTTATCTCGTCATTGTCAAAAATAGCGTGAATCAGGTCAACAAGTAATTTCACACAAACGCAGTTCCCATTTTGAAAATTGTCTACATTTTCCCAAGGACGCAATACCAATCTTGTCCTTCCATTAACTTCGAAATTTACTTTTACATCTGCTCGGGAGATGATTGAATCAGAATGACTCATTAAAAAAAAAAAAGAAAAAAAAAATGATTCCCATCCGAAAAGAAAATTGGATAAAAATTTCCTTTTTATTTTTAAATAAATGTCTTTATTGTGTAACTTTTTTTTTCTATTTTAAATTAATAAACCCATCTTCGAAACACGCACCACACGCAACAGACCAGACATAAAAGTGTATATAAAAGAAAAAAACCAAACAAATCTAAATTTTTTTTTAAAGTTTCTCCTTTTTTCATTTATTATTTTAGGAAGTCAGAATTTTTCTCCAATTTTTTTATTTACCGCAAATAAATATGAAAAATCATTTAAAATAAAATAAATAAATTTAAAAATTGAATTTAAATAAAAAAAAATGTTAATTTGTTGTCACATTTGTTTTGTTTTGCCAAGACCTTTTTTAATATTAATTTTGATAGATTAGATTTTCGTTTTTTTTTTAAAGTAACTATTAAACGCGATTCCTTGCCATATGAAAGTTTAGTGCTTAATAAAACTACCATTTTAGTTTAACGATAAGAAATTAATCGAGCGTGTCTAATTGGTGCATGCGGACCCAGAGTTTTTTTTTCATCATCAATAAACTAAATTAATATTTTCATTAAAATGAATTACAAAAAAAATTCAATTATTTTTCAGTACCAAAGAAGCCCATGTCACCTTTTGCGAAATTTCGCCAATTAGACAGACAGAATAGTGCACCTCTTTCGCCAAGGTAATATATTTATCGTTATAATAATTAATTTCACATTTAGTGGATTTTTTTATTTAAAAATTTAATTTTTAACGAAATTTTCGATTAGAATTTTTTATTGTTTATAATATAGAATTTCTTCTTTTTAAATTCTATTAAAACTAATTTCTCAGTTCAGTAATTTAAATTATTAAAATTTTTTTTTTTTTCACTAAAATTCAAAAAAAAATGTTTTTTAAACAAAAAAAAAAAAAAATTGATACAAGTAGTGAAAAAATTAGTAATATTAATTTGAATTAGTGGACGATTTTTTAAATTTTTTAATTCTAATTTAATTTCTAAAATATTTATAAAAAAAATACCTTTTATCATGTAGTACTCCAAAAACGCCGGGGAAGGAATTTCAATTTAAATTTACGGATCCTGTTGTACAAAACAATGCAGCTCAGATAAAGGAACGTTTATTGGCGTGGTGCCGTGCCAAAACCAAAGAATACGAGGTAATAATGATGTATTTTCAACAAAAAATTTTCCATCGGATTTTCCATTGTATTCCATTCCAATTTTTTTCCAATTCTGAAAAAAAACACAAAATAATGTTAGTATCAAAAAGTGATTTTTTTTTTTGTAAATACAGAATGTTCAGCTGGACAATTTCTCGACAAGCTGGAGCAATGGATTAGCATTCTGTGCTCTCATTCATCATTTCAGGCCGCAAGCTTTTGATTACCACAGTCTTCGTCCTGAAAATCGGAGAAAAAATTTCCAATTGGCTTTCGAAAAAGCTGAGTAGGTTCATTATTTTATACGAAAAGCAAAAAAAAAAAAAAATTCCTTCAATTAGAAATTTGATTTTTAAAATCGTTAAAATTTTTTTCTAAAATAAAAAAGGGGAAATATTAAAAATTTTAATTTGGTATTTCTTTTCTTTTTTTTTTTTTTAAACAGTGAAATCGCAGGAATCGCGCCACTGTTGGACGTTGAGGACATGGTGATGATGCGTCGTCCAGATTGGAAATGCGTTTTTACTTACGTCCAATCGATTTATCGTCGTTTCAAGAACGAAGATTAGGCGATCGGCGCACGTTGTTTTTATTATTATTGCACTCGTTTTTGTTATTATTATTATTATTATTATTATTATTGGACTTCAGCGCAGTACGTCGTCAAGAAAAATACGAACGAAGCTTATATTTTATATTTCTAGCGTGAAATTGTACTGCAAAGATATAATATATACATAATACATATATGTTTATATATTTACAATGACCATAAGTCTTTTATTGCCATTCTACATTTTTCTCTATATTTATAGGAAAAAAAAAAAATTATTTAGAAATATTAAACTAGTTAACTAAAAAAAACATTTCTAATTAACAAAAAAAATTTTATCTTAAATAAAACGCATTTTTATTTTTCTTAATACACATACACACACACACACAATTGCTCATTTCTAAATATGTATTTTAAGATTTTTTTTTTCTAATTACAAATAAAAGAAAATTTTATTATATGAAAAAAAAAGAAAATTTAAACATAAAACTGGTTTCAGTACTGACTTGATTTTTTAACACTGAAAATAGAAACAAAAACGAAAAATTAAAAAAAAAAATGCGTGTCAGTTGTTTGATAGATGAAATCTTAAAATACTAGAAATTATTTTTTATAAATCGACAAATATTAGTCTTCAGCCTTATTTTTAATTAATATTAAACAAAATAGAATACTCAAATTATATAAAAATCTTATGGTTTCCCAAGTCATAGTACACTGTCATCTAGTGAATTATTTATATCGTTTCGATCATCGCCAATCACCTCCTGAAAAAAAAAAAAAAATTGTTAAAACGAAAATTAATTCTTTTTTTTAATTTCAAAACATACCTGTAAAACTTCTACAAGAGCTCGCGTCTCGTGTAACATTTCCTGACAGAGACGATATTCTTCCTCCATTTTTGCTAAACGTTCCGTTAAATCCTTATTCTCTTCTAAAGCATCTTCTAAAGCCAATCTTCTTCGTTCGGCAATGACTTCCCAATAATTTTCACTAGGACCAGCTAAAAAAAAACAATTTTTTCTATTACATGTAATTTCCAACTTTTTTTCAATTATTTCTATATTTTATTTACCTTCTGACATTAAATCTTCGGCTTCAATTTTTATTTTTCTTCCCCGTGCTGTTTGTATTCCTTTATCTTTCAGTGTTATTTTTTTTCTTTTATCAATTTTTCCACTATCGTTTTTCACTTCATTTCTCCCTTTAGTAGACATTTCACTGTAAAAAAAAATAAATTCATGTAAGAAAAATATTGTTTAAATTATAATTTTTATTTTTTTTTTTCTACTTACTCCTTAATTACTTCTTTAATTGTTTCCTTTAGAGAAACACTGGATCTAAGTGTTCTTCCACCACCGACTAAATTTTCTTTATCTGTTGCTGCTGGCTGCAAAGTGTGCAGAGATTTTCTCACTTTGTCCTAAAGATGAGTAATTTTTTTTTTTTTAAAGCATTTTCAAAATACTCCCAATTTTTCTTCTTTCAAATCTTTTCTTTGTGATTCAAATTTAAATTTATTTTACAATATAAAATTCCACTAAATTTGCAAAAATAAAATGAATGGAAACAAAAAAACCCAAAAAATTATAATTTTCGTAAAAAAAAAAATTTTCACGAAAAATTAATTTAATGAGAATAAAATTTTGTGAGAAATCAAAAGATATAATCAGAAAAAGGAGAAAAAAAATATATAAATATATTAGAAACAAAATAAACAATGTAATTGTATTTCATTATCATATTTTGACGTGAGAAAACCGAGATAATTATACAACAATCAAATGTTTTGATAGTATCATAAGAACAATAAAAATCACAGAAATATAGAAAAATATTCAAAACTTATTACTCGTAATATAAAAGAAAAAAAAAAAACTTTGAATAATTTCAAAAATAACATTAATATACTTATAATTACTTTGATTTTCTCAATTATTGCAAAATAATTAAAATACCAGCTGATGAGTCAACGGTCGTTTACTAAATATTTGAAATCGTTGAAAAGTCGTTGAGATAAACATAACCTCAAAAATTGTCAATGAAAACAAATTGCATTTCATTGGCGTAATATAACAGGAACAATACAATAAAATAAAACAAAACAATGACAGACTAAATAATATTATTAAAAATCAATGGATTCCTTATTATTGAAACACATTTACTTACGTCTGAAGCGGCAATTTTGATAGCTGCAAGTTTCGTGGCACCTCCGGGTTTCATGACTCTTGACCTTGGGCAAAAACTACACAAATATCAGATAAGATTCTTCTTCTGCACTTTATTTATTTTTCTGTGAGTTCACAATTTTATGTTTTAGTTAGACGATTAACTAATTTATTTTACACGTTTCAATTGTAATTAAAACTTTTGGAAGGAAAATTTTGTTTATCCAATGACGCAATGAGAATTTTCTGGCGGTATTTGGAAAATTGATTCCGGAAGTGTAGCGACATGCAACGGAAAAAATTGGCAACTAAAATCACTGCGCAAACGCAACTGCGCATGTGTAAAGAAAAAGCGGTAAATATTTGAATTTTCAAATATTCAAAATAATTTAAAAAACAAAAAAAATTTGCAATCGCAATAAAAAATAATAATATTTCAAATATTACATGTAAATGTAAAAATATAGTACAATAATAAAAATAATAGAGAATAAATGAATATGAAGAAAATTGTCTTGTTCGGAGTCAATTCCGGAAGTGATGCGCCACAGCGAGAAAAATCGTAAAGGCGGCAAATATTCGAATTTTTAAAATTAAATGCTGCATTTTTAATTTTCTAAAAAAAAATTTTTTATAAAACAATCAATTATAAGAAAAAAAAAGTGTTAAAAAATCAAAAATTAACGTATTGATGAAATTTTAACTGTGGATTTAAAATACTTTATTTCAAATAAATTATTTTTGAATATATTCTATAAATAAAGTGAGATACTCAAAATACTCCAAACGGACGGACAATACATATAGTAACATTTAAATGTTGATTACTAAAATTTTTTTTCAATTAAATAACAATATTTTAAAGAATTTCTAACTAATCATTAATATTTAGAAGACATTTTACTATTATTAAACTACTACTGGAATTCTTGAGAAAAAAAAAAATCATAAAATAAATGAGATTCATAATTTTTCTAAAACATTGAGCTAAAATCTAAAATAAAAAAGAAAACAATTTTAAATAATTGTTTTTTTAAAAAAAAAGGAGATTTCGATTAATAAATAATTTCGTGTCGTAACATCACAGTTTTGAGTATCTCAAGCCTTTTTCAGAGGAAATATTTTTCATTTCTTTGGGCTTGAAAACTCAAATCTAAAAATATTAAAAAAAAAAAAATACGATTTTAAACATTAAACTTAACAAATAATTGATCTAAATCTAAATAGAATGACTGAGATTAGTTAATTTCTTTTTTTTATATCTGACTTATGCTATTTGAAATTGTAAAGTGAGATGGAATTGTGGGATTTCGTAGAACAGGAAGATTGCCATTTACGCAATTCAACCATAAATTTGCGCACGTCACGTGATAATTGCTCTCATTATGAGACACTTTGCCACTTGTTATGACTGTTAAGCAAAGAGCGCACGTTACATTATTATTTTGATGCAATGGCCACACCGGTAATTCTGTCACAATCTGAAACACAAGATAATTTTTTTTTTTCTCATTCAATTTTTTTTTTAAATACACTAACTTGCTCAAAATAAAATTTTTTTTACAATTAAATAAAGAAAATTAAATTAAAAAAAAAAAAATTTTTAAGTAATTTCGAAAATAAAATTTTTAATTTAAAAAAAAAAATAGGTGGGTACTTAACTTGCTTTAGAATAAGGGTAAAAATTTCTTCAAAAGAATTTCTTTTTGTGAAAAGAACTCCCTTATCTTCAATTAAATTTTTCTACTAATTTAAATTTCTTCCTTCTTCTTTTTCTTCTTGAAATTTCTTCTTACAAAAAAAATTTCTACCACACTTTCTTCTTTTAATCACTTACTTTGTTTAAAAAAAAAAAAACGATAAAAAATAGTTTTTAACAATTAAAAGTTTTAAAACAGAAAAACATGTTTCTTTGAATCGAAATTTTTCCAATTCTTACTCAAAAATTTTTTTTTATTCCTCATTTACTGAGAGAAAATAGTCCGAATAAAAAATCGCGAAAAATTTCCGAAAACATAAAAAAAAGCAAATTAATAATTTTTGAATCAATAAAAAAAAAAAAAAAAAAAAAAAAAAAAACAATAGTTACAAATTTTCAGAAAAATGTACTAAAGAAAAAAATTTTTAAAGGGAATTAAAATTTTCTACTTACCGGTATGTTTGTGTAAAATGGTTCCATTTCGGCCCAAATTCGATCGATATCCATTAATAAATCATCGAAACCCATAATATTAATATCCATTTCTTTGTGCGAGAAATTTACTCGTCGACAAACTGCAGCAACTTCCGCTAAATCTGCAAATAATGATTAAAAATTAAAAATATAATCATTAACATTAAAAAACCATTGAAATTACAATAAAAATTTAATAATTACAATTAATAAACTTACTGCAAAGAAAATTGTATCCTTGAGCGGAAGCAAGAACTTCTCGTAAAACTGCTTCTGATGAGATATTTGAGAAAATATTTGCTGCAACTTGTAACAAGAGTACACAACTTTCCATGTAATGCTTCCACTCCCAATAAATCATCTAATAATTTTTTATAATGAATTAATTATATTATTTTAAATAATAAATTTTGCTTATTATTTTTTTGAATTAAGAATTTAATTTAATTAGAAGATATTTTTAAAATATTTTTTGTAATTTAAAACTACACAATAAATTAATTTACTTTTTAAACAAATTTTATTTAATTAGATTTAAAAAAAATCATTTTTTCGAACCTGATGCATATTTTCAACGGCTGTCTCATCATCATGATTGGAAGAGAGAAAAGATTTAAGATCAAGACTTGGAACAGATCCAGAACGAGTGAGAGCTCCTGTTGCATTATTTCCTAATTCTATACTATTTACTGAGAGACAATCTTCCTTTGAAATTCCTTTATCTAATAACAAAAAAAATTTTTAAAATATTTATAATTTTCATTACACAATATCTATTTACAAATATTTATACAAATCAACAAAAATTAAATTTTATTAATCTAATAATTTCTAATTAGATAATTTATAAAAATTCAATTCTTGCCTGCATCGAATGTAACGTCGAATTTACTTTCAATTGGTGGTTGCTCACGAAATTCTTCAAATCCCAATGCATCAAAAGCATCGGTAATTTCCTGAACCAATGATGTTTCATTTTTATTTGTTGAAATAAGAAAATCATCACCTTTAAAATCGAGAAATTCAGATGACAAATTAACATTGCTCTCAGTTTTTAATGATTCAACAATTGATGTGATTAGCGTTGGTTGCTCGGCACAAACAAAATCACCAAAATCATCAACAGCAACTGATTCAACATTTGTTTCATCAAAAATACCAATAGGTACTTCTTCATTTAAAACACGTAGAGCACTATATTTATCCTCCGTTTGTTGTAAATTCATTAAATCTTTTGAATTCTCTCCCAAGGATAACTGAAAATTTAAAAAAAAAGAAAATAAATTTTAAAATAAAAATTTACTATTACATTCAAGAAATTAAATTTTAATATTACCTTATTCTTTTCAATTGATTCAAATTTATTTTGAATTAAAATTTTCTCGTCATTAAAATTTTTAGAATTAATTTCAGTGCTTTTTGTTGGTTCATTGCGTATTATTGTATCTTTTAAAATCACCGTTTTTGATTGACTTTTAACACTACATTTTGGAAATAATTCTGATAATCCATCAAAATTACCATCACGATAAAAATTTGTTGAATTATTACCAACACTATCATTTAATTGCAATTCATTGTTTAATAAAAAATTTGTATTTCTCTCATGATTATTAGTATCCAATTGAATTTCTTTAACAAATGACAAATTTCTTTGACAATTTATTTGTGATTTTGTTGAATTTTTTTTTAATTTTTCCATTGATTTTTTCACACCTAAATTATGATTAGCAAGACGGCTACCAATTGCTGAACCTTGCCGTGAGTCCCACATTGGAATTTGTGGAATTGATGGCAATGGTGCACTTTGAAATTCCGAGAAATCATCATTTGAATCACTTAAATGATTTTTACGTGTTTCAACAGTGAAATTAACACCAAAACCACAATTATTACTTGATGATGAAATTTTTGTATCATAAGAATGATTTCCAGATCGTGATATATTTGAATTTAAATTAAAATTTCCACTAGAATTATTTATTGTTATTGATGAATTTGGTAAATTAGTATCGAATGTGTCATGTTTCACTTGATTATTGATATCTAATAGAGAAAGATTGAGATTTGGAATTGGTGGCACACGAACAATATGTAATACATCAAGACTATTAAATGGATACGATGCTTGGGCAAGTGCAACTAATGCTAAAACAATATATAATTCTTGTTGAGTTAATTGTCCAGAATATTTTTTATTTGCAATACTCCAAATATAACCGAGAATTTCTGTTGATAATTGACTAGTGAGTAGAATTGGAAAAATTTTATTTGTATCCACAAGAATATCATCGAGAATAACACCAGGACGTGATTTTTCTTCACGTACAAATTCCCAAATTTTTTTATACAACGGTGGTAATATATTTGAATTTGGCCATAACCATCCTGGTAATTGTGACATTTTTTTATCACTTTGATTTTGTACTTTGTACATATTTTTTTTCTTCCTTTTGATTCGCCCTTGTTTCGTATATATATAATATATATTTACTTTTAGGTTATGTCATAAGGACAAAAAATTGATTTAAACAATTTCATTTGATGAAAAACAACTTTTTATAACATTTTAATTATTTTTTTTTGTGCCCATTGTGTGATATTATTTCACTTAACACTCGCGGAGATTCTATTTTTTTCCTTAAAAAAAAAAAAAAAAAAAAAATGACAGATGTCAAGTGTCGTCATGAAAAAAGTTACTGCTGCAGATTGGAAACTTCAATTATTAGTGCGCGTTCACACGTCGCTCAAGAGTTGCCAATGACACTACCTAAACGCTACTGCGCTTGCGCTACGACAACTCTCTTATAGGTCGAAAAAAGCGCGCTTATATAAAATGCTTAATAATAAAAATATTTTAATAAAGCAATATAAAAATATTTTCACTATTGAATTTATTTTTTTTTGTTAATTATATTGCTTCCTAATAAAAAAAATACTAATTTCCTTAATATACTTAAGTATATAATAATGATAATAATAATAATAACAATTTTATTATATTTATATCATTATTGTCATTATTTTTTAAATAAAATATTTGTAATCTATTATTATTATCATCAGTATAATATTTATTAATTAATTATTGTATTATTTATTATTATTATAATTATTTTCAATAAATTATTATTAACTACTTATCTATGAATGTATTACATCTATATATATTCCAAAAAAATGAATCGAATTTTTTTTGTACATTTTTCCCAATTCAAATTTTCCTCGTAAAAAAGTAAAAAAAAAATTTCGCTAAATTTTTCTAAAAATATCTATGTATATATCATAGATAATTAATTAATAATAATTTAATGATAATAATAACAAAAATAAATAATATATTACATAATTAATTAATAAATATTAAATTGATGATAATAATAAATTATATATTTTATAAAAAAATAATAACAATAATGATATAAATATAATAAAATTATTAATATTATAATTATTATTTTTATTATTATTATTATTATTTTTATTATATACTTAAGTATATTAAGGAAATTAAGAAAATTAGTATTTTTTATTAGGAAGCAATATAATTAACAAAAAAAAATAAATAAATTCAATAGTGAAAATATTTTTTTATATTGCTTTATTAATGTTTTCTTATTATTAAACATTTTATAAAAGCGCGCTTTTTTCGACCTATAAGAGAGTTGTCGTAGCGCAAGCGCAGTAGCGTTTAGGTAGGGTTATTTGCTACTCTGCGCCGTCTCTGTTGTTTATTTCCGGAATTTTATCAACCAATCAGAAAGGAAGCTCTTTTTTTTGGCGTGAAATTTAAAATTATAACTGAAAAATAAAAAAAAAAAAAAAAAAAAGTAAATAAAACAGATGAAAGGTAAATTTAAATACTATATTTAATGGACTTAGTGGTTTTATTTTATACAAATTTCTCATTTAATTCTATACATAGAGAAACACGTATTGAGAAGCATATTTTTTGGTAACGAAAAACATTAGTTTTAGGGAATATTACATTTTTATTTTAATCTAAATTGTAAGTAGAGTTGAGCAAAGATTCCTAAATATTCGAATATATAAAAAGATTCTTCTTTCAAAAAAAAAAATTGGTTTCATAATAATTATGAAACAAATATTTTATAGAACAATTTTTGTTTTTTTCTAAATTCATTCCGGTGACTAGAATTATTATATTTGGATATTAATTTTTTGATTTTTAATAATCGACAAGTCCATATAGAATAGATTTTATAAATCTAGATGAATTGACTAGGATATTTGAGTTTTTATATTAAATAACTTTTTAAATATTAATTATATATATATATATAACATAATAGTTTGAACTAATTATATCTATAAACGAAGCTAATTTACTTACATTTTGTCTCAATATAATGAATATTTTATTTGAGAGATTGAAAATGGATTTTTTTTTTTTTTAAATTATATATCACTTTGATTTTGAACTAATGGAAATTGATGCAGTGACAGTTGAATTATTTTTACTGTCAGTTTCATTTCCACTATTGGGATCAAGTCGCGGTGGACTTTGCGATGATGATCGACGTAAATCTCGTGATAGACCATTACAATTTGCATGATGACCACCGGCCTCCCAATCACGATGCTGACAAAATGATCCACAATATCTGGCAACTCCACAACCACCACATGTCTCTAGTGCTTGTCGACCACAATTCCAGCAGCCCTTGATCAATAGAAAAAAAAGAAAAATCAATTTTCGTTAAATTTAAATAAAAAAAAAAAAAAAAAAATGTTTATTCTTACAGATCCTATTATTCTTGTGAGATGAGGATCTTTTTCATCGTCAGTTGTTAAAGAAGCTGTGCATCTTGAATTTGGAGTATTGGCAGTTCTCGATGTTTCAGCAGTGTTTGCAGTTTGATTTGCAACACGTACAAAAGGACTTTGACGTAATACTCCTCTTTGTGTTAAAGGCGAATCAAAAAATCGATATCTTTCCGTTACACGTGATTCAGCAACGGCAACAGCTACAGCTCGTTGAATTTCTGCAACTGCTGCTCTTTTTACTTCATGAACAGCTTCTTCTATAATTAAAAAATATATATTTTTACGTTTCGAATTTTTTTTCAAAAGAATAAAAAAAAATATTTTACCAGCTCTTCTTTGAACTTCAGCAACTTTATCCTCAGTTGCACGTATTGTTTGTGCAACATTTTCACCATACAATCGTTTAATATTTCCATCGCGATTATCATTTTCAGCGCCATTTGTTGAATTTCCATTTTGAACATTTGTTGTTGATGGTGTTGCAGGACTTGTGCATCCTCTTCGTTGAAGTATTGTTAATGCTTGTTTTGTTTTATCAACCATACTCGATATACAGCCAAGCATAACGTAAATATTCTTCCATACATCATCGAGACTCGATCCATTTTGACCACTTGTATTATTATGACTAATTGATGATGACTGTGGTGGTGGTGGTGGTGGTTGTTGTTGATGTGGCAAATGTGTCCCAGCAAATGTTGACAATTGATTAATTTGCACAAGATTTGGCAAAATACTCGATCCATGTGAATGCTGATGTCCTTGAATTGAACCACCAGCCGAATGTAATGGTTGATACCAACAATAAGAGGAATCTTGCTGTTGCTGCTGATGATGATGATGATGATGATTACTCCAGTGATTTGATGATCGTTTCCCATAAATTGGACCATCGTCAATTGTTCCATTTTCATAGTAACTAAAAAAAATTTTCAAATTTTAATCGTCGTAAAAAATATTTTAAAAAAACGAATTGGAAAATTAACAGAATCACAAGTGTGCGAAAAGGGAACATAAAGAATAGACACAGGTGCAAGATGGGTTTACGTTTAGTTTGGAAAACGTGAATTCAAGCGATGTGTGGGATTATAGCGTTGTATATTAGCTGGGTGCCGATGGGTACTCGAGGCAAGTTTCCTATATCGAGGATGTGGTGAAAAGGTGTGTGAGTTGATATACGGAAACGTCAGTAACAGACGCATCGACAGAGAGAGAGAGAGAGAGAGAGAGAAAGGACTTCTATTCGCTTAGCAGATTTTCTGATCGAAAACACAGTTTATTTCGTATGCAATTATATTTCACTTTTCAAATTGCCATTTATTTTCAATATAAATAGAATTTTTTTTTTTTTAATTTTCTCTGGAAAATTTTTTTTTTCTTCTGAAAATGTTACTTTTTTTTTAAATAAAAAATTTAAAAAAAAATTCTTATAACAATAACAAGAATATTTAGATTGTTTTTTTTTTTTTTGTTTTGTTTTTTTTTTTGAATCAAAGGGACACAGGAGGGTAAATTTTGCGATAGATTCCGCGGTACATATTTGGCGTGGAACTATAAAATCGCTTCGCTCGTAAATTTTCAACGGTATAAGAGTTTTGCCGCACGTTGCAATAACTCATGTAACAACGGACACCATATGCACCTGTGCGAACACTTGTACAGAGTGTATTTGCCAAACCACAAACTGCTCAGCTTAGAAAAATCTTGGCCAACAGCCCTACTACTAAATAATATATATAATATAAAAATATTTAACGCTAAAAAAATCGATAATTCGCTTTCATCAGAAAACAAAATTTCTTTTTTTTTTTTTGAATTTTCAAAAAGAAAAATTGAAAATAGAGGAAAAAAAAAACATTTTTGATAAATATTTAATAAGAGAATTTGTAGATCTTTGTGGAAAAAAATACAATTGTCAAATACAGAATCACGCGATTCTAGGTTGAAAGAATGGAACTGACAGATATTATATTTTCTCTCTGAGATTTTTGCAAAGACTTTTTTAAAAGATCAACATTTTTTTTCTCTATATAGTTTATTTATTAATTTAAAAAGAATAATTTTTTTCTTTCAAAATTTTTTTTTTCTTTTTTTTTTTTTTTAAAGAACAGAACACTCTTATATCATTACTATAATACTTTTTGTGAACAAATTTTTCAGGAAAAAGTTTCAAAAACTTTCATATAATTTACTATTTACTACTCTCTTTGGTAATAAAATAATTTTTTCTTTTGTGAGAAAAAAAAATTGAAAAAAATTTCCAATTTTTTTCTTTTTTAATTTAATAAATATTTAAGTGAATAAAAATAAAAAAAAAAAGTCTGTTTAATGAAATTTAATTAAAAGTGACTTACGGTGTATCTGAAGCTCGTCGTTTAGTTGAATGTGACGTTCCTGAATAATGATGAACACTATTTGAATGTGGAGTACCAGCAACATTTGGATTTGAATTGGAACGTAATCCATATTGTACAGGAACACTTGTATTTCCATTTCCAACATTTTCACCAAAAAGTTCCACCGATTCTCCTGAAGGAGTTAAGCCAACAGCTTCCAAAACTGCCGATTCATTGGCACGTAAATATTGAACACACGACTGAAAATTAAATATTAATTAGAAAAAAAAAATTATTATTATTATTATTATTATTATTACAAAATAAATATTTTTATAGAAAATTTTTGATTTTTAAAAAAGGTAAAGAATTTTTTCTCGATTATGAAAATTGTGAGAATCAATCTTACAAAGGGGAAGTTAAGTATTTTCTTAATCTTATGAGTTTCGTCATTCTTTTTTTTTCTCTCTCTCTCTTTTTTGCCCTCCCCCCAAACTGGGTGGCACAACTTCAACACTTGTCGGTTGTGCCTTACGTGAAAGTCCTTTGCACCAGATGGTTAATTTTCACTTCTTCCTTTATCGTCCCTTCCTTATATTTTACTTGTATTTTGCGAGGTGCTTTTGCCACTTTGCTCCGACAGGATACGATTTATCGTTTCTAATTGAATATTGATCCCAGACACAACTTGGCAATTAAATATTATTGTCGATTCAATGTCATAAAACAAATTTTTATTTAAAAAACAAAAAATTTTTTAATCTTTTTTTTTTTATTTAACTAAAATTGAATTTATAAAAACATTTTAAAATAATAAAAGAAAAATTAGAGAAATATTTTTTCAAGAAAATTGATTTAAAATACAATAAAGAAAAAATTTTCCAAACATTCAGATATTTTTGATTAAAAATTGTTTTGTCATTTTAAAAATAAAAATTGGGGAAAAAATTAATTATTTTTCAATGTAAATGTAAATATTATATATATATATATATATATATATATATATATATATTTCAATATTCGTCATTGAAAGCTGGTGCATCCTTTAACAAAGTGGCATCCGCCAGTTTCCTGATGGAGGTCGATTTGAATTGTGTAGGTGTGCGAGCAAAAGAGGTGGGGGGGGGGTGATGTGGAAAATGTAAATGCTCACTATTAATTTGCAATTCGTTACCTAGCAGCTTTCGACTCTCCTCCGAGACAGGCAACAGCTGGAGGTTCTTCGGCCGAGAAATATATAACTCTCGGCACTTCCTTGCTATTTCAGCATTGTGTGCACCCGCTACGAGAGAGAGAGAGAGTGAGAGAGGAAATAAAAAGAAACGAAACGACATTTTTCTTTTCCCCAGCAACCATGTATCTCTTCGCCAAGAAAATCTCTCATATATCATTGCAAATTTTTGCACAGAAAAAAATATGGATTTTTTTTTTTTTTATCAAAAATTCTAAATAAAGAAATAAATTAATTTGCTTAGGCAAAATTGAATGGATTAGAAGTAATCGAAACAGGAGAGATTTGGTGAAACAGAAATGTGTTTTCATTCAATATACAAGGGCCTTAGTTAACAAATGTGGATTTATGGTGACATGAGAATAACCCGAGATTAAATTAGCCAATCAATATTCAATCTACTATCAACCATAAAATTTGTATTTATATAAATGAAACATTTTTCTTATATATTTCAATAATAAAAAAAAAGCTAAGAATTCTCAATAGTAAAATAAAAAATTTGAAGTAAAAAAAAAAAGAAAAATAAATCATTGTAAAATATTGCCGCGTAATCAAACAGAAACGAATAAGTTTTGGCAAACTGGTGATCACATCTGCCTGGGAAATTAAAACAAAACTGGCATCTGCTGGTTAGAAATGTTCTGTTGATTTTACTTTGTTCTCTTGTTTCGTCTATAACGATATAAATTTACGCAACTCTGTGGTGAGTTTTGTTGTTCTTCATGAGAAATAAACTAAAGCACCACCACGATTTACGATGACGAGGATTTCACACACAAAATTTTAGTGAATCAATATTTCTTATATTTTGTTACGTTTATAAATTTTATATTATTTTTTCATCTCCCTCGTTCTCTATCTCTCTCTCGTATAATAAAATTTCAAAATTGAGAAATTTATTGAGAATTGAAAACATTTATCATAGTGAAAATTTCAAAATCACCTGATTATTAATTCTCGCGGCTGCATTTAAATCCCTCTGTAAAGAAGGCAATGTGTGTTTCAGGTACGGAAGTACAAATCCTCTGAGAGGAAAATTTGTAGCTTCTTGTAAAGCAGAATGAAAATCCTCAGCTGACATTGCACCATTCTAAAAAGAAAAATTTTTTTTTTTATGAAAAAATATCACATTTACAGATTTTTTTTTTATAAACAAAATGATTCTAATTATTATATTAAAAATTAAAAGGCTATATTAAAACAAATTAGAAATAAAAGAAAAAAAAAAAAACTTTTTTGTCAGGAAAAATGTATCTCGTAAAACAAAACAATTTACTCGTAAATGCTTGACGATAAAAATAAAAGTCTCTTTTTCTATTTAATAGTGTACACAAAAAGGATTTTGATGTTGCCATTGTACCAAAATGTTTATATATATATATATATATATGCAATTTGACAAAATTGAGAATCAGTATAGTACTTTGCACAAAATTGCAATTTTAAAGCTTCATAACCGCACTAACAAAGAGAAATATGATATATATATATATACGTGTGCGATGATAGGCACAGAAAATTTAAAACTCTATTAAACTTTATATATATTTCTCTATATTTTGTTTTCAAATATCGTTCGCAAAAAAAAGAAAATGCATTCTAAATTAAACATAAACTTTTTACCTCTAACGTTTAATATTATAAAAAATTTCTTTTTTTAAAATATAATCCGATTTTGAAAAAACAAATTTCAATTTATAATCGAAAAATTATAATTTTTAAAAAACAAAACAAAAAAAGAAAGAATTTTTTTTTCGTAATAATAAAGAAAGAAAAAAAATTACCAATAACCCAATAACAAGACTTCTAACAGTATCTCCAGTATCAGGTGATATATCCATTGCAAAATGAACCAAAGTACCAAGAAGTCGTCTCAATTTACTGTGTCCAGAAAAAATCGTTGAAATTGATTTTGATGCATTAGATTTTACATTTCCTTCACAATTATTGTTGACAATTTCTTCCAATTTTGATGATGCTTCATCTTTTTCAATTTGAAGTGTTTGCGATGATGATAAAGGACTATCGTTATCCGATGATCTTGAATTAACTTTATTTTCCGATCGAATATTATTATTATTATTATTATTACTATTATTATTATTATTATTATTAATATTATTATTATTATTATTTTTGGTATGATGCGATTTTTGAGCATTTGATGGTTCATTTCCAGAATCAAAATTACTTTCATCTCTGATGGCAGCAGTTGATAATTTTTCTCTTGATAAATTTGATGTAACTGAAAACAAAAATTAATTAATGATTAAATAATTAATTTTTCATGTAAAATAAATTTTTAATTTTAAAAAAGAATCTATTTTTGTAATATAATTTTGGAAAAAAAATTTCTTTACTTTATTTATAGAATAGTTATGTAAATTTCTTTTTTTTCCCCTAAATTTATATATTTGCATAAAATTGAATGAAATTTTTATTTGGATGTTATAAAAAAAAAATTTATTTTACATTAAAAATTAATTAATTATTAATTAATTAATTTTTAATGTAAAATAAATTTTTAATTTTAAAAAAGAATATAATTTTGGAAAAAAAAAAATTTCTTTATTTATTGCTAGAAAAGTTATGTAATTTTTTTTTTTCCCCTAAATTTATAATATTTGCATAAAATTGAATGAAATTTTTATTTGGATTTTATAAAATAAATTTTTAATTTTAGAAAAGAATCTATTTTTGAAATATAATTTTGGAAAAAAAAATTTCTTTACTTATTTATAGAAAAGTTATGTAAATTTTTTTTTTCCCCCTAAATTTATATATTTGCATAAAATTGAATGAAATTTTTATTTGGATGTTATAAAAAAAAATTTATTTTACATTAAAAATTAATTAATTATTAATTAATTAATTTTTAATGTAAAATAAATTTTTAATTTTAAAAAAGAATATAATTTTGGAAAAAAAAATTTTCTTTATTTATTTCTAGAAAAGTTATGTAAATTTTTTTTTTTCCCCTAAATTTATAATATTTGCATAAAATTGAATGAAATTTTTATTTTTGATTAAAAAAAATCACTTAAATTTGAATCTTTTAATATGGTGGGTATGTGATTCTGCGCATTTTACCTTCTGTACTATAGCAGACAAATTTGTAGACGACGTGTACACGTACATGACGCCAAGCAACGCCAGTCGACAAGTTAGTCATAGTGAAATGTCAATCAATTTAAATAAGAAATTCATAATAAACATTTAAAACAAAAGTGTAAATATATTTTTAAAAAAAAATAATAATAATAAGGATAATTTTAATAGGTATAAATTTTACTTTCGAAATGTAAAAAAAATTTTATATTAAATTAACGACAGAATAAATTTATATTACAGAATTTTGGAGTTGAAAAAGTGATCATCATTATTATTATAAAAAAAAAAATGATAAACTTTCTACAAAAAATGTAAGTAATTTAACAAATTTTTTTTTTATATTTTCAATAATACACTAAAAGTACAATAAGTGGTAAAAAAAATAATTTCTTTATTGAAACATAACCTTACACTGAAAAAAAAAATTTTGATTTAAATATTCGATTACTTGACTATTATCAAATAAATATTTATTTGTATCAAATAATTATTATTTAAGTCAATTTCTTTCAAATATACAAAATTTATTGGTTCAAAATACAGTTTCTTTAATTTAAATAAAAATTATTTAATTCTAATAAATATTTATTTGATAATAACTCGAGTATTTGAATCAAAAAAAAAATTTTTTTTCAGTGTACCACTTTTATTGTATATATTAATTTTCATAAGTCAATAAATTTACGTTTGTTATTTAATTATTACAAAATTAACGTTTAAATAATTATTTTAGGTAAAAATATACCAAAGGATTTAACAATAGGATCAAAATTATCAATTAAAAACAATGATATTAAATTCAAAGTATATACCATTAATAAATACTCAATTAATGGATAATTTATATAATGCTATAAAAAATCAAGATTTGGAAAATTTCAAAATTCTAATTCAATATATATCAAAAGATTCTGAGGAATCATTGATAATGATAAAAAATTTAATGACTTATGCAATGAAAAATGGTGAATTAGATATTTATGATTTTATAACTAGAGAAATTTTACCAATTCATAAATATAATGATGAAGAAATTCAATCTACATCGCATCATCAAGATTATATAGAAATTGAACAATTATTTCAAAAATGTACACTAAATTCTATTCATAATAATCATATTTATCCGGAATTTTATTTATTATTAGAATTTCATAAAATGTTAAAAAAATTTCTTAATTCTGAAATAGATATTAATTATCAACATTTAGAAGCTGGTTTTACTTTACTTCATATGGCATCTTATTATGGATATAAAGATATTATAAAATTTTTATTATCAAAAAAACCAAATTTAGAATGTCAATCAAAATTAGGTAAAACGCCATTACGCATTGCTGTTGAAAGAAATAATATAAAAATTGTTCAAATTCTTATTAATGCAGGGGCAAATATAAATTCAAATTTAGTTAATAAAAAAAGTATTGCCGATATTGCAATTGAAAATAAAAATGATAAAATTATTGAATTATTTTTAAATAATGGAGGACAATTAAATGAAATATTTAATAAACCAGCACTTTTTGTTGCAATTTCACAAGAAATGGATATTATCGTTGAATTACTTTTAAATTATAATATCTCATTGGATAAAAAAGAATTTTGGGATATTGATAATTTAGAAAATAATAATTCAACAAAAATATTATATTCATGGACACCATTATTTTTAGCAATAAAAATAGGAAATATAAAAATTTTAAATATGATTTTAAAAAAAGAAGTAACAATAAATTATAAATTAAATAATTATTATCCAATTCATTTTGCTATTCAAATGAATAATATTGAAATTATAGAAATATTACTCGACAACGGATGTGATATTAATGAAAAATGTTGTTATTCATCAAATCCAATTTTACATGCAATAGAAAAAAATAATTTGTTATTATTGCAATTTTTAATAAATAAAGGAGCATCATTAAAAATTGCCGATGAATCATTATTAAATTTGGCAATAACTAAAAAATGTAATGAATCAATAATAAAATGTCTCGTGAAAAATAATGTTGATATATTTACAAAATGGAAAAATTCATTATTACCACTTCATTATATGCTTCTTCTTAGCTCAGATATAAGTAATGAATTATTGCAATTATTTTTTGATCATGGAATTAATCCAAATTGGAAATCAGGTTCGCATAATGAAACAATTCTTCATTTTATCATTAAACGTAAAAAATATTATCACACTATTGATTATTTATTAAATTCACGAATTAATGTTAATATTAGTGATAATACTGGTAATACTGCATATTATTATATTATAAATAAAATTTACAATATCGTTGAAATTGCATTGCGTCAAGGTGAACTTTTACGTTATCGTCAAAGTGATAATTCAAAAATAAATCTTAGCAATATTAATAGAGAATTTGATTGTGGTAAAGGGGCATATGAATGTTTAGAACATAAAATAATAGTTGCTAAATTATTTACAAAAGAAATTGCAATATTGTCAGCAACACGAAGAAATATGCATCGTCAAATGGTTGTATTGTATAAAAATTGGTTTGTCAAACCATATTATAATATTTGTCGTCGTGAAATTTTAAAAGCAAAAGATTTTCAAATATGTGATAAAATAACATTTCTTGATGTTTTATCGGCGAGTAGTTTAACATTAGTTGAATATTCGAGAAATGAAGAATTAATGGATTATGCAAAACGAGAGGATTATTTAAATGATTTTCCTGAAATTGGAACATTTTTTCTCAATCGTATGTTATATGGTGAAAAAAAAAGAATTCTTCATGACAATAGTATAGAATCATTTAGAAAATTAGTGAAAATTGAATTACCTGAAGAATTATTTTTGGAAATTTCACAATATTTAAGTACAGTTGATTTAAATAATATGTATAAAGCTGTATATGAAGGGAAAAAAAATTGTTAATTCTAGTCAATTTTTTTTTTGGTACAATAATATAATTATTGTAAAATAAATTAATTTAATTCAAGCATAATAATTATTTAAATTTTATGATTTTATGTAATTATTTGATTCATTATAATGTGGATTAAAATTTTATTGTAAATATTATATTTAGAAAGTCAAGGTTTATTTATGATTTAATGAATGTGTTGGTGAGAATAGTACAAAAGCCTCCCTCCTATACTCATATAGGGTCGTATACAGCGAATAACATGCAATTATGGTCGTGTCATCTCCTTGTCTTGCTAGTATTCTATTCGCGAAATGCCTCTGGCCTTGTGCGTTGCAAAATAAATGGAATATATATATGGCAGAATAGAAATGCCAATAATCAAATTATTTATGTTATATGGCAAAAGCAGGCGCACATCCTCAATATTTGGTTTTATGTCTTTCAAAATCTATTTTTTATTTCTTGAAATGTATTATATATATGTATTTTGAAAAATTCCTATAATGGAGAAAAATGTTTATAGAAAACCAAAATTGATTTTTGAAACTGATTTACAAAATATATTGCTTAATGAAATAGAAATGTGCTTTTTTAATTCCTCCACCTCTGTTTTATAAATTTTTTTTCTTTTTGCGTAAAGAATTAAATAAATTACTTTTTTTTGGCATTGTTATCTATTTTGTTTTTCATTCGAAGCAAATTGATCAATATATTATCATGGTACCCACTTTCTGCGGGTACCCTTTCAATAATTCCATTATTGAAATGCAAAAATAATGACTAATTAAATATGATAATTGAAAACAAAAAAATATATATTATATATATATATATTTTCTCGTCAATTGAGGGGACGCTGAAATTTCAACCTTTCAAAATTGAGGCTGTTTCAGATTGTCAATTTTTTTCCAGTTAATATTAAGTCAGGCCTCGGATCGACTTAAAGGCACAAAAAAAGTCGTTTTAGTCGATTTATGTTCAAAAAAAAAAAAAAAATAGTCGAAAAAGTCGATTTTTTTTTATTTTAACAAAAAAAAGTTTTACAGATTTTTAAATAAATTTTTTTTTTTTAAATAATAATAATTTTGTAAGAGTTATAAAAGTTGAAATTTTTAGAAATAATTGAATTTCAAAAGATTTTGTTAATTTTCAGACAATAATTAAATTTTACGCAGAATTAAAAATAATTTATCAAATAATTTTAGATAAAATTTTGTAAAATTACTTGAATTAACAACGATTTATAATTGAGATTTTTGAAATTCAAGTGATTTTTAATTAAAAATTTTTGATGTTTTCACTAAACAATTTATTAGAAATTTCGGACAAAAATACAATAATTTGAAAACTTGAAAAATTTATTTTTAATTGAAAAATGGTTTCAAATAGTTGAATTTTCGAATAATATTATAAAAATAGTTAAAGATAATTGAATTTCAGGAGAGAGTTATAATTGAAATTATTAAATTTCAAACAATTTTACATGGTAAATTTTAAAAGCTTTTAAATTGAAATTTTTGAAAATAATTGAATTTCAATTGAAATTTTGGATAATAATTTAATTTTAGATTGAAAATATTGATAATAATTAATTTTGAATTGAAATTTTTGAGAATAATTGAATTTTAGTTGATTTTGAATTGAAAATTTTGAAAATAATTGAATTTTAGTTAATTTTGGATTGAAATTTTTGAAAATAATTGAATTTCAATTAAAATTTTAGATAATAATTTAATTTTAGTTGATTTTTAATTGAAAATTTTTATAATGATTAATTTTGAATTGAATTTTAGTTGATTTTGGATTGAAATTTTTGAAAATAATTGAATTTTATTTGATTTTGAATTGAAATTTTTGAAAATATTTGAATTTTAAAAGATTTTGAATTGAAAATTTTGTAAATAAATTATTTTGAATTGAAATTTTGGAAAATAATTCAATTTTAAAAGATTTTTAATTGAAAATTTTGTAAATAATTGAATTTCAATTGAAATTTTGGAAAATAATTGAATATCAAAAGATTGTGTTAATTTTCACACAATAATTATTATAATAAGAGAAATTTCTAAAAATTTCTGTTGATGAAGAATTTATTAGATATTAGAATTTATTGGTAATTTTATTTTGTTATTTTTTTTTTTTTTTCATTATAAACAATTATTAAATTTCATAAAAATTTTAATTGAAAAATAATTTAAAATAATTGAATTTGTGATATATTCCATTAAAATTATTAAAAATAATTAATTTAGTGAAGAATTTTTTTTAAGTTAAAAATTGGTTAAATAATCGAAATAAACAAGATCTGAAGAAGATCTGCATTTTATACTAAAAAAAAGGAACGTATTTTGTTCAAAAATTTTGTAAAAAAAAAGTCGAAAAAGTCGCATTTTATTAAAATAAGTCGAAAAAAGTCGTATTTTTGAAAAGAAATCGGAAAAAGTCAGTTAAGTATTAAAAACTAATATACTATGGGAAATTGATAAACAATTAATTTATTAATAATTTTTAAAATAAAACTCGAAATTTTCAAAAACTAAAAATTTAAACTTCTGTTACAATTTTTATTATTTTTCATTGATGATTTTTTTATTACTCTTTTTAAGATTCGAAACAATCAATTATATGGATTTTGAAAAAATTCAATTTTTGAAAAATAAAAAAAAAAATAATGCAAAATTTGAGCAATTAAAAATAAATTCATTTTTCATAGTGAAATATGATTTCAGGTTCTATTATCTTTGGTTTCAATTATTCCTAAAAAATTTAACTTCTTATACAATTATTATTAATTTTTATCGGTAATTTTTTTTGTAGATTTTTTTCATGATTCTGAACAATCAATTATTGGGATTTTAAAAATTTTTAATATTGTCAAAAAATAAAATTTTGAAAATAGTTAAAAAAAATTTTTTTTTTTTAATTTTGATAATTCACATTAATTTTAGATCCAAAATAATGACAGAAAAAAAAATTGACACCCTTTAACAATATTATTAATTTCGATGAGTTGAAATTTCACCGAACCCTTCACTTAATTTTAAAAAATGAGGTCATTTCGTTTCTTTCGAAAAGTTAGTGACACATTTAAAGGATTCTGCGAGGTGACGGTAGGTAGTAGCTGGAAGCTGATGCTGCTATCCCTTCAACCAGATGTTACTCGTTGCAGCAGTCCTCAACTCTCGATAATGTCTCGCATCGTTGCATTTTGTCATATATAAGAACGTGGGAGATTACGTGGTTTATCCTTGTCACAGGACGTTGACTCGTTTACTTCAACCAATCTCTCTCTCTCTCTCTCTCTCTCTTTCTCTTTGCAACAATGCTTTGAGCAAAAGAGAATCCATAAACCACACTTGGTCCATCGATTTGAGAATCACTGCAGAAAGTAAGTACGGTGGAACTCAGCTGTCGCCTCCTAATTGCCGGGACAATGCAACAGATGGCTTTGATCGCGATCCCTTCTCAGTTCCAACCTTTCTCCACCCACAATCCTATAATCTATATATATATACACATCTCTCTAACTCTTCAATTTTTCTTTTACATTTTTTTTTTTTAATTTTTCATTTCTATTCCAATCATTTTAGAAAAAATTTTCTTACAGGAAAGAAAATGATTTTCCTTAGTAAAACCTGCAAAAAATGGATAAGCGAGATTTTCATCTCGTAAGCGTGTCACACAACTCTTGGGAGTCTATCGCAAAATACGCTTTGCCGCCAGCTCTCGAGAATTTCGGATATGATATCAGCCATGAACAGAATCCCGTTGGAAGTGTTGGACGTGCCTTATCGCATCTGGACCAGGCAACACACCAGCAACCAGTCTATGGTCTCTCCTCTCATCAACCTGCCTGACTAGAATCCATATAAGAGCTTTTCCAACACATTCTCTGTGTATGTGTCAGCAAACGCTCGACACAAAAGAATTTCTCATCAAAAAAAAAGGAGAATCTCCCTTATTTCAATAATTGAGTTTCAAAAAATTATATGCGACCATAAATTGCCTCCATTTTTTCGCATTTAAGAAAATATTACACGAAAGTGCGAGAATTGTCGCGCCGGAAGTGTTGAAAAAAAAAGGAATTAAGACTCTGGGGCCAACGAGTCCGAATGTGAGCGGTTTTTGTTTGAACCAAAGTAGCTGCGGGCTCAGATAATAACCTATTCGGGGTCCAAATGTGTATACGGTTTTAGCGAAACGCACACCCACTCAACATCCCATATACGGGTACCATCATCTAAATTCTCCAACTAGAATATTATATATACCTATAGTTTAAAGTACAGAAAAACTCCTTTTTGTTTCTTTAATTAATTTCTTGATTTAAATTATTTATTGATTTCTAATTTAAAATCTCAATAATTCCGAGGAGGATTTTGTAATTTTTTATTTGTTTTTTTTTTCATAAAATTAATTTTTTTATTTCTGTCAATTAACCGAATTATTAATCAATAAAATATTTTTATATTAAAGTACAAGTTTTCAAATAAACGATATTTTTATCAGTAAATTTTTAAATCAATGAAAATTAGATTTTAATTTAGATTATTTGAAAAAAAATTTAATTATCAAATTTTGGATAAATTGAAATTTTTCATTAGACTAGTAGTTTTTATTTGGATTGAAATTATAAAATTAATTAATATTTACAGAGTAACAAATTTTAATCTAATATTTTTATTAAAAAAAATTTGAATATTAATTTAGATTATTGAAAAAAAATTTAATTAACAAATTTGGATAAATTGACATTTTTCATTATAGTAGTAGTTTCGATTCGATTGAAATTATAAAATTAATTAATATTTACAGAATAACAAATTTTAATCTAATATTTTTATTAAAAAAATTTTTAAATCAATGAAAATTAGATTTTAATTTAGATTATTGAAAAAAATTTAATTATCAAATTTTTGATAAATTGAAATATTTAAAAAATTCTTAAATCAATGAAAATTATATTTTAATTTAGATTATTGAAAAAAAAATTTAATTATGAAATTTTAGATAAATTGAAATTTTTCATTAGACTAGTAGTTTTTATTTGGATTGAAATTATAAAATTTTTTATTAAAAAAATTTTTCAATCAATGAAAATTTGATTTTAATTTAGGTTATTGAAAAAAAATTTAATTATCAAATTTTGGATAAATTGAAATTTTTCATTAGAGTAGTAGTTTCGATTGAATTGAAATTATAAAATTAATTAATATTTATACAGAATAAAAAATTTTAATCTAATATTTTTATTAAAAAAAATTTTAATATTAATTTTAAATTCGATTATAAAAAAAAAATTTTTAATCGAATTTCTTTGAGATTTTTTTTTTTTTTTTGATTTTAAATTTGAAAAAAAGGGAAAATAATTTCTAATATTTTTAGATATTTGATGAATAATTCTCCTCGGTATATAATTTTGTGATTTAAATTATCTGATTAAAATTTTGAAATGCTATAGGTAATTATTGAAAATAAAAACTCACCCTTCGTTTTTGCTTTAACATCAAGATCAATGAAAAATTGTTCTGAATTATTGTTGTTGAGATTCGATTTAAGGACGGGTGGCTGACGAGTTACAGAGGTTGGTTGTACAAGTGTTGTCATTGAAGGAGTTACGATTGGCAGACTTGAAGTAGAACCTAAGCTCGAGGTAGTGTTGGTGATGGTGTTGTTGTTGTTGTTTGCTGAGATGCTGTTGGCATTTGAGTGTGTTGTGATCGTTATGGTTGTGACGGTCGTAGTTGCCGTTGACATAGATGCCCCTGTTTGCTGTTGAAAGCCACTGCATTCTTCCTTTTCTTCTTTCACCTTGATCTTCTGAAGGGCTGTACTCGTCGCCACTCCACTTTCCACTTTCATGCTCACTGGACCCTACCTAGAATAAAAAAAAAAACCCTTATTTATAATTTTATCTTTTTTTTCAAATTTATCAAAAAAAAATTATTAAATTAAAAATTAAATTTTTATTTATGATGATTATTTCGAATTCTAGAGAATATATATATATAAACATGAATCTAATGTATATCTCATCTAAATTGCATTACTACCGAGGAACGATATACGAGAAAGAATATACAACGAGGAGACGTGCGATGCGCACAACTCGAATTTGATTGATTCCATTTCCCCCGGTGAAAGCCACATATTTCGTCTACGTGCTTTGAATTTCTTACTCTGGTCATGCATACCGATTGCTATTTTAACAGAACACTTCCCATTAGTTTTACGAACCCGCGAGAGCTGAGAGAGAGAGAGAGAGAGAGCTTAATTACACATGACGTGAATTCATTCTTTGTCATTAAAATTGACATTTAATAATTTTCAATTAAAAAAAAATAATTTCTATAGTAAAAAAAATTTTTTTTTTTAAATATAATTATAATTTTTTTAGTTAATTTATAAACATATATATATAACGTTTAACAATTAAGTTGTGGACAGGTGGTGAAATGACATGACATTACGCGAATGCACCGTCTGTTCTCTATACACGCTCAAGTCGACAGTAGTATAGTAGTCACGTGCATTGATTATTGTAGCCTGTTTCTGTTCTATCTCAAGTTACTGGAGACGAAACAGAATAAAAATAGTATATTTCAAGCAGAAAGGCAAAATTAGAAGAAAAGCCAAATTAAGCAACTGACAAATGCACCTTTCAACGTAATTTTCAATTAAAAAAAAAACAAAAATTCTTTTTCTTTCCTTGAAATGTATAAATTGAATTAATTCCAATTTCTTAAATATATACATTTTTAAATAATAAATATATTTTAATATTGAAAATAAAAATTTATTCTTTTATCGGCATATTCAATTATAGAAAGTAAACACTTATCATTCTATATAAGATGCTTAGTTAGGTAAACAGGCGTACAGCTTCTGAAAATTATAAACGTGCTTCTGCAGGAAATCTGAAGCTTTCGCGAACAAATTTTACCGTGAAAATATATTAGTTACTGTAATTTAAATTCAGATATTTTTAATAAAATAAATTGTTTTTTTTTTTTTTATAAAAACAGTACTGTTAAAATATTATTACACATGTAATAATTCAAATTTATTTGAAAAAGTTGTTTTTTTTTTTTTTAATTTTACGACCAGGAAAATATTTTTTTTTTTCAATAAGCGATGAAAAGAAATTTTTTTTTTTTCAAATATAAGAAATGCAGACCTTTAAGCTAAAAATATTGTTATAAATAAATAATCAATTTCATAAATGTAGAGTGATGAGAATGTGCCATATGACAAAAGCCATAAATGGCTAGCTTTATATGAACAAGAAGAAAGTATACAGCGATGAGAAAGTTCCATATGTCAAGAGCACGATAATACCTCTAGCGCACACAAATGTTTTTATTTTTCGATTCGTTCAAAAAACTCTCGAGAGTATAAAGCCTTATGAAAAGAAAAAAAAAATAATAGATGTTCTATAGAGCCTCTAGTTAATTAAAAATATATATTTTTAATGAAGAAAAATAATTCCCTTTAATACGAATATCCTAATAATTTTTTTTTTCTCTTGTTCAACTTTCTGTAAATTATACATTATTAATTATCTAATTTTCACGAAAAATAAAATAAAAATTTTTTTTGTAATTATAGGAAAATTCAAAAGAAATGAAGAAAAAATGAGTCACACAAAAATAATTTTGCGCACATTTTTCCGCATGGAGAAGAAGAAAAAAAGAAAGAAAACAAGAGTTAACTGCCAAGAGTCTTAAATTTTCTTCTTGTAATTAGAAAAGTTAAGCTACACACATATAAGAAAAGGAAGTGGTACTGAGACGACTATAACATTCGCCAGGCAACAGTACACGACGAAAAGTCGAAAAGTATAACACATTTACAATTCTCCTAAAAGTCGACAAAACTCTTCGATATTTTAGTGTGAAAATTTCCCTTTAATTTCTCCTGAAAAAAAAAATTAAAATTAGTTTTTTTTTTTTAATAATTTTAGCAATTTATATTATTTTAATTATCTTTTTAATTTTATACTTTTTGTATAATTTACTCAGAATATTTCTAATTTTTTTTATTTAATTTCAAATTTAAATATAGAATTTGTTTTAGAAAATGTCAAAAGTTTAAAAAAAAAAAATAAAAACTTGAGAATAGTATTAATATAGAATTATTATTTTTTTTTTTTATAAAAAGTGCCTCCGGGGTCTTATCCTTGAATTAAATTTTCTGAATGACGTTTGATTCAGAGAACGCTCCACGTGCGTTTGAAAGCACATGCTTGTAATGTCAGAATCCAGACGGGATATATTCTGATATATTTATAAAAATTACTCGCTTTAGGCGTGTCGACTCATCAAAACAGTAGCCCCTCAAATTTTGATTTTTTTTATTTCTCAACAATAAAATTAATGTTTCTTTTTATCTCTAATTTTTAATATAAAAAAAAATTATGCCTATAAAAAAAAAGAATAATTAGGAATTTTGAAAGTGAAGAAGAAATTCTAAAAAATGGTATCAATGTCAATGACAATAATGATAATATTATTATTATAATAATTATTATAAAATTTTGATAATTGAGAAATTTATTAAATTTGAAGATATAGAAAAATTGATGAAAAAAAAAGATGTTCGAACAAATCTGTGAGAGAGGGGCAAAAATTATTATTATTTTCATTTTTTTTTTCGAAATGGCTGCAGCGAATAATCGTAGATCGATCGCCGTCACGTTTTAAAGGAAACGTTTTGCTGGTGCCGAGGCAGACTGGCTTATGTTTATACATATGTCCCGCACATGGTACGGTACTTGGAGAAGAGGTTGTGGCGGAGGCGTACTGAAATTTCCAATATTAGAACAACCAAGCGAGAGACAGACCAGATGTCTACCGTATACTGACTAGTACCAGTACATTTAGCTTGGTTTTCATTACAAAAAATGCAGTCTATTGCACTGTCATGTGTGACTGGACCCGTTGAATAAAAAACCGAAATCTCACATCATTCTAATAATGGAAAAAAAAAAATTCAACTTCCATCCTTTCTTTGTTCCGCAAATTAAAATTTTCCCTTTTTTCGAATTACTTGGAAGATTTCCTAATTGAAATAAATCGAGAATAAATAGTAAATAAATACTAATTGAATAAATAATAAATTTTCACTAATAGAATTATAAAATTCAATTTTCATTTGTATAATACTGATTTCATTCGCAGGCGCTAATCGAGCTGACCGATAAGCGCGTGGTTCCAAAGCTGTCAACGTCATATCGAGAACACGATTATCCAAATTTGTCACCACCTTCCACAAATTCTATATATGGTAAAACAAAAAAAAAAAAAAAAAAATTTCATCAATTACAAATTAATTCCAATTTTTTATCTTCAAACATTGGATTGACTTTAAGGTAGGAAAAAAAGTCGTTTTAAATTAACATTCCTCTGTTTTAATGAAAATCATCGATGGATCGATACTCGGGGGTTTTTTTTTTTTGCCTATGAAAATATTGAATAGAGTACGCAGGTGCGCTTATCGTGCAGATGGTCCGTCAATGTTGGACGATATAGAGGAAGAGAAATAAGTATATCTGATACATGAATTATACAGCCAATGTCATAAATATGAGAATCTAATAAAAAAGAAATATATATGTATTTGAATCCATAAAAAAAAAAAAAAATATTCCTTTATAGAAATAATATAATTTTGCAAACGTCATGATGTGGAGAGTACAGGTACTTGGCAGGTATGACCGCCGGTGTAGTCAGGTAGGCAAACAGAATAGAGTCTCTACCGGGACTCTTGATTCTCTTTGAAGCACAGAAGCTGCCTGCAACACCTGACTGACTCTACAGACGCATATATGGCAGGTTCACCAGAGAGAGAGAGAGAGAGAAAGGAGAGAGATTAATAATATAGGAAAGCCAAAGCCACGCCAACCCTCCCGACAAGCTTTCCTCTGCCTCACTTCTGTTGCCAACAGTTAATCGATATAATACTTCGGTATAACACGCGCACCATGAAGCACTGCTTTTAAGTGAGATGCACGCACACACATACAAATTATCAACAATATGTGATTTCTATTTTACAACGATAATGAAAGCTACTTATTGACAAATACGAAAATTAAAACAAAAATTGCAATTTAAAAAAAATTCAAAAATAATTTAATTTATTATAAATTTAAAACTAAACATATTTTTAATTCAGAAAATAGTCTTGATTAAGGAGAGGGATCGTTGAAATTTCAAAACTGAGGCTGTTTCAGGTTGTCAATTTTTTTTTCCCCCGTTAATATTTTGTATTTAAAACTGCAATATATCGGAAATTGATAAACTATTTTTTTTAAACTAAAACTCGAAATTTAAACTTCTATCACAATTTTTATTATTTTTCATTGCTGATTTTTTTAATATCCCTTTTTATAAAATTCTGAACAATCAATCGTGTGGATTTTAAAAAAATTCAATTTTTTTAAAAAATAAAATTTTTGAAAAAAAAAAATGCAAAATTTGTTAAAAATTATTTTTCATACTGAAAATATGATTTCAGATTCTAAAAAAATTTTCTAAAAAAAAAAATTGTTACCCCTAAATCAAATTGCAATTATAATTGATTTCAATTTCATCAATTATTCCTTAAAATTTCAACTTCTACAATTTTTTTTTATTTTTTTATCGGCTTTTTTCATGATTCTAAACAATTAATCGTATGGATTTTTTAAAAAATTGGAATATTTTCAAAAATTTTCAATAGTCAAAAAAAATTTTTTTTTCTTTTTAATTTTTGATAATTCACAATAATTTTAGATTCAAAATAAAATGCCCAGAAAAAAAAGAAATTGACACCCCTTTAACAACATTAATTTCGATGAATTGAAATTTCACCAATTCCTCCACCTTAAAAAAAAAAAAAAAAAAATAATAGTTATTTTTTTTAATCACTTTCTTTCTAAAATGTCAATGTCCAAACGAACATTCAAATCAGAATTAAACGACGAATTCGCGAGACAAGTTATTACATGTTAAAGTTCCTGACGTTTCATTTCCATGTTTATTGAACATTGAGTATATATGTGAAAAACAAAAAGAAAAAAAAAGCTGTATTGAAGTATCTACATGCGATCAAAAAAAAAAAAAAAAAAAAAACAAATTGCCACGTCAAAAACTGTTACTGATTATATCGAAAAATGCAAAAACAATTTTTTTTTCTTCATATATGAAGCAAAATTGACTTGGAAATTTCTAAAAATTATATAAGAAAAAAAATTGAATATGAAACAAAATCAATTAGTGAAAATTGACTTGGAAATTTCTAAAAATTATAAGCAAAAAAAAAAAAAAAAAAAAAATTTTAACTGATCGGCGTTAATAAGGAAAAGCATTAGGCGCGTCGACACTTTGCGCAACATTCATTTTGACAGGTAAGAAGAAAAGAGAGAAAAGAGATGGTGGGAAAATGAAGAAGGGCAAAACAGTTTTCGCACTGGCTGAACGTGGAACAAATTTTGTTGGAAAAGACAGACAGACAGACAGACTATGGGGTACACAGAAACTTGGAATCTTCTATATAGCCAAGTATAAACGTGGAATGAGGAGCTAAGCATATACGAAAACCCGTCAGCTGCATCCCTTCGCACGATATTCGCCAATAATCGGTTCCCCAGAAAGCGTATACCATTCGTTTGTGATTAAACATTTTCTCTCTCTCTCTCTCTAAGTCTTCATAAATCTATATAGACTCATCTGGTTTTCCAATTAAAATTTTTTTTTTTTTTACTTACTTGAAAATACTCGTTATCAGCAATATTGCACTGGAAATATTCGAATATTCCAAATTTCTCTCGAAAAATATTTTTTGAATTTCCAAATTGAAGACAAGATCAAAATTTAACATCCAATCTAAATTTTTTTGATAAAAAAAAAAAATAAATATATAATAACAAAAATTCATTAAAAAATCAATTCTGAGCAATAATATTGCAATTTGGGAAAAATTAAACAAGAAACTATAATTTGTCTGATCGAAACTAACCTGATTTTCATCACGAATTTCTCCATTGTGACTATACTTATATATTATTGTAATCAATTATTTTACTTTAATTTTGAAATATCATCAGTCAGAGAGCAAAATCAATCGGATATATTGGACGGGGAAAAAAATTTTTGAATATCTGCAAAATGAAAATTAGTTAAAAAAAGAAGAATACCTATTAATTAAAAAAAATTATAAATTTAATTCTATAATAATTTTTAAATCGACTTTAAATTATAAATTTCTCGGATATTTTTTTTTTTTGTCCAATTATGTTTTTTGAAATGATTTTCTTATAAATGAAAAACGAAAAAATTTGTTTATTATATCATTGAAAAGAAATAAATTTAATATAAAAATTCAAGAAATTAATCTTCAAAATTAATTTTTAAAATCTGCTATAGAAATTTTGCTACGGGCAAATTTTATAAAAATCAATATTTAATGAAAGAAAAAAAAATTACTTTCACTTTTAATTTAAAAATATCCGAAACATTTTTTTTTTTTTGGGAAAAATTATTATTAAATAAATAAATTATAAGAATTTTTTTTCCTTTTACATTTAATAAAAGAAATAATTCATTGAAATTAGAATATAGTTAAAAATAATAATGGAATTACTAATACAAGTTGCTCAAACTTTGAATATACTTTTCGAGTTTAAAAAAAAAAAAAAAAAAAACTCGCGTGTTACCGCGACAGAAACGATAAAAGTCTAGTTTAGTAAAGTTATCTATATACTTTTGCATAAATGAATAACACGATATAAGAAAATTCTATAACACCTTTCACTTTATAGAAATAAACTTGAAATTTTCAGATTCATGAAAAAGAAAAGCAATTTTCAAATTAATAATTCATAATTTTTCGTAAAAAAATATGAACTATCATTTCAAAAATAAATTTTTTTTCGATTTTTCATCTACTGCGAAGAAATTAACAAAGTAAATTATAATTTCTCTCTACGAATAAAATATTAAAATACTTTGGTTTCTTTAAATATATATAAATATAGTTCCTGCCCCCGTGAATTATCACCTGTTCTGATGTGGTCCCTTAATAATATCACCTGGCCGATTCTCACTTCCGATCTTCAATGGAGGTTTGTAAAAAACAATCAATGACTCTATTCAGTCAAAACCGTCATCCATTTACTGAAACGGAATACGGCAGCTGCACGAAAAATAATCAAGTGTGAAAATAGAAAATTTGCGTAAAACAGAAAAAAATCAGTTCTTTCTTGAATATAAAATTTAGAGTTTCTATATTTAATAATAAATAAAAAATTTATAAATTAAAAATTCATTATCTAATTTATAAATTAGTTATTTATACAGTTTTAATTATAAACTAATTGCGCAATTAACTAATCGCAATAATTTAATTACCATAAAAAAAAAATTTATTTTAATAATATTTTCCCAAAAACATAATTAGAAGAAATATTCTTTATTTCTTTTTTGAAAAAATTTTTGTGTTGTGAAACAAATTTACACTAAGTATATATATATATATATATGTGAAACAAATAATAAGAGGTCGGAAATCACACGTGTCTGACATACGTTTAGCACGTGTGACTTCCGGTCCCTACCAGTTTAGTACCCTCTTCATCTTTAATTGACTATCTAACTATGTATCTCTGTAATAAATCAGAGATATTGAAACGATTATTTAAAAAAAAAAATGTTTCATTATTTGAAAATGTAATAAAATTCTATAGTAAAATATTACATTTATTGTAAATTATTAGTTTAATAAATATTATTTATTTTATTAAATAACAACAATTTAAAAATATTAAAAGAAAAAATAAATTTAATTAAAAAATACAATCGAAATAATAATTATAAATTAAAAAAAAAAAATTCAAATTATAGAATTTTGAAAACTGAAAAAAATTGTTAAATTCACATTTCATTAAATTACAAAATAAATCTGAATTTAAATAAAAATTTTTACCTTCTTATTAATAATAAATAAAAATGTTGTTCTCCAATTCATCTAAATAAGATCTCACAAATTTCTCCAATAATTGCGCATCAAAGCAATTTAAAATTGTTTTTTTTTTAAAAAAACACACGTTCACGAATCATTTTTGAAATATAAAAAAAAAATCATTTATAATTATTTAAAAAATATTTATAATAAAATATATTTAGAATTTCACAATTTTATTTATTTTCATCAAATATTTAGAATATAGTAAAATAGAATTTTCACTGAAACAAAATTTTTTGAAAAAAATTATTTAAGAATTTTGTTAAAAGCTCTAAAAACGTCTTTTCGATTTCGCGGTTGGAAAAAAAATTCATACGTATGTATATATATATATATATGAAGCTCGCACGACTATCGCCGGACGACTGAATTCTGGTTGGAAAACAGAACTTGATAGGAACCACAGAGGTGCTTAGGGGGAGGGTTCCTCCCTCTTTGTAGCCCTCTCTGTTTCCGGGTTCTACTGATAAGAGAGAGAAAAAAAACATGCAAAATAACATCGTTAATTCATTTTAAAAATTATAAAATAAAAAAAATTCCCTTTTTTTTAAAAAAAAATCTACAAAAAAACAATTAAATTAATTTCATAGAAATTAATTAAAATTGAAGCCTCTAATTATAAATCGTTTGAAATAAATTAATCAAGTGTTTAAAAAAAAAAAAGTAAATAATTTAATGTATTAACGATGTTTTTTTTTCAAAAAAAAATTGCAAAAATACTTTTGCGCAAATTTTTCATAGAATTAAAATTTTTGTAAATTACTTACATATATGAATACAGGTGAAAGACTCATTGGTTGGTTTGAGATTTTGCACCATATGGGCCAATGGATTGTCCTTGCAGTGATAATATATGTAGGAAACATGGTTATATAGAATGGTGCGGGTGTACACCAACAGGCTAAACTAGCACAAGAGGAGAAAGTAGAGGGGTACGAGAGGGCCAAGCTATTTCTCAGCTTCAACAGCAGAGCTTTTCTTCCTGAGAATATATCGACACGTCAGAAACACACCCCGTTTACAATATCCACGAATAGACGATTCGCGCCTCTATTTGGCTATCTCGCACGTCGTCAAGACGAAATTGCTTTTCCATTCATATCTTCAAAAAATTTTTCCCTCAAATATTATCTATATATATATATATGTATATATAACATTTTTTTTTCGTATTTACATATTAGTGTGTCAACATTATTATCTTTCTCAAAATATTGTTAATAAAATTAATTATACATAACTTACCAAAATGATGACAATGAAGTAAAATCCTCAAACATGGTAGAATTTATTTAAAAACTTTTAATAATCTAAATTCACATCAAATTATTCTCTTTTATATTAAAGATGCTTCATTACCTTTTTATTATATACTCTTTATAATTACTTTGGCCAAGAAGACTATGGCAACAATTGTTATAAACGCCATCTTGAAAACCGTTGGAAATCTGTGCTTTAAATGTGACGTTCCATGAGGAAAGGGACCTTAGCTGCAATAGACGCATTTTCCAGAAAAGGTATTTAAAGTAGAGCGTCCCTGATTGGTTGAGACCCTCCATCGAAAATCAGCCCCACCACCTTACTACTACATCGTTCCTACAGCTCACGCTTACGACAAGTATACTAGTGTAGAAGTGGTGGGGATGGTTTCTGTAGTCCGTGCTGGAACGCGATTAACATGGTCATGATTAATGCTTTATAACAAAAAAACTAAATAGAAAAGTACAATTTTTAACTTTTGTATCTGAAAGAGCAACTCAAGATCTATCGACTGATATCAAAAACTCAATTTTCATTTTTTTGCAGCTAAGGTCCCTTTCCTCATGGAACGTCACAAATATGAAAATGAGTGACGTAGTTTCAAATTTTGCGGCCCCGGAAAAATAATATATTTTTTATCTATCCTCTTTTTAATATAGTAATAATAAAAATAATGCTGCGTCTATTCGTCCGACTAGACGGACAAAATAATTTTTGATAATTTTGTCCGTCTATGTATATTTTAAGAAAATCTTGGTGGAAGGGGGGGAAATGCCCGAAAGTATTCTGGATATAGATGGACGTTTAGACGTTTTTTGATGTCCGTCTAGCCGGACGTTTAGACACTTTGTAAAAAATAATTTGCATTTAAAGTTTTGATTATTATCGAAATTTGCAAAAAAAGAGATTTAAAACTGCGCAAGCTCCCTTGCGATCGTGGAGTTGGGGGTGAAGGGGTGTTTTAGCTACGTTACTGGGGAATTAGACACTGCTTTATAAACAAACAAAAAAGTAAGGTTAAAAGGCATGTTTTTGATTTAAAAAAAAAATAGAAAAAGAAGCAGTGATAATAAAAAAAATGTTAAATTAATGAATAATAAATACCATAAGTGAACGACGTTGATGTGACCAGGATTTTGGACAGAGGCCGTACACTTTTTTTTTTTTTTTTTTTTTTTGTATTATCCTGACAGCATCAAAGTCACGCGCGTGTTTGACAGAATCTAGCTCAATATTCAACGAATGCAGAGAATCGTGTCGATGACAGGCCACCGGATGATGGAGTGCAATAATGCCGTAAATTCACATATATTTGTGTGTAGAAGAAATCCAATACCCCGAAGTACATCATAGGTATTATTTATTTCATTCATTTTGAAAAACTTATTTATTTTTTTTTCAATTAATATTAATTTTATTTCATTAGTCTAATTTATTTTATGAAATTATTGTTTTTACTATGATGATTTTCAGTAAAGAATTAATAGAAAACAAAAAAAAAAAAAAAAAAATGAATAAAAAAGCAAAAATGATTACGTATTTCTGTAATACTGGGATTTTCGTATTTCTCAACGAATTTCCTTGCATTGCACACCTGCGGCACCTGCACTATCACAAGCTACCTTTACATTTTCACGCTGCATCACTATATATATATATATATATATAACTCACATAGACAATTACAAGTGTTCAACTGAATTTCCGTCACTGATAATTGAAACAACAGGAATTGTTCAAACTTAGAATATGAGAGATTATTATTTTATTCTCACCGTGTAAATTATAATTCAGAGAAAAAAAAAGAAAAAACATTTTAAATTCTCTATATTATAGAAATAATTGAATTATTCAAATTTTGGCAAATTTTAAATATTTTGCAACAAAATTATTTTTTAGCGCGATTAATTATTTTATTTATTTAATAACGGAATTTTTAGATATTAAAGAAAAATAATTGTTTTTATAATTTAGATAATGAGGGGGAATATTTGTCTTTGATATTGCGATGAATGAAATTATTTACGACTTTTGGTATCCTGTAATAATTGATTCGCTTTTGAATTTTGGAAATTCCAACATAAACCTGTGTAATTTTCACAGCGAGAGATATAAAAAAAAAAAAAAAAAAAAAATTACATTCACGATCGTGGTTTACAGCTTGAAATGACGGTTCTCTCTCGATTTCCGTAGTTTGCGCACTAGAATGTCAATTGCCACGAGAGGTAAATGTCAAAAGCACTTTAATCGAAATATGATACCTATTATATATATATATATATATATATATATATATAATAAAGGCAATATTTTTTTCATTCATTATTTGGTAAATCATTACTTTTTTAAATTATAAAAAAAAATTATTTTAGTAATAAAAATATGTATTAAGTAAAATATTTTTATTTAAATTGTAAAATTATATTTCAATATTGTAGAAAACGAAAATTTAGAAATATCAATATTTTTCTCAATTTTTGATATGTTTTTTTTTTGTGTTGTATAAAAAAAAAATCTGTCAATTTGAAAGAAAACATCTCAAGGTTTTTTTTCCACACACACACACATATGAATAATTTATTAATAAACATTTCAACGAATTCAAATCAAGAAAATAGGTTTTTATATTTTGTAAAGAAACATATTTTTTTTTTTTTTTCTCTTGATATGCTTTTTATTATATTCAAACTTTAAATATATTTCTTAGACTATTGAATTCTTTGTGATTAAAAAAAAAAAAAAAGTGACAAAATTCGTTGAACAATAAGTGTAATACTTGTATTGCGTACAAGTTTTGTTTTAATAGTTCCATACTTGATTCACACAAAAAAGTAGTGAAAAAATAGAGGCGTATTTTTGTTACTTTTCCCTAATTTTCAATTTACCAAAAAACTAATTTAATTTTTTATTTTATTATATTTAAAATATCAGAAAGATTATATAAAATTTAAGAATAAAATGAAAATCAGGGAAATCATCTAAAAATTGAAGACTGTAAAAAATTGAGAATTGTTTTTTTTTTTTTTTGTTTGTTTTAAATGTGACTAACCAGTGTCAGAAGTGCAGGAAGATGTGTCGACATTATCGTTGTTGCTGTCCGTTGATGAACTGTCATTGCTTTTGATCCGCCTTTTGCGTAGTTTTTCAAACTGAAACTCCTCGACGGGAACTGCACATGAAGAATAATTGAAATCTTTCGTTATTATAATGCGACGATTTTTTTTTTTTATCGTGCAAGAATCGCAGAACCTTTTTTTTAATATAGGAAAAAGGAAATTCTTTTGTAAATATATATATATATAAAAAACGAAAAATAAAACATATTTATATTATATTTTAACAAATACATATTTTTAAGATAATATAATATATATATATATAATCGACGTTGAGCCTATAAGATTGTCGAACAAATTATATCTCATTTTTCTCTAGATTCTAATTAATCGGAACACTAAATCAAATTTTTAAATTTAATTAACATAATTTATGTATTTTAAATAAATTTATATTATTATAAAAATATATATATTAAATTACTCTAATTGAATTTAAATGGAATTACAATTCCTTAAATTTATCTAGAACATAGTAATTTTTAAAAAAAATTTACAATTTTAAAAAATATTTCCGTTATTTTAAAAGAAATAAAAAAGTGTTAACAAACGATATGATTATTTGAGATTCGTTTGGTTACCATCTGAATCCGGATCTGGAACTGGATTTATTGCTGATGTTTGCATAGGTATAATTTCAGGTTCTAAAGGTTTTGTTGCACAATCCTCAACAATTACTTCCTCTGCCAAACTACTTCTTACAGCTTCTATTAAAATTAATTAATTTATATATTAAAAACAGAAATAAAATAACTAAAATGAATAATTTAATTTTAAATATATCTAGAAATTATTTTAAAAAATGAATAATTTACCACTAAAAGCTTGAGGATATTGTTGATTAAGTTTATTTTTTATTAATCTTATCTTCTTGAAAATATAATCCAAATCCTTTTTCATTTCAACTAAAAGTGCTGTATGCTTTTTAAATTCTGTGCCCGCAGTTTTCAATCTATTCACTGATAATTGATTACAATTTGTCAGCATTTCGTTTGTTTTTTCAAATCGCTGTAACCTAATTAATTTAATTTGAAATTTAATCAGTGATTAAAAAAAAAAAAAAAAAAAAATCATGAAAGAGTAGAAAATTTAACTTACATTTGCTTTTGAGCACGAATCATTGATTCAACATCCTGTTGATCGACAATTCCAGCAAAACCTTGAATAAATACCTCCGGTGCTGTATAATTTTGAAAACATTCAAAACTACCGGTATCGGATTCTGGAGTTCCTTGAGCAGTTGCCATTTCTTTTTTTTATTATTGTTAAAGTAGAGAAAATATATTTATTCGATAACATTAATTTGTCATCATAAACACTTTATATTACATATTATTGATTTTATTCAGAAATATTCTTTTTCATTAATAATAGTTTTATAGTTATAAAATAAATTAATTTAATATTAAACGATAAAAATTCACGCACGAATCATTGAAAATATTGATGTGGAATTTTGACAGATAATTGACAGGATTAACAGGTTATGTTTATGCGCATGCATAACAAGATATTTTGTCACAATTGGTTGAAATTAAGCGCGGTTATTTTGAATTCACAAATAGAAAATAAAGAATTTAAATAAGACGGCAAAATTTTGTCCAATAGAATATTTTTTTTACAATTGTTTACTCATGCGCATTAAAATTAAATTGAAAATAAATAAAAATAAATTATAACACTTTATTGAAAAAAATAATATTAATTGAAAGAAATAAATAAATTTTCCTTTTAAATAATAAAATTTAATTTTATTAAATGAATTATATTTTAGATATTAATTTGACTAAATGTAAGTAATCAAATTGAACGCAAGCGCACACGTTTCATGAACATAACCTCAATTGTTTATGTATAGTCATTTGTCTTGTTTTTTTTTTTTAAATAAAGAAAAATTTAATTTTTTTCTAATATTTGGAATTAGAGGAAAATCATCGGTATATTTAGATGTAATATGAATTTTTGAAAAAGAAAAAAAAATATTGGAGGTGGTAGATCTTTGTATTTTTTTTTTTTTAATAAAAAAAAGGGCAGGGCGAATGTCGTGTTTTCAAATAGAAAAAAAAGGTATATAATATGCGATTCGTGTGATAATAGTCTAAAATGAATATTAAAATAATGTCGTGTCAAATAAATGGTTGTGATAAAGAAACATGATTTCAACAAAATGAGAAGGTCTTATAATTCAGATGTACGTACAGGCGATGGTCTTGAGGTTACGAGACGTTTATACAGGTAAAAATTTATAGTTTTTTAAATTTAATTTTCTTTATTTTAATATAATAATTGAAATATTTACAGAAGTATAAGTGACATTGCCAAAAGACTAAATGAACAAAAAAGTCATGCTTTGACAGTGACGGATATTTTTACACCTTCTGGCGAAACATTACGCACTAAATTACGTGATTATTGTGAAAGACTAATTTTTAAGGATCCAGTTAGTCATGTTCGTAAAACAGAGGAATTACTTTGGAGACGAGGTTTTTATGATGTCGTCTCATTGGCGAAAAAGATACGAAAAGTAATTGTTTATTTATTTATTTATTTTAACATTTGAAAATATTGTAAAAAAAAAAATTTAATTTTTATATAGGGTAATGTTTGGAATGATGCTGAAAAAGCATTATTGTCAGCACATTTTGCTGTTGGTGTTGGTTTTTATCATCATTTAATTTTGCGACTACAAACCGAGTGTAATTTAGATCTCATTGGAGTCATTGATTTTGCTTATCCACATAATACAGTTAATGTAAGTAAAAAAAAAAAAAGATCGCTATTTATTTTATTAAAATAATTTTTTTTTTTAGATTAAAAGCAAAAATTCACCTTCGAAACTTGAAACCGAGGAAGCAAGACAATGCGCAATTCGTTTTATACATCGATGTTTAATATGTTTGGGTGATTTGGCTCGATATAGATTAGATTTAGAGCCAAATTGGGATCCATTAATTGCAACTCGTTATTATAAAATGGCAGTTGCAATTGATCCAAATATTGGTATGTCACACAATCAACTTGGTACAATGGCTGGAAATAAAAATTTTGGATTAGACGCTGTTTATCATTACATGAGAAGGTAAATTCATTTGAAATGTAAATTATTTTAATTAAAAGTTATTTTTTCTTTTTTTTTTTTTAATAATATTTCAGTATTTTATGCTCCGAACCTTTTGACGGGGCTGAGGGAAATTTACGAAGAACAATAGTATTACATTCGACGAGTGGAAAAGAAAAATGTTTAACACACGAGTGTATTGCAAAATTGCTTTCTCTTCTTCAATTATGGGAGAATGAAGAAACTAGTCCTGAATTTATAAATCAAGAATGCGAGGTAAATTACTTGAAAATATTTTTGAAAATCGAAAGAAAATTTATTTATTTATTTTTTTCAGTCGCTGCTAAACACAATCGAGAATTGTTTAAATCTCGAACGATCGTTTCCAAATAAAAATCTTGATGAAGTAGACGATATTGAAATGTATCTTCAAAAATGTAAAATTGATGATTCAATTTATTTCAATGATGATATAATTTTCAAAATAATGGCAATATGCTTAATGTCAATAACAAAATTACGCAATAAAAATTCCCATGATATTAGGGGAATAATTGCCTTTACATTGGCTGTGTTATCACAATTAGTTAATTCAACAATATTACGAATTCAAGAATCTCTAATTGATGTCTCGCTTGCGAATGGAGAAAATGTTGATTTAAATTTACAATTTGCCGATTTTAACGGTGAAATAATAAAAGAAGAAGAAGAAGAAGATGATGAAGAAGAAGAAGAAATTCATCTTAAGGAAATTAATAACGAGTCATTAAATTTAAATAAAAATGAAAGTTTAACAACAAATGGCAATTATACGAATGGAATTAAAAAAAAGGGACAAACAAAGGATAAATCAAAAAGTTTATTAACTAAATTACGTCGTAGAAAACGAAGAAATAGTTCCGATTCAGATAATAGTGATGCTGCTCAACTTTCATCGAGTGATGAAATAAATTCTGATATTTCAGAAACTGAGGAAGACGCACTAAGTAAAGAAAATCCCTTTTCCGATGATGCATTATCTGAAGATTTATCTGACGAGGAAGAAGTTGAAAAAGGTAATTTTTTTTTTCTTTCTTTCTTTTTCCAGTAAAAATTATTTTTCGTAAAAATATTCTTTTCATTTATATATAGATAATGCCATTACAACAGACAATCACAATTTTCCAAATGAAGAAAATCATGAAAAGACTAAGGCTATTTTAGAAAATGAAAATAAAATCAATGATGTTCTAAATGAAAATCCTAAATGTTCTGAAAGTGCCATAAAAAATTTAGATTCAAATACTAATGAAGAGAATATTGAATCTACAATTTTATATTTTGCTCAATTAAAAAAGCCAAAATATCAAAAACTCATATTCGATGTACTTACATCAAATAGTCTTTTGAATTCAGTAAAATTATGTTGCGATTGGTTAAAATGTCATCCGGATATTATAAAAACATGTGCATTAAATTTGAAAATTCTTATAAAACGTTTAACATTATTATTGAATTTAATTAATATTGATGTGAATATTATAAATTCAAAAAATTCCAATAATCATATTGAATTTTTATTGAGAATTAATAATTATGAGGAATTATTTAAAAAAATACCATTACCCGAGGATGTAAATATGAAAGGTTTAAAAGATTTAGAATATGCCCATAAAGAATTGGATTGGAAATTATTGCGAAGAATTAAAATTAATAAACGTGAACAATGTATATTGAGAAATTTAAAATTAATTGAATTTGGCAAATATCTTTGTTCAATGGATTATTTGGGATTAATGTATGATAATGAAAAAGAATTGTTTATTAAAAAAAAAATTGTGGATACAAATATTATTTCTAATGTTAATGAAAAAAAATCTGATGATCATCCAAGAGGTAAATTAATGAGACACATGGGAAGATTGTGGTTAAAAGCAGAAGTTCGAGCATTAGAAAGTCGATTGAGATCACGATTAATGTCACCTTATTTAGTACCTGATCATGATGCATTGGCAAAATATATACCGGCTTTAAAACGACTTGTTTTTGCGAAAAAATTTATTATCGTCATTCCTGCTGTTGGTGAGTAATTTTTTGTTTTAGTAAATTAATATTTTTAAATTAATATTTTAAAATTAATTTTTTTAAATTATTTAAAATTCAAGTTGTTTCTGCATTGGACGAGGTGAAAAAAACAAGTGGACAAGCAAGAGAAGCGACAAGATGGTTAGAGGCACAATTGAGACGTGGTTCTCGTTTTCTCAGGGCACAAAGACCACATGAAAGATTACCACTTCCATTAATAAAAGGTCCACGACCAAAGGATAAAGAATCATGGCTTTATTTTCAAATTATTGAATGTTGTCATTATCTTACACAACAATCAAATGTTGAAGTGACTAGCGATTCGGAAATTCCAATTGTTACACTCTTAACGGGATGCAGTGCTGAGGAACAAAAAGCACTCACAATTAGTCCTGAAGGTCTAGCAAAAAGTGCAGGTAAGTTTTTTTTTTTAATTTCTTTATTTTTTATAACAAATTCTAAATACATTTTTCTTTTTTCATGTATAAAAATAATTTTTGTTCATGAATAATATCTCTTTTTTTTTGGCAAGAGTAACATAAAATTTATACAATGTAAAATAAATTTTCAGGTGTTAATCTTGAGCATATTGAAGCATTTCATACAAAATGGAAAGCTTCAAGCAAAAGTCACGGTTGAACAGTTTTTTTTTTTTTTTTTTTTTTTTTTTTTTTATATTGAATGGGGTCAGCTTTTATCTCGCGTTGGAGCAACAATTGACTCGCTTCCAGAGAAGCATACAAAAAAAAAAGGAAAATTGCTTGAACGAGTTAACAGGGTTGGAAACCCGCGATGAAAAACAAATCCTTACTCAAAAAAAAAGAAACAAAAATCTGGAATGTCTTCTTTTTTTTCGTAAAACATTTTTTGAAATAAATTTTCCTTACAATTTAATTTCTAATATTGATTATTTTTGTGCATAATTTTTTAATCATCATCAGCGGTGAATTCGCAAAAAATATAATTATCATCATTGACGGGGAAATATTCATTTTTAAAATCCATACGACATGAATCTTGATATTTGATTTCTTTAACAATACGCAATAATGGTGTGGCGTTATTAAATTTTTTAACATCAAAATCAACATGACTACTCATACTTATGTTGAGGATAATTTTTCTAAAACCCGATTCAACAACTTCGACAGCAGTATCGAAAACATTTTCAGTTATTAAACAACAGCCTTCGAGAATTAATAAACGTAAATCTGGTGAACGTTCTATTAAAATACAAAGTCCTTCATCTCTTATTAATGGACAATGATGACAGTCCAAAACTTTTAAATTATGAATACTTCCAAGATATTTGTCAGTAATATTAAGTGATCGTGAAATTATTAAAAATTGCAAATCAGGTAATGTTGAAATACTCAGTACTCCATTATCCGTTACTTTTTTGCAATCTTAAACAAAAAAAAAGGAAATTAACATTTTATTTATTTTTTCTTATTGAAATAAATAAAATACTTACTTGATATATTCAAATAAATAAGTTGTTCACAATTCACAGCCAACGCTTCAAGAATATAATCATCAATTAAATTATTTCCACACACATTTAATTTTCGTAAATAAGTAAAACGTGGAATGTAATTAACACCTTCCATTGAGAGAAAATTTGAATCACGTATCAATCCTAAATTTTCTAAAGTTTCAGTTTGACTCAATAAATTTCTCATTCCTTTGTCATTGATAAATCGACAAGTATTTAAAACAAGAGTTTTCAATTTCTTAAATCTTGTAATTACCTTAAAAAAAAAAAATAAATTAATTAACATTAAATAAAATTTAACGTATTTTTTAATAGAAAAAAAAAAGATTCTTACATTACTAAGATGCGCAGGAAAAATTCCATCATTTCCTTCTAAAAATAATTCTTCAATTGTATCAAATGATAAATATGTAAATAATGTTCCGGGAAATTCAGTGAGACTCAATTGTTTAATATTTGTCATTGTTTTCAATAATTTAACCCACAAGAATGTCTCATCATAAAAAAACATTCTCATTCCAAATTCTTTTAAATTTTGACAACAATCAATTAATGATTCTAAAAATATATGCTCTTCTTTTTGTTTTGTTTTTATTGGCATTCTAATTGAATTTTCTAATCTACAAAGACAAAATGTTCTTTCGCATTCACGTTGATTTTCTTCATCACAAAGTAATCGTCGTTCGCATGCATTTAAAAACATAAATCTCATCATACGACTGAGATTTCCACTGTCCCATGATATTGATAAATCAGCAATATTCAATGAATAAATATTTGGACATGAACTACAAATTATTATTATTGTCGTTGAATTAAAATTTGGAAATGATATTCTTTTAAATGGTGGGAAACTTTTTTTTGTAAAATTAACCACTGTTATATATTGACTACAACGACTAAGAACTTTTGTAAGTATATCATTATCAATTTGTTTTTTATTTGTTCCACCCCAGCTTGTTAATGACAAATCAAGACTCTTGAATAAATACCATGATTCTCGACTAAGCCTTTGCCATCTTTTACTAACTAAAAAAAAAAGAGAGAAAGAATAAAATCTAATTACAATTTTTATCGATAAAAATTTACTTTCTATTTGTTCAATCTATAATTACCACTTTCAATGTTGACCTTGTCGAAAATTGGAAGATATTGAAAAATTATTCGTAAACAATCATCAGGTAGATTTTCAATAGGACTTAAATCTTCAACAATCATTGAATTTTCCGTATTTCCCATAATTCCTTGCAGTTTTTACTTTAATAATTTAATGTCATCTTCGATAAAAAAAAAAATAATAATGAACTGTATGTGATATCAACACTAAAGATTAAAAATTATATAAAACATGAATATATATATATATACATATATAAAAGAAATTTTCTTATCAGTTACAGATAATTTTATGACAACATAGAATAAACTATTAAAAAAAATATAATATAAACTTTTTCTTTTGTTATAAAATTAAAATCACTAAAATTATTTTAATCATATTTGAATTTTTGACAATATTATATTGCGTCGTCTTTTGCATGACAGTGTTACGAGCCGAGTTACCTTTTATTACGCAACTCTAAAAATGTAATATGATTGGCTGGATTCTCTTTAGTTAAATCCTTTAAGAAGGAAGCGGGAAGGTTTAAATGAAAGATTATTAAATTCCGATACAACGGAAGGGAAACCCGTTCAAAGGAAGAATAATTATTAGTTCTTCCTTCGAAGGTAAAACCCTGTAATTTATTAATATGATAAAATACAAAGCTGACTAAGGAGTTTAGAAAACAACCTTTCAAGCCAGAGTCAAGATTAGAACTAACTTAGAGAGTTTTTGGTCCAGCGGAGTCGCTCTCCGCTTTTGGTCCATTTTGAGTTTGTGCGCATGCTTCACTATGGAGCGTATTCGCTACTCCTATACGTGTATCACTTCACTAACACTTATCACATCGTTCCTTAGTGTTACTTATATGTTCACACATACATAAGAGAGATTATACACAATCTCTCCCATCATACAACATACTATTTATTAAAATATAATAAACATTAATCATCACAACATTATATGGTTAATCCATAATTATATTATTATAATATAATTATAACAATATTAATTATGATATAATTATAATAATATTAAATTATAATATTCTGATAATCAATTATTAATTAATTAACAATATTAATAACGCTTAAATACAAATGTGTAAATATACTGAAACATGTACATAAATAATTATTTAATTATTTATTATTAAATAAAGCATTTCTTATACAAAGCATTTCCGTTGTAAACTTTCGTTCATTGTTTAGCCCGTACGCGACTTTTCTATTGAAGGTAATAAAAGTCCGTGTCTGGTCAACATGTGTTTAGTGTCCCTTTTTTTTATAGAAAGGATCACATTTTTTCAAGTGGTTTTTATGACGTTCTAGGTTTACATTTAAAATTTGAAAATGAGAGAAAATATGAGAATATATTTTCTCTTATTTTCTTGGACTGATTTACGACATTTCTCTTTTAGTATTTTGTGTTGCTAAAAGAAATACGATATTGGAATAAACTTAATAGTTGACGGAAATACTTTAGAATTAGTCATGCTATTTTCTTTTATGTGAAAGACTCTATTATATTTATCGTGAGAAAATATTAAGTGTTTTAAGATGTTTTATAATTAATCCTCAATTAAATTATTTAAATCTTAATTAATCACATCGATGTATCGCTCATTCGATACATCGAAATGATTCGAGCGAGGATTATAGTCGCTCGTTACACTTTCCCCCTTAGAGAGATTTTCGCTAGAAAATTAAAATAAAATATTTATACTATTATTGTAAAATTATTATTATTTTTTTTTTTGTTTTTTTTTTTTTGTTTTTTTTTTTTTGTTTTTTTTTTTGTTTTTTTTTTTATTTATTATTATTTATTTATTTATTTATTTTTTTTTTGTATGTACCTACATTATTTGCATTTGTCGTATTTTAAGTTTTGTGCACTTTAAAGAGTATATAGTATATATGTGGATAGTGCTTAACATTTGTTTCGCCTTAAGGTGGCATTGTTAAATTGTTCGCGCTGCATCACCATCTTAAAGTTTTATATTTCTTGTCTGCAATTGTAACAAGCGTTGTTTACATTATCGAAGGTGTCATATATTTGCAATACAGATTGTCAAACAATTATTGATTGATTACAAAAATGTTATTTTGGAAAGAATATAATCAATTATACAATAGTTAAACAACTTTCTGATCAAGGTATAGTTGATCAGCACTCTCTCTCCCCCTTAAGAGTATGAAAAGTGTATTTCAATCAATTTGTTAATTTCAATAATAATTTGACAAGGTATGTATTGCACGAAATATACATTTTTCATGAAATTCAAAATTTACATAAATTTTTATAAAACAATTTATTTGTTTTTAGAAAATTTTCAAAACTTGTGGTCGAAGAAGGTTAGTATGAACAACTTTTGTTTTGTTTTGTGAAATTTGAATTTCAACATTGTTATCCTCTAAAACTTTTATTATTTTATAGGGACCAGCATAATCTGTGTCTAATTTCGAAGTTTTGTTGTTTCTTTGTAAATAAACGGAATCATTAACTTCATAATTTTGTGAATTAAGTTTCAGATCATAGTAGTGTTTAGATTTTTCTTTTGCGGCATGAAGTTTTTCCCTAGCAGTAGACTGGGTTTCAACAATTTTTTCCGATAGAGTTTTCAAAAACAAGTCGTATGTTAATGACAAATTTCTTTTGGCAAATTGTGAAGGAACTCTTGCATTTTTACCGAAGATTAATTGGTGTGGAGCGAAACCTGTTCCTTCATGTTTTGAAGTATTGTAGGAAAACATGGCATAAGGTAACCATTTATCCCAATTGTTTTTATTACAGAAGTTTTTTAAATATTGAATTAAAACATGATGACTCCTTTCTAGAGAGCCCAGTGATTGTGGGTGGAATGCAGTTGAGCGAAGTTGTTTAATTTTGAAAATTTTGCAGAAATTTTCCATCAACTTGCTCGTAAAATCACGGCCCTGATCCGTGTGTACAATTTGAGGACAACCAAACTGTGAAATAAATTTTTCTGCGAAGGCGTTAGCAACGGAAACAGAATCAATTCTGCGCAAGGGCGTCGCGACAGAATATTTTGTCAAATTATCTTGAATTGTTAAGATAAATTTGTTACCATTTTCTGTTTCAGGTAATGGACCAACTATGTCCATTTCAATTTTTTCGAAAGCTTCTGTTGGGGTATCGGTAATCGACATCGGTTGACGCGTTTTTACTCTAACGAATTTATTTAATTTACATGTTTCGCAATTTTTTACGAAAATTCTAATGGATTCACGCATATTTGGCCAATAGAAATTTTCTCTAATTCGTTCGAGGGTTTTGGTAGCACCTTTATGGCCGCCTGAAGTTGATGAATGATTTTCGCGTATTATTTCCGAAATATCGCTTTCATTCGGTATTTCAACTTCACCATAGCAAATTGTGATACTATAATTATCCTGACCAAATATCTTTTTTATTTCAGATTCAATACTCGGCCATGACAATTGATTTAGACCGTTTCCAACTCGGGATACATTGACAGAATCAATATCCAACTGATCCATAGCAACCTTCAAAGCATTTAAGGTGGAAATTACGTCAATATAAGTTGGTTTAGAGTCAAAAGTTGGTTTAATTATCATATTGAAAACGCAATGATCTTCATATTTAAACACTATAACATTGCCAACTTCAATATTTTCATTGTCTTCGTTAAGTAAGTCGTCAATTTTCATTCTATTTTCAGTGAGTACTTGTTTGTTTGTTTCGGTAGTGAATTTTCTGTCGGCAGGTATAAAAATTGCTAAATTGTCTTCTCTCATAAACAAATAATCTTTAGAATTTTTTATGCAAGAAAAGTTTTGGTTAGGGTGACTGTCGTCTTGTGAAGTGTTATTTGTGTCAATTGTATTGCAAATTTTTGTTCTGTCGCGATTTACTTTATTTTTTGTAATTTGAAATGAATTTTGTTTATTTTTAACGTTTAAGACATATTGAAGATTTTCTGTCCGTTTTGCTTTGAAATTATTTCCAAATTCAAGATCACTATTTTCTTCATCAGAAATGTTAAAAATTTTATCGCAATTTTTATTGATTTTATAGAGAATTTCACCACTACACGGATTTTTCGCCTCTTGCTCAAATCCAGCATGGTTGAAATTTGCGCATGAACCAATCGGTTCTATATCAATTTCGTGGCTGCAGTCCACCTTACGATCTCGCAGATCATCATTCTCATCGTAAGTAATTAACTTGTTTATGTTAATTAGGTTATCCTCGATAACCTCCATGCTTGTGGTCTGGAAATTCTCGTCAGAAATGGTTTCACGAATTATTTGTGATTCGTTATCACCGCCATCCCAGTGAATGTTCAGAAAAACTGCCTCTATTCGGTCATCACTTTCATATTCGTCCAAGGAATTTTGAGGATGAACAGGTGTACAATTCACCTTGTTCTGAGGATTAGGATCAATTTCTAGTGGATCAACATCGTCATTTAAGGTTATGTCATTAGTGATACCTTGCAGAATTTCGTCACTCATGTCACAGGGATTCCGCGACAACGCATCAGCACCAGTATTTTTAGTACCTTTAATGTACTCTATTCCGTGATCGTATTCACTCAAACGATGTCGCCATCGGAGTAACCTTGAATTTGGGTTTTTCATGTTGTGCAACCATATTAGAGGTTTGTGATCAGTTTGGAGTTTGAATCTTCTCCCGAAAAGATAAGGTCGAAAAGATTCAACAGAAAAGAGAATTCCTAAAAGTTCCTTTTCTATTGTTGAATAATTTATTTCAGCATCAATGAGTGTTCTCGAGGTATACGCTACAGGAAGGATTTTTCCATCGAAATTTTGACTAAGTACTCCGCCAATTCCATAATGAGAAGCATCAGTTGTCACTATGAAATCTTTTGTAAAATCAGGGTACTGCAGCAGAGGTTGAGTGCAAAGAGTATTTTTCAATTTATTAAAAGCTTCATCCTGTGCTTCAGTCCACCTGAACTTTACATCTTTTTTGAGAAGATAAGATAAAGGTTTAGCAATGGTCGAAAAATCCTTTATGAATTTTCGATAATATCCAGCAAGTCCCAGAAATTGCTTAATATTTCTTTGAGTTTTAGGACGAGGAAATTTTTTAACAGCTTCAACCTTTTTAGGGTCTGGTTTAACACCATCTTGGGTAATAACATGACCAAGGTAAGTAACCTCCTTTCGTAAAAATAAACATTTTTCAGGTTGTAAGGTGAGCTTAGCCTTGTCAAGTTTCTCGAGGAGATTTGTAAATTTACGAGTGTGTTCTTGAAGAGTTTTGGCATAGATGACAATGTCATCCATGTAGACAAAGAGTTCGATGTTCTGTAGCCCTGTCAGTGCCCTGTCAACGAGTCTCTGAAAGGTGGAAGGGGCGTTCTTTAACCCAAAGGGCATTCTATTGAAATGAAAATGTCCAAAAGGGGTAGAAAAAGCCGTCTTCGCTTTAGAATCTGGATGCATTTTTATTTGATGAAATCCCATTGCAAGATCAAGTGTGGAAAAATATTGTGCCCCTCCTAGTTGGTCAAGGATTGATGTAATGTGAGGTAAAGGATAGGAATCTTTTACAGTTATGTCATTGAGACGGCGAAAGTCAATTACCATTCGCCATCTCTTTTTTCCGTCGGGACCTGGTTTTTTCGGAACAATCCAGACAGGTGAATTATACGGTGAGTCAGAATCTTCAATGCATTCATTTTTCTTTAATTCTTTTGTTTGTATATTAATTTCATTATTTAATGTTTCAGCCGGTCTGTATTGTTTTTGAAAAATTGGAGTGTCATCCGTCGTTTGGATACTGTGGGTAACTAGGTCAGTGGCTTCTAGAACATCTCCCTCAACATAAAAGCGATGTGAAAATTTACTTATGGGTGCCAAAAGACTATTTTTCTCTTCTTCGTTTAATCCTGAGAAATTAAAGAGTTTCATCAATTTCTTTAATCTCTCAGGTGATTTTTTTGAGTAACTTTTTCTTTGGAACAACAATTTCTACCTCTTCAAGTTTAACAGGTGGCAATGAAATTTCTATATCGTGCAAGGTTGTATTAATCGCAAAAACTTTTGCATAACCATTTTTTGCGGTAACTAAACTGTCACCTATGATTACGCCTTTGCCGACATCTATTCTTTCTAATAACCCTACTGAAATAGTATTTGATTTATCGAGAGGTAAAGAGACAAGTTTTCTAGTTCTTGCAGGTATAGTTATCTTGCAAGGGGCTGAAATTTCTGTTGGTGGAAGTTGCAATGTTAGACCTTCATTATCGAATTTAATGGAAGCGGAATTTTCTCGAAGAAATTCTGCACCTAAAATTCCGCATGTTTTTAATGGAAAATTGTCAGGTACAACATGAAAGTTGCTTTTTCTATTGAAAATATTGAGAGTGATACTACCGATAGTTTTTAATGTACCTTTTCCAATACCGGTAAGAAAATATGTATCTTTTTTGTTAATACCTTTTTTATTCCACACTCTAGAATATTTAATCAAGTTTAGTTCACTACCAGTATCAATTAGAAGTTTAGCATTAAAATTGAAAATAGTTTTATCTGAGACTTCTACAACAGGTTTTGAAGAATCACCTTCATTATTGTTGACAGAGAGCACAATTTTTTTAATTGATTCTACATTTGGCTGCTCTGAGCAGTGCTCGCGCAAAGAGCAGGGTTGGAGTTTAAATTTTCAGATTTTGAAATCGTGCAGATGGATCTTGATTCTAAACTTTTTAATATTCTTACAAAGCAATTGTCAGTAATGTGGCCTTTTTGTTTACAAAAATCGCATTCAGGTTTGGAATTATTATTTTTTGATGAGTTTCCATTACCATGTGAATTTTGTCCCCCTTTGTTATTATTATTTCCCCATTTTTTAAATTTTTTATTCTTTTTCCCTTTATTATTATTATTTCCGTTACCATTTTTTTTGTTATCATTTTTATTACCATTATCAGATTGATTATTATCGGAAGATTCTGGTTTCGCGCGGTTTGGGCAATTTCGCGAAATATGTCCATTTTTCCCGCAAGTAAAACAACTTCTGTCTTTACGATTTTTATCAATATTGTTAACCGTTTTTGATTTTTTTGCTTCGCTTTTAGAATTATCTACTTCGTTTAAAGGAGCGCTACGTTTACGTACATTGGAAACATATTTTTCTTGTTCCAATGCAATTGTTATTGATTCTTGAAGATTATTTGGAAGACGTAGGTTAACGCGAAATTCAATATTAGGAAGAAGTCCTTGGGTAAAATATTTTGTTACTAGTTTGTCATTTTCTGATAATTGTGATTGTACATATGGGTTAGAATTATCTTTTCGCGAAAGCTGCGATAGCTTAAAAAATAATTTACGTGTTTTTGCCGCGTAGTCGATTACCGATTCGTTTTCACCTTGTTGCAAACTGGTGATTTCACCTAAAATCGTTCCATAATCATCTAAAAAGGAAAATGATTTTTCTAGTTCTAGTAGTAATTCTTCAAGTGTATCAACTTGAGAGTGTAAGATAAAATCTGCGGCCTTGCCTTTAATTTTCTTTAATACGTATTTTAAAAGAAAAGGTTGCATTTGAGAACTTGTATTTTTTATTAAATATGAACATTCTTGAATAAATTTTTGAACTGGAATGTTTTCACCATCAAATTCTGGTATCAGTTCAACAAAATTTTTCAAGGATGAAATATTATTAGTAAGGATATGACCTGAACTTTCTGAATTTACTTCCTCAAAGGATGGAGGGTGTAATTTTGACGTTGATGATTCCGATGGATTTACATTTTTTTTGTTTTGTAAATGTTGACCTACTATATCAGCTATTTGGAGTAGGTCATTGGGATTAATGCGATTCATTAATCCTTGAGATTGTTGATAATCGTATGTATTTAGACGGTTTTCATGATTTACAATATCATTGTATTCTAAATCAGCACTCATTCCATCGTTCAAATATTCTTCCTCCATATCTTCCATATGGGGATGAAGATTATTTCCTTGTTGACTTTCAGACATTTTTAATTTATCAAAATAAAGCAAAAATTTTCAAAATTATTCAAAATAATTAATTATTTCAATTAATTTATTCAAAACATTCTCAATTTCAATGTTAGAACAATATTTAAATTTAATTTTAAATGAAATAAATCAATCATCAAGGAAAAAATCTTTCACAATTTAAAACTCATTCATATAGCTAATATATAAACTAACCTTTTGTAGATGATATATTTCACTACACTGAATTTAAATAAAATTTATATAAAATATTCGGAAATGACTCTTTATTCCTCTATGAGGATTCACTCCCGCACGACACAACTCTATTAGCAGGTGAACAGCAGGTTACAGCATTCAGGAACACAGGATCTCAGGAACTTATACTGCTCGCCAGGAAATCAGGAACATTTATTTATTCAGGAACTTATACTGAAGAAAATAATATTTCTTTATACACTTCAAATTAATTCTTCACTTTGATTTTCAAAAAAAAATTGTTTATACACTCAGGAACTCAAAAAAATAATATTTTCTTTTCCACTTTTAGTTTATTATTCACTTTGAATAAAAAGTTTTTATTCAAATAACATTAATAATTTTATACATAAGTGTTTATTTCATGTTTTGAATAATAAATATTCAAGTATTCAAATAATTCAATAATTCAATATTCAAATAATTGAATTGAATTAATAATTTTATGTTATAAAACTTTTACTTTGAATTTTTTGTTTTCAAATAATGTTTGTAGTTTTACGTTATAAAACTGTCATTTATTCAAATTCCCGCACTAAAGGCCGGTAACGAGCCCCCAATTTATGTTACGAGCCGAGTTACCTTTTATTACGCAACTCTAAAAATGTAATATGATTGGCTGGATTCTCTTTAGTTAAATCCTTTAAGAAGGAAGCGGGAAGGTTTAAATGAAAGATTATTAAATTCCGATACAACGGAAGGGAAACCCGTTCAAAGGAAGAATAATTATTAGTTCTTCCTTCGAAGGTAAAACCCTGTAATTTATTAATATGATAAAATACAAAGCTGACTAAGGAGTTTAGAAAACAACCTTTCAAGCCAGAGTCAAGATTAGAACTAACTTAGAGAGTTTTTGGTCCAGCGGAGTCGCTCTCCGCTTTTGGTCCATTTTGAGTTTGTGCGCATGCTTCACTATGGAGCGTATTCGCTACTCCTATACGTGTATCACTTCACTAACACTTATCACATCGTTCCTTAGTGTTACTTATATGTTCACACATACATAAGAGAGATTATACACAATCTCTCCCATCATACAACATACTATTTATTAAAATATAATAAACATTAATCATCACAACATTATATGGTTAATCCATAATTATATTATTATAATATAATTATAACAATATTAATTATGATATAATTATAATAATATTAAATTATAATATTCTGATAATCAATTATTAATTAATTAACAATATTAATAACGCTTAAATACAAATGTGTAAATATACTGAAACATGTACATAAATAATTATTTAATTATTTATTATTAAATAAAGCATTTCTTATACAAAGCATTTCCGTTGTAAACTTTCGTTCATTGTTTAGCCCGTACGCGACTTTTCTATTGAAGGTAATAAAAGTCCGTGTCTGGTCAACATGTGTTTAGTGTCCCTTTTTTTTATAGAAAGGATCACATTTTTTCAAGTGGTTTTTATGACGTTCTAGGTTTACATTTAAAATTTGAAAATGAGAGAAAATATGAGAATATATTTTCTCTTATTTTCTTGGACTGATTTACGACATTTCTCTTTTAGTATTTTGTGTTGCTAAAAGAAATACGATATTGGAATAAACTTAATAGTTGACGGAAATACTTTAGAATTAGTCATGCTATTTTCTTTTATGTGAAAGACTCTATTATATTTATCGTGAGAAAATATTAAGTGTTTTAAGATGTTTTATAATTAATCCTCAATTAAATTATTTAAATCTTAATTAATCACATCGATGTATCGCTCATTCGATACATCGAAATGATTCGAGCGAGGATTATAGTCGCTCGTTACAACAGCATAACCTAAAATATTTTTTTGTCACAATTTTTTCTTTTATTATGAATACACCTTTACTCGTTAACTTCTCATCCCTGTTTGTTGCAAAATTTAAATAAATGTTACAAAAAACAACAACTTTTGTAATAATAATAATATTTATATATAAATTCAAAAAACAAAATAAATATATATATTTTTAAAACATCCTAAATCTAAATATAATTGAGTCATTTTTTTTATATAAACATTTTTACAAGCAATTTTACAATTAAAATTTTAATTCTTAATTCACGTACTAATAATTCCACGTTGTTTAAAATATAATTCATGATCTTCCTTTGAACGCATATAAAATCTATTTCTTGGATCTCTAGGATCAAGATAGGCACACTGCAATGGAGAGACAATTTAAAAATTTAGTGACAATAAAAAAAAAAAAATTGTAATTATAAATTTGTAAATAATACAAACCCTAACGTTATTTCTTAATGCAATTGCATTGGGCATTAATTCATTTAAATGCTTTTCTCGATCACCATGATCAGGATGACTTGACAATAATGGAGGTATGTCTTTTTCAATTTTTAATTCAGTTAACATTCTCATTATACCCCAAAATACCACTGCCTCTCTAACATCAAAACATGCCTGTTAAAAAGGAAAAACTTTAATAAAAAATCCACATTTATTATTCACTTTAAAGAAAATAATTTTTAAAATATAAATTTTACTTTTGCTGCTAGAATTAATCCTACATCATCAGCTTCACTTTCCAATGCTCTACTGTATGGTAAACGATGAAGAATATTAATTACCGATTGACCCAATATTTGACAAATAAACGCTACAGCATCAGGAAAAATTGCCCACAAAAAAACAATTGGTAATGCCAAAAGAATATCTAAAATAACTCCTCTTGATAATTGTTCCATCTATGAAAAATGTTTATTGTAAACAAAAATCTTAATATTTTATTATTATTTAATTTTTTTTTTACATTACCGAGTGATTTAATAATTCATGAGCCATTTCGTGAGCTAAAATAATTGCAAGCTGATCATCATTTTCGACTAAATTAAGAGCTCCTAAAAATACGAAAATATGACCTCCCTGAAAAAAAAGAATCAAATTAAATTTTAATTAAATAAATTGTTATAAATAATTTTTTTTTTACCGGAAGAACGTAGGCATTTTTTAATTTTTCGTTCACAACAGTAAGACTCCATTGTTTATCATTGACAGATTGTAAATCCTTATTTGAATTTACTAATCGTTGAACTATTCTTGTGAGTCTCATATAAACCGGATGATTCTCTGGCACAATATGACCTTTATTTTCTTCCAAGTGCTTTTGAAAAAAAAAATTTTTATTTCTTTTAAATATCTAATATAAATTGAACATACATACCATTTGAAGAGTGAATTTTTCAAAAAATTCCTGTTGTTCTTTATTGAAAATAATAAATCTCTGTCGCTTTGTTATTGGATCGGTTTGTAAATGAGTTATATAATAAACAAATAGTGCAATCATAAAAAAGCCAAGAAATCCTGAAATTTAAACATCATTATTATAAAAATAAAATAAAAGAAAAAAAACAAACAAACTCTCTTACCAAAAAAGGCATTTTTTCTACTTTTCAACCAATTTATATAAACTTTTTGTTCTTCCGGTGATTTTTTCTTCCACCACTTTTTAAATGCTCTTCCAAATATTAATCCACCAAATTGAACGAGTGGACGAATTAATATTGCCACAATTGGCGGTATTTTACGTGGTTCAGTTGTATGAAATTCATTTCGTTGAATAAATTCATAACGTTTTAATCGAATTTGTTTCAATTGATATTTTGTTGATAATTGCCTTGCAAATAATTTTTGCTTTGATATAATGAAAAATAAATTATTACCACTGCTATGTAAATTAATTGTCGATAATATTCTCAATGTTTTAAACATATTGTTTATTGAACAAAATTTATAAAATGACAATCATAATTAAAAATATAGAAATGTTTAATTTGTATTTACGTCAAGAAAAATTCGAGTTAAAATTTTAATATTATTATTTTGACATTTATTTAAATAATAGCCACCTTTTAATAACAATAATAATTAAACAACCATAACCTCTTTATGTCAAAACTCAAACATCTGTCAAACCCAGGGTTCGGAACAAAAATGTCATATAAACAGGCCTTGATGTATCAACTTCATGTAGCTAATCTATATATACAGTTACCAATGCCTTATATATATATTTCCTAAAAAAAATAACTATTTGTATACAAAAAATAATTATCATTCTTTAAATTAGTTTTCTAAAATAACCAATTATTTCAATTAGTGACAATTGGATATAATAGTTTATTTATACCTCTATTTATTATGTTTCAAATCTTTCTTGCGGAGAAAGATTGACACAACCGCCAAAAATCTAACCTATAAAAAAGTTTATTTTTTGTTAAAAAGAAAAGTTGTCATATAAGTGAAATTAAAATTTTAATTTGTGCAAATGTGATAGTGTGTGAGACGAACAAATATATATTTACAAAAAAAAAAGTGAATAGTGATTAATTTAGATTAAAGAAAAATAAGTTTTAAATAAAGAAATATTGTCAAGATGGATCAAATGTTACCAAGTCCAGGTTTTAGTATACCAAGTATTGGTACACCGTTGCATCAACCTGAAGAAGATCAACAAATTCTTCCCAATGCTCTTCAACAGCAACAACAGCAACAACAACAACCTCAACAATATCAATTACAACAATTACATTCAATGAGTCCAAATTTACAAAGTGGAATGCTTATGTTAACACCTCAAAAACAAATTCATACTTATGCACCAACACCTTCTTTTGCAACACCACAAAGTCTTATGCAGCCTCAGACTCCGGTATTTATTATCTTGAAAATATATACATATTTTTTTTTATATAATTTTTAATATAAATTTTGTCCTTTACATTTATGTATAATTTTTAAATTTCTCTTAATTTTCGAGAATAAGATAGAAAATTAAGAATTTTGATTTAAATAAAGAAACAATTTTTAAATTATTTATATTTTATTATTATAGCAAAATATGATGTCTCCTATTGTACAGCCAACAAATCAAATGGCTCCCGCTTCAATAGGGCCATCAACCCCAGGACCAATGACACCAATGACTCCAGCTTCCGCAGATCCTGGAATTCTTCCACAATTTCAGTATGTTCTATTTTTTTTTTTTTTTGTTTTTTTGTTTTTTTAAAAAAAACATAATTCGTAAAATTTTTAAACACTTGAAAAAATTAAATTTTTTATTTAAGGACGTTCATCCACGGAAATGTAGACCTCTAGAGAAAAATAATTAATTAACATTTCAATAATTAAAATAATATTATTAATTGTACTTTCGGAAAGATGAGATATTAATTTTCAAGAAAAAAAATTTTAAACCTGCAAAATTTATTTATTTATACAATTTGCATAGGATAACATTTTTTTGTTGTTATCGCTTCTACAGAATTTTTTAAAAATGATTCGATTTCAATGAAATATGGCTTATTTTCTTCGGAAAATGATTCTTTACAACTTCACCGTGGGATTTTTTAAACAAGCAAGCCGTTTGGAAAATATGGCTATTTGTTTAAAAAATTCAAATTTTTCTTTTAAACAAATAGCCATATTTTCCAAACGGCTTGCTTGTTTAAAAAATCCCCACGGTGAAGTTGTAGAGAATCATTTTCCGAAGAAAATAAGCTAATAAATAAGCTATAATAAAAATTTCAATTGTTCTTCTTCTAAAACGGCAAGAAAATTTAATTTCTCCGTATTGCTTTGTAAGTAATTTTTAAGAATTTCCATTTTATCATGGTAATTTGATTTAACACCTATAGAAATGTTCAAAAAATAATTTTTTCATTGTAATCGAATCATTTTTAAAAAATTCTGTAGAAGCGATACAACAAAAACATGTTATCCTATGCAAATTGTATAAATAAATAAATTTTGCAGGTTTAAAATTTTTTTTCTTGAAAATTAATATCTCATCTTTCCGAAAGTACAATTAATAATATTATTTTAATTATTGAAATGTTAATTAATTATTTTTTTCTAGAGGTCTACATTTCCGTGGATGAACGTCCTTAATTGAACTAATTTTTTTATTACAGAAATATTGTATCAACAGTTAATTTAAATTGTAAATTAGATTTAAAAAAAATAGCGCTTCACGCAAGAAACGCTGAATATAATCCAAAACGATTTGCTGCTGTAATTATGAGAATACGAGAACCAAGGACAACTGCTTTAATATTCAGTAGTGGAAAAATGGTTTGTACTGGTGCAAAAAGTGAAGAAGATTCACGACTTGCAGCTAGAAAATATGCGCGAATCATTCAAAAACTAGGATTTCCGGTATATAATTTATTTCAAAATTATTTTTTTTTTTTTTAATAAGAATTATAAATTTGTCTTTCTGATAAATTTCTTTTTTTTTAGGCCAAATTTCTCGATTTTAAAATACAAAATATGGTAGGAAGTTGTGATGTTAAATTTCCTATTCGATTGGAAGGATTAGTTTTAACTCACGGTCAATTTTCATCTTATGAACCAGAATTATTTCCAGGATTAATATACCGAATGGTGAAACCTCGCATTGTTCTCCTTATTTTTGTTTCCGGAAAAGTTGTACTCACAGGTAAACAAAAAAAAACAATATTTATTATTTACTCTTTAAAATAATAACAAATATTTCTTGTAAACTAAAAAAAAAAAATAATTATTCTTTAGTAATTCTAATAATTATAATTTCAGGTGCAAAAGTAAGGCAAGAAATTTATGAAGCATTTGATAATATTTATCCTATTCTTAAGAGTTTTAAAAAGCAATAACGAAATTTTTATTCACTTATTTCTTCATGTGATTTCTCAAGATTCCATTTATTTTCCTTTTTTTTTTTTTTTTTTTATTGCACGAAAAATTATATTTTTCAAGTTTCTAAAATTCGAAAACAATTTCGTGATTAACATAAATTTTAATATTGAAATACTATTTATTATATAATGTTTATTTAATCTATATTAATTCATTGAAAAAATTATTGCATGTTTGATTGACTTCAATTTTGGTTAAAATTTTAAAATAGAAATCCGGTTTCTCCAAATCTGATTTAAGTTTTAATCATAGAACGAGAGAAGATTTAGATTTTAAGGACTTGTTATATTTAGGATTAATATTTTAGTCAGAATTTGTTGAAACCGATTTTCATTTAAAAAAAATCTTTACAATAGAAAATTATAGTTACAAAATTTTTAAAAGGGTAAAAATAATTTTTTTTTTTAATTTATAGCGTAATAGTAGAAAATTTTGTACATATAGGTTTCTATGACGAAAATAAAGTTTGAAAAAAAAATAATATGAAACAATTAGTTTTTCATATTAATTTTACTTTACCTTTATGAACAATAGGAGTTAAAGATTCTTTCTTTAAATAAAAATTTCGAATTTCATTGCGTAAAATTTCTGTTCGTTGTTTTTGATTATCTAAAGTTATTTCTAAAAATTTTATATCATTCATAAATTCCGTTAAAGAATCCTCCTGTTTAGCGTAAAAATAATATTAATTAAAGTTTAATATTAAAAAAAAATAAAATTTCTTAAAACAAAAAAATTACGTCTATTAATGGAGTTTTTAACAATTTTCGTAATTTCAATTGTTCTTCTTCTAAAACGGCAAGAAAATTTAATTTCTCCGTATTGGTTTGTAAGTAATTTTTAAGAATTTCCATTTTATCATGGTAATTTGATTTAACACCTATAGAAATGTTCAAACAATAATTTATTTTCTAAAAACTATAAATAAAATGGAAAAATTATATTTACAATTTATTTTCTCGTCGTATGATTTGACAATGGAATTTAAATTTGCTTTTATATCATAAATCAAACTTCGCAATACGGCTTCATATAAAATATTTATGGAAATATTTTGTCCAAATTTATTAATTTTTTCACATTTAACATTTGATTTTAATTTAATTATTTCTGATTCCATTTGTTTACATTCCATTTTTATTCTATAAAGATATGTCCGAGTTTTTCTATAAATGACAATGAAAAATTTGTTTATTAATATTATTATATGTACTTTTTTTTAATTCTCCTAAACATACTTATATTTAATTAATTCATCATTTGTTTCTTGTAATAATTCTCCAACTCTTGCATACAATTCGGAAAGTTTTTTTCTATCAAATAAAATGCAATCACTAATTTTTGCAGTGACTTCAGAATTTGATAAAAAATGTTGTAATTGATGAAATTTTAATATCACTGTCATATCAATGTAATTTAATTTTTCATGTTTCTCTTGCTAATAAGAAAAAGAAATTGTTAGTAAAATTAAAACTATTTAAATATGATTAATTAAATATAATTGCCATGAAAATTTCCAAATTTTCTTGACTGATTTTCAATTCATATTCCATTAATTTGAGTTTTTTATTTTCAATTTCATTATCTTTTCGTAATCCTTCAATTTTTTTCTGTTCGTTTCTTATTTGTAATTCAGAATTATATCTATGTTCTCGCATTACAAATGCCGCATCATAAAGTTCTTTGTCACAACCAAAAGGCAATATATTTTCATCATAATGAATTATTCCAATTTCTCGACTGTCAATGGAAATCTCATCATCTTCATCTAATGTACTTTCCGAACTTGATGACGATGATGAAGATTCTATAATCAATATTCTCTTTCATTATTTTTCTTATAATTAATTTTTAATTTATTTATTTTTGACAAACCGTCACTTCCTTTTGGCTGCTTATATTTTTTTTTAAATATCCTCAGTAGAAAATCGCGAAATTTATTTTCATTTATTAAATCTCTGTATTGAATCGAAAGTTCTTTGATTTTTTCTTGTAATTTTACAATTTCCTTGTTTTTATTTTCAATTTGTCCCATTATTGATTGAATCTAAATAAAAAAAAAAAAGGAATTGTATTGTAATCGAAAAAATAATTTTTTTTTTTGAAAAAGTATAAAAATAGCTTCTATTTTACCTTTTTTTTCACTATTGCACAATCTTTGATTTTTTTATTAACTGTTTCTGTTAAAGAATTTTCCGTTGCCTCGTAATTTCGAAGAATTATTAATTCCTGATGTAATGTTAATAAATATAAATTTAAATATTCACTTTCCATGGCTATTTCAACTCTATTTTTCTCAAGTTCATCTAATTCATTATCAAGATGTTGATATTTTTTTTCTATTTCATTGAGAATGAAATTTTGCTCTTGAATTCGTTTTGAATTTCGTCTACGTTTCATTTCACGTTCCCAAATTGATTCATTTTTCTCATTAACAGTTAAATTACGAAAAATGTCGAACGATACATTTATTTGAATATCCTTTTGACTAAAATTAACAAAAACTGGTTTCTTGCTTTTTCTTATTTCCTCTACTTTTATAATTGTTGCTTTGTATTTTTCAATCTGTAATTGACGAAATTAGTCTTTCTTTTTATTATTATATCAAATTAATGTAATTAATAATTTACTTCGAGTTGTTTTTCTGGAAATTCCATGTGATAATCGATAGTGAATACTGAAGGTAAAGATTTTCTATTTTTTTCTGGAATTTCATTTTGAATTTGTTTTAATTTATTCACTAAATCCTGTGATTCTTTCTGTAATGCTAATTTTTTTTCTCTTATTCCTCTCAATTTGTTATTAAAATCTTCTCGAAGATAATGAACTTTTTTTCGACAATCCAATAATTGTTTATATTTATTTAGTACATTGTCGACAGTTTGATTCATTTTTTGTAAATCAGAAGAATTCTTTAATTTAAAATCGCCAATTGTTTTTTCTGCTTTTTCAAGTGTATTATTATCATTCGAAAAATTTGCATTTGGATCTGGTTTACTGTCGTAAATTTCTTTCCACTAAAATTAATTAATTTAATTATATCTTTTAATTAATTCGAAATTTTTTTTTAATTAAATTTACTTCTCTATTTCTTTCTTCTATTCGTGCTTTACGCATTCTATATTTTTTTAATATCTGATTAATTTCTACTCCCATTTTATATTCAAATGTAGAAGAATTTAATCCTTTGAGAAAACTTTCTATTCCATGTATAATTTCCTTTTCCTCTTCTTCTTCTTCAATTATCGATTGATTTACTTGTAGATCTGATGATCTATTTGCAAATAAACAATTTTAAGATGATAAATAATATTTAATTAATAATAGTTTGTTTACTTTTTGATTTTTTCCTTTTCTGCGAGAAGTCGCGAAACTTTGGTGTACGTGACAAAAAAATTGTCATCCAATTTATGTTCCCGAAAAGAATAAATTTTTGTACTTGGTTTTCTAGAAAAAAAAAAAAAAAAACATTAATAATTACCAAAAATACTGAAAGTAGCCAAAAAAAATTTACGGAAACTCACAGGATTCTATGGACACAAAATGGAAGGCAAGTAATAGGCTCGACAAAATGATCCATTAATTTCTTTAGTCTTAATTTCGATTTTTCCACTTTGAATGACATTTTTCTATGCACAAAATTCAATTCCAATTCCAATTGATTGTTTAATTCTTTTGTGATTCTTGGATCTATTTCAAAATCCTCTTGTGAAATTTGTTGAGATTTTAATAGATCACGATTTCTACGAAGATGTGTAAAAATTAAATTTTCAATAAAATTAATTAGAGAATAATTTTTAATTTTTTTTTACTTTTCCATTAATTTGGCAAAATCTTGAGTATAACTTTGTAATAGAGCCAAAATAGAATTCTTTTTCTCTTGCGCTGCCATTGAAATTTTATCGAATTCAACTTGACGGACAATATTCTCTAAAGTTGGATAATTAATTTCTTCAATGTCATTAACGTTGGAAATTGGCTAAATAAAAAGTAAAGTTAAACAATTATTATTATTATTTTTTTTTTTATCAATTGATTAATGTGAGAATTTTACAATTTAAACAGAAACTAACAAGAATTTCTCCTTTCTCAGGAACAGGTATTTTGTGTTCATAATTAGAATTCTCGTCATTTATTTCAAAAGTAAATAAATTTCCATCGTGTCCACATGTTATAAGTACATTATTATTGTAACTTAACAATATTTTTGGAATGTAACCATTAAAATTGTCATGCATTGAAATTATCCAATAATCCGAAAAATCCATATCATCATTGGAATTTATTCGGCAAACACGAATTTCACCGTGTTCCATTCCAAGAAATATATATTTATTTTTTTTACTGAAAATTTAATTTATAAAAAAGAGAAGAAATAAACAAAATTTTTATAAAAGGAATTTCAAAATTCTTTAAAAATAACATACTAGAATAAGTAGCTTCGAATTTCAATATCATCAGCTTCAAAAATCATTTTACTTCTAGTTGGTTTTAAATTTATTTCTTCAAAATCAGAATATTCATATAAATATCCAGCATCATATCCTCCCATTGAAAGACATATCGTTCCTCTATTTGTATAATTCGCCATTAACACTTTATTTGGTATTTTGGGAATAAATACTTCCGGTAATTGTTCATCTTCCACTGAAAATAAAGAAATTTCACTTATTTTTTCAAAAAAAAAAAAAAAAAAAAAGTAATAAATACATTAAATTAAAAGATTACTATCATCACTCTCTTCATCGATTTCAATTTCAGGATTATTTAATTTTAATTTTTCCAACTTGGAAATTTTTAATTTTCTTCGTTCTTCATTTTTAATTTTCACCAATTCTCTTCTTATCTCGGATTTCACTGATTGAAATTGAAAAATTTTCATTTTGCAATCAACTAATTCGTATGTGGAAATTTCATTCGATTTCGTTTCAATTGGTAATTCAATTTCCATAAAATTGCCATTTAAACAACCAACAAGAATTGTTGTCATCTATTGTTAAATAATATTAATTTAAAGAAATTAAAAATTTTTTTAAACTAAAAAAGTTTTTCTAATTATAAAAACCTACAGATTCAGATTTCCAAGTTATGCAAGTAACACTCGATGGTGTTTTAATAAAACCAATTGGTATTAATGAAGGATAATTGTTTAGTTTGTTAATTGAAAAAATAAAAATTGTAAAATCCTCACTTCCTGTTATCAAAAGTTTATTATTAAGACTCAATGACATTGTAGTAATTTTTTTATTATGTGGTTTCAATACTTGAAGAAGTTTCACAAATTGTTCTTCATTGTCAATGATCTCGAATATTTTTAGAATAATAATTCTAATAACACCACTTTCAAAAGCACAAATAAGTGTCGAACCTGTACCTTCGATCTATAAATAATGATTTTTTTTTTTTTTTTTTTTATCATAATTGAAAATCAACCGAAGTAATTTAATTTAATACGTACTGCACATGGTAACCAAATAATTTGACTTCCAATATCATTGAATTTGTAATTTAAAATTAATTTCCTCTTTTCGTAATTATAAATTAATAATTTATCATTTCCAATGCTTGCAATAAATGGTCCCCAATCTGAAGAAGTTATGTCACTTATTGGTCCAGCGTGACAATTAAAAATTTTTCTTGGCAATTCGGGTGTTTGAAATGTGCAAAGATCTATTATCCACAATCCACCATTTGCATCCTGAAATGAAAAATATTTTATCAATTTTTTTTTTTAAATAATTATTATTTTCATACTAATTTAATTTATTTTTCTACCTGAGCATACCAAAAAGTTGATTCTGAATTGTTAGGATCTTGTTTTTGAATACACATGAGTTTAGAATTTTTTTCTTTTTCACTAATGCAAAATTCATAAACAGGTTCAATCTCTAGAAAACGATCTTCATCAGGCGGATCAGCTTGATCAATTGTATCATAATACCACATACGTATCCATCCATCCATTCCTAATTATTAAATTAAAAAAAAATAAATTTATAAATTAAAATAATTGTATAATTAAAATATAAATACCTATTGATATTAATTCTCCGTTATTATATTCAAATTGTGTTATTACACTGCTATGACATGGTTTTCTATTTTTTCTACAAACTTCAAATTTAATTAATCCTTCGTCCCATATTAAAATATTTCCCCATTCGCAGCCAGATACGACCTATTTTAAAAAAAATATTATTTCATAATCAAATGAATTAATTTTTCTCATTTGAAAATTAAAAAATTTAATTTTTAAATTCACCTTTTCATCAGGCATGGGATAAACTCCAATTATATCGGAAATTTCCGTCTTTCCAAATCTACCAAGTTCACCTTTCAATTTAAGACCCGTGAATGTTTTCGACATTTTCCAAAATTTAATATGTCCCAAGCCACATGTTGTTAAATGTCCAAAAACAAATGGTGAGAACATTACATTAATTATATCTTGACCATGAGATTTGAAACGTAATGTAATTTTTGATTGTTGCCAATTCCATATTGTTAATAAATAATCTGGTTCACCTCCTTGTGATGCTAATAATTTACCATCTGGACTGTAAAAAAAAAAAAAAAAAATTTTTTCATTTTTATAACACTCGATAAAAGAAAATTACATCATTTTTCACCTGAATGCCAAATGAGAAAATGATCTAGTTGTTCCATGCCAAAGAATTGTCACTATTTCTAAACTTGGCCATTCATAAATAATAATTGGAGGATCGTTTCCATTTTCACCAATGGCAATGTGATTGAAAATTGGATTTTTCTAAATTACAATTACACAATATTTATTAAAATTCGAAAAAAAAAATTACAAAATATTATTCCAATTTCTATAGAAAAAATTTTTTTTTTTATAAACACCTAACTGTAATATGTCCAATTCCACCACCTGTGAATCCGCGTCTAAATGAAATTTTCCTTTCCGCTACATTAAAAAAATGAATTAAATTTCCCGAGGCAAATATTATTGTATTCGAATCCGCTACACATATATTAAAATATCTTTGACAATTATAACCAAATGAATGACTATATATTTTTTTTTTTTGTTAAGAATCACATTTGAGGGATTAAAATTTTTTTAATTTTATTCATTTGAAAATAGAAAAAAATTTATAGTTTGGAAAAAAAAGGATACTGAAGCTCTAAAATATTCATTGGTACAGTTCCATTATCCGTACGTTTAGCACATGAAATATAATCATTAGAATTGTATTGAACATTTTTCGATAGGAAATTAGAATTTTCAATAAATTCTTCTTGAATATCTGAAAAATTTTCATTTTTCTATTTAAAAAAAGAAAATAGAATAATTTTTTATATTTAACAATAGTAACCTCTTTCATTAATTTCCAAATTTTTGGAAAAATTTTCTAAATCATCTTCATTGTCCATTTTTTAAATTTCCTATCGATTTTTTTTTTATATTTTATTATTTAAAAAGAAAATATTTTATATTGATTCCTTTTTTTTATATAGACACGACGTCTAGTTTTAGAAAATAGAAACTAGTAACAATACGGTTGCCATAGAAACTACATTGATTCATTTACTGCATTTTTAATAATTTAAAAAATTTTCATATTTCTAAAATAAAAATAGAAAATAAAATTAATTTTTATTCGAAACTTTATATCTCGAGTTAGTCTTTTTTTTTACATTGAATCAATTTAATGAGAAAGTTCATGCGATATTCTTATCAGATTTACTTTCTAATCAATTTGAATTCTTTTTTTTTATGTGTAATTTAAACCTAATGAATTCGATGCTAATTTTTAGCACATTTTTTTTTCTTTTTTTTGTTAAAATAAAATTTCAGTAAAATTAATTATGTATATTCAATTACAATCTAATAATTCATTTATATATCACAAGAATTTTTATTTTCAAGTAATAATTGTTTTCCAACTAATTTGGAAATTTCTTCCTTCACTGAACAAAAAGTCTCATCAGTGATATCCTTAAAAATTTCAGCTACTTGTATTTCAGTTAACGTATCATACTCCTCTTGATCTAAGAAAATATTTAAAAATCTTTATAGTTTTTTAATCTCTTTTTTTTTTGAAGTATAGAATTTAAAAAGAAAACTTACTTTTAATTGATAAATGTCCAAAAAGTTCGCAAACTGCTGGAAAAAAGGCTTTTGTATTTTTTACACCATAACTGTGTTTTCTTGCCCAAATATAAATACGAATATCATCGAAAATTTGTGGTGAATTTTTTTTACTATTCCCACGTGTAATATAAACATTGTGGGCAATATTATTATTTTGAAGATAATTAATAATTAGAAAAACCCAATTTGTTAAATTATTAATTAATTTATTTTCAATTGATGAAAATTTTACGCAAAATCCTTTAGCAGGAAAATCAATTAATAAATGAATTGGTGAATTATTAAAATTATTAAGTTCCTAAAATATGATTTTTAATTATTGACAAAAATTATTTGTTTTTGAAACAAAAATAATTTTAATATTTAAATAATTTACTTACAATATTTTCGAGAGGCATTCGATGTTGTAAATAATACAAATGCCAATGTAAATGATTAACTGAAGCAAAAGCTCCTAAACTATTGAAAGCTGCTCTTAAATCACTGGAACGAAAGTATGAAATTAAAAAATAAAATAAACAAAATTCTTTTAGTTTATTTTTTTTAGTTAATTCAACGGAATTTTAATTTTTTGTTTTAATTAGTTAATTAATTAAATATATTAACTACACTTACATTGAATTACTCATCATCATTAATTCCAAAATATTTTGAAGACTATTCTTTGTCATTATTTGTGGTAAATTTTCTAATCGTTGAGGAATAAATAAACAATGATATTGTTCAATTGGACTAACATTAATTGCAATTACATTGTTTCCATCTCCACAATTTATATCTAATAAAATTTCTTTATGCGATATTTTATTAAAATTAAATCGATTTAAATCAAATGGTTGAAACATTGAAGATATTTCTTCTGGTTTACGTCGATTTTCAGCTCTATTAATATTTAACTGTAAATTAAATTTATTTATTAAGTAATTATTAATTATATTATTTATTTATTAATTATATATTAAAATTATTAAAAGTGATAAAACAATTTTTTTTTTGTTTAATATTAAATTATACAGTAAATTAATATAATTTCGAATTACCTGAGCCAAATAATTATATTCGCCGTTAAGTATTTTCCATTTTTGAATATCTAATTTATATCGAAAATTATTATCATCTAAAGCCTCTTGCCATTTTTTCTTAATAAATAAATCAAATTCAGAATCGTGAGATTCGTTTTGATTAATATTAAAGACAAAATTATTTCGGTTACATTGAAATATGGGAAATAATTTACAATTCATCTTTTTTATTCATAAAATTTTCTGTCATTTAAAATTACGATAAAATTTGAAATATAAAAAACAAACGGCTGATTTTTTTTTTAACTCACTTTTATTCCAATTGTTCTTTTTAAAAATATTTTTGTAAATTAATTTTTGATACAATGTTTTTCAATTTTTAATTTAAATGTCATTTTAACTTTTTATTTAACCTAACCTAGCTCATTTTTTTGACAGTTGTTTTGTTGTGTTGGCACCTATTAATTTTTAAAATCCAAAAATGGCGGATATTCCCGCACGCATGCGCAAGTAAATTAAAAGTTTTTTTCAAAAATATTTTTTAAGTTATTTGAAATTTTATACTGTAAATTATACAGTTCTAAAAAATTTTATTTGAGAGATGAAAAAAAAGAATAAAAAATATTGTTAATTTTGTTTTTTCCAATAATTTTCATCTATATTTGAATTTAGTGCCAACTTCATGCCGGTAACTGACATAACCTCATTCATAATAGAGAAACAGAAGATGAATTAAGAAATAAAAGATTTTGTGTGTAAATATTTATAATTATTATTTATCAGGTAACATTATATTTATTCTGCATGTAATAATTAATTCTAATATATAATACATCCGCTTTAAATTTTCTTAATAACGGTGGAATTTAAAAACTAACATTTTATTGGAATAAATTAAAATATTTTTATTTTTATAGAATATAAAAACACTCGACAATGACAACAATCATCGAATCGGGTTTTCAATTAGTTGCAAGAGTCAATGATAATTCAAAAAAACCTCTAGATTTGGATAATCGACTTTTTCCCGATGAATTAGGAAATAAACAAACTGTTGAAATAAACGGCGAATCAAAATGTGGTAAAACACTTCTTTTAACAAATTTAATTGCAACATGTATTCTACCAATTGAATACAAAGGTTTTAACATTAATGTTCTACTTATTGAAACAGATGGAAAATTTTCCCTAAAAAAATTGATAAAAATAATTAAAAATTCAATAAAATTGTCATTAATTAATAAATCAATTACATTAAATGATATTAAATTACAAGAAATTGTTGAATTATCATTAAAAAATTTACATATAATTAAATGTAATAATTCATTACAATTTCAAGCTAATTTATATTTATTGCCAAAAATTTTTAATGATAATAATAAAATTCGATTAATTGCCATTGATAATATATCGGAATATTATTGGAATGATCGTGAAATTGAAATTGAACATTATACAATGAATACACATGTTATAAATATATTAAAAAAAATTCAACAAGCAACATTTTTACATAATGTTAAAACAATTTATATAAAACAAAATGATATTGATGTAAAACAAATGCGTACATTTTCACAAAATTTAAATGAAAATACAATACTTGGAGAAGCAAATTATAAAATTAATCTTTCTAAAAATTTAAATTCATCACAAGGAATATGTAAAGTTGATTCAATGAAAGGTTCTACAATAATTAATTACGAAACATGTGATATTGGAATAAAGTGGTTAAATTTTGATTAGAAAAAAATTTTTTTTTTTTATAAAAATAACCAGTTTTTATAATTACAGAATATTATTCAATTAAATAAAATGTAGGTAGAAAAAATTAATTTTGAGAATGTTTTTAAGAAAAAGAGAGTGATTTTCAATTTTTTTTTTGAAGATTTATTAATGAAGAAAATAAAAATACATTTTAGTAAATGTAAAAATTTACGAACGAGGTCGTTCCTTTTTCTCTTTATAGAGAGCCAATAAGGAAACGTTTGCTACCTTAACGACCTTAAATCTTACTCCGGGAATATCTCCCACGGCATGACCTTTTCTACCGAATCCAGCGACCAAAACTTCATCGTTTTCCTCAATATTATTGAGACAACCGTCCCGTGGTACGAATGCCGTAATTTTCTTTCCGTTTTTAATTAATTGTACTCTCACACATTTTCGAATGGCAGAGTTTGGCTGTTTTGCCTCTACACCACTGTAAAGAAAAAAAAAAATTAAATTATTTATGACAATTGTATTTTTAAAATTAAATTTAAACACAGATTTTTATTTTAAAAAAACTTGATAAAGAATTTTTATCTATTATGAAACTTTTAGTAAATTTAAAAAAAAAAAATTTAATAACGAATGTTATTTAGACAATAATCATAAAATACTCACACTTTTTCAAGAACAATTCCTTTTGCATGGGAAGCACCTCCGAAGGGATTGGCCTTCCATCTCGTTCCAAGATGAGCTTTTTTATAATCCTTATCGCACCAACGTTGGTCGCGTCTGTGATTCACGTGTTTACGGGCAGTACGAAGACCACGAGGTTTACCTAAAAAAAAAAAAACCAAAAATGTTTCATTATGTGTTTATCAAAATTTTCATCGAGAACATAACCTAAAAATTGATAATCCTTGTTTCCAAATGTCAAAAAAAAAACTAATTTCACAAAAGACTATTTCAAAACGAATAAAAAAAACATTCCCATCGATATTGATAAACTATAATAATAAAACCTAACCATGTACATAGTATACAAGAGAAATAATTACTACTAATAAAACCTAACCTTACTTTTAGTTCGTATTCAAATGTCACAAAAAAAAACAACTAATTTAATTAAAAACATTCCGTATAAAAAAAATGTATTTCAAATTAATTTAACGATTCTATTTATAATTATGCTTATTTTTGTTTTTATAAAATGTCAAAACAATTTATATGTGTAATAATGTCCACGCGGTGAGCACACATTTTTAATTTAACACTTTTCTCAAAAAAATAACAATTCTAAACAAATTATAACATTAGACCGTGTAATTAAAGTCACTTTTATCAAATTCTTTAAGAAAAACACATAAATTTTAACTAAAAACCATTAAAAAAAGGGAAAAATACAAAATAATGATCGAACACATACCCATCTTGGTGGCGGAAGTACAGGAAAAGAACTTTCGATAAATATCGAATGCTTCATCGATGGTGAAAATTTCATTCAACCGGAAATAGGGGAAATAATTCAAAAAAAAGAAATTTTATCAAACATTTATTTTTAATTAATATAAAAAAAAGAAGTTATTTATCAAATAATAAATTTTTAATTAAAATCTTTTATATTATTTTTATATAGGCACTATAAGATTTTGTTCTAAATTCCATAAAAATTTTAATAATAATTTACCGAAACATTCTCTAGGGAATTTGGGAAATTTTCAAAAAGAAATTTCCAACACTTTTAACACTACAATAACAAAGGTAGTCTGTCAAAAAGAAAAAGAGAGAGAAAAAAAAAAAAAAAAAGTCGAAACCGAAGACGTTTATAAAACTGTCACTTGAAATTCATAATAGTTGAAAAAGTGATGAGTTATTAATAATTATTGACTTTTTAACACGTAATGAAAATAACAGTGTATAGTGAATATGCTAAAAATATTATTTGTGCCCGATAAATATACAATATTAAACGATGAAGAGCTGACAATGTTTAGTTTATAGATTTAATACTATGATTTGACAATTGTTTTTATTCATAAGGTCGTTTTAATTAAGGAGAATGTTTAAAGCTGAGGAATCATCAAAAGGTAGTTTCCTTCAACAAACAAAAGCAGCGAGGGAAGAACGTGCCAATGAAAAAATTCGTGGAGAAGCAGCAACTTGCATTCAAGCACTTGTCAAAGGATGGCTGGCACGAATTAAATTCGCCAATTCAATTAGGTAAATAAATTATCTTGTTTACATTCTAATGTCAATTATTTATATATACAAATTTCTGTTTCTTGAATTTGATACAGAAAAATCAAAATCTTACTTAATTTTTAAATATATTTGTATATTAATTATTAATAAATTAAAATTTCACTTTCTTATCATTATTCCAATATTTAAAATAGTAAATAATAAAGATTAGATTGAAAACTTTCCATATCGATAATATTTATTTAAGAAAACGTAGATTTAATCCATTAAAAAAATAATTATTTGTTGTGTACTTCAAATAATAATAATAATAATAATAATAATAATGTTCGAATTAAAGAGACAGAATAGCAAATGACGCTAATTTTTAATCTTTTTAATTCATGATATGGTCAAAGAGCAAAAAAATAAGATTATATATAGTTATACAAAAATAACTATTAGTAATTTGAAATTTATAAATTTATTTAAAAAAAAAAAATCAAAAATTATTTTATAGAAATTATAAAATTTTTTTTTCCCCCCTTTTATATCCTATTTTTAAATTCTTTGACAATTACGCTATTAAAATTGTGTTTATTATTTTCAGAACACAATTTGATGACAATTTTGCAGATGAAAAATCTATTGATAATGAAATAAATGACGTTATCAAATTAAAACCAGCTTTACATATATACAAAATAATTTCTAGATTTTTAATTGTATATAAACAGGAGAAAGATCAGGAAAGAGTGGAAAAATTATGCAGGTATTTTTCCAAGAAAAAAAAAAATTTTTAATTAAATTTTTTTATATTGAAAACTTATTTTTCATTATTGTAATAATAATAATAATTATTTATTATAAATAATAATGAAAAAAATTTTCAGATATCTTGTGCAGTCAATTTTATCGGAATCACCGAAACTTTCTTACGTTGGTGTTGCATTAAATAAAGAGCATAACATATCATGGATCTCACAAATAAAAACAATTTTACATCATTGTATGTGTGGTTTAGAAAATCTTAAACCAGAAATTGTCACTGACAATAAATCAATTGTATTAAGATTACATACATTAATTAGTTTCACATCACCGAAAACATGGGCAATTCTTCATCTCAATGGAATGGAAAAACTCAAAACTGGAATGAATCAACTTTGTGCAAATATTATGGGACATCTAGTCAGCAATGGATTTTATAATATTATGCAAGTAAGAATTATAATTTTATTTAAAGCAAAAAATAATATAATAAAGTTTATTTTAAATATATTTTAAATATTTTAATAATTGAAGATAATTAAAATTTTTTTTATTTTAAATTTAAACAAAAATTTTGTATATTTGTATTTATTTTCAGGCTCTATTGGTTAGAAGTATGGCGAGAGAAAGTATTACATTAACGCCTGTTGAATTAACAGCTGTTATTACGTTAACATTTAGGCCTTTGATTTCATCTCAAATGTCTGATAAATTAGTTTCATTGTTTTTAATAAATATCCTTAGCGTTCCTTCATTGGTTTATCATTTAAATAAAGAAGATTTTGATAAGGTATATTATAAATCAAAAATTTATTAATAAATTCTCGAAAATTATCTTTTTTTTCAAATTAAAAATTCAATTTATCGATATTTTCTTTTTTTTTACAGTGTATTTCATTATTTACAACACATAATCTTCTATCGAGAAGTCTAGATTTATTAAATTCGGAACAAAATTTAAGGATAGTTTTTAATGCACTTGAAGGAAATTATGCATTATGTCTTTTAGCGAATTTAATTCAATTAGCAACAATCGAGAAGGAAGAAGTTTTAAAAGACGCCTATTTTCCATCTTTTACGGTATATTTATTGAAATAAACTAAATAAATTAATTTATTTAATTATTGTATTAATTTTGTTCTTTATTTTCTTTAGTTCGTTGTAACAAAAATGTTGGAGGCTTGTCAACAATATGTGGTAGCAAAAAAAAGTAATTTAACAAGTTGGCATCCAATTCTCGGATGGTTTGCCCAAAAAATCGATCCATCACTACCGAGTGTAATTCCATTTGTTAAATTACAATTATCTGAGCTTTGGACTGGAAAAATTGTTTCTCAATTATTTGGTAATATTCTTTAAAGTATTATTTATTCATTAATTTTAATGCAAATTCGTTATATTTACTTTTTTTAAAAAAAATAGGTCAACCATTAATGGAACTTGTTGAGAATGAATCACCTCCACAATTGGAACAACAAAGCACATCAGTGGGAACAAATATTTTTGTTCGTGCTTTTCTTGAAGCGAGGACAAACAGAACAAATAGTAATAAAAATTATCGTAAATTGGGAAGTCCTGAAACGACGAAAATAGCTTTAATATGTTCACTTTATCAGACTGCACTCGACACATTAACGGGAATTAAATTTGATATTTTAATAGGTATGTAAATTCAGAAAAAAAAAATTTTTTAAAAAGAAATAATTAATTTTTTTTTTTAATTAAGGTTTAAGCAGCGGTAAACTTTTATATCATATGTGGCTCTTTTTGGGAACTCTTGGCCCTCATTGTGGATTAAAGGCATTTCTCGATTTATTAGCAGCAAATACAAAATGTACAGCGCCAGAATTTCATATGTTAATATTATTTTGTGATTGCATGACGAATTATATTGCGTGAGTATTTTTCTTTCTATTTAAATTGTATAAACAATAATTATTTATAATTATCATAATAAAATTTATTATTGATTATTTAATTTTTCAGACTCTTGGACGATATGAATATGTATGAGACGCAGGATCCTTTTAAAATTTCGGATTTTATTACAATGTCCTATTTTCTTAATCAATTTCTTTATAAAGCAGTTCTAAACAATTTATTCGGTATGTGAAAAAATGTTACTCAACTTTTTTTTTAAATTTTTATTAGCTAAAAAAATAAATTAGTATGTATCTTTAAAATACAAAATATTTTTCGGTTTTTAATGTATTGTTTTTTTTTTTTTTTTTTTTTTTTTTTTGCAGATGGAAAATCAGTTGTTAATAATCCCTTATTTACATCATTGCATACTTTACTTATGACAATATATCGACGAGATTGTAGACGAACTTTTTGTCCAGATGGTCATTGGTTGGCAAAGTTAAGTACTTTTTTAAATCTTTTTTTTAAATGTTTTTTTTTCAAATTGTTTTTCCATAAATTTGAAATTTAATAATTTAATTAAAATAACAGAATGTTTAGTTTCCATTTTAAAATTGAAATAAAAAGAAAATTGATTTTTTTTTGTTTTTGAAATTGAAAGAAATAGAAGAATAATTATGTAAAATGAAACTTTGTAGTTATATTATGATTTTTTTTTTTTTTTTTTTTTTAAACAGGAGGTTCGAGTTTCAGGATTTCTTGCTGATTTAGAAAAAGGACGAAGAGGAGCGGCGCTACTTCTTTCGAAAATGCCTCACGTTATACCTCATTCTGAAAGAATTGTACTGTTTCGAAAACACATTGCTGATGAAAAAGCAGTACTTGGTTTAACCGAAAGTGCCTGTAATAGTCCTCCATCGACTCTAATTTCAGTTCATCGGTAAAATTAAACAATTATTTAATTCAAAATAATATTAATTATTAAATTCATTGAAAATTAAAAAATGAATTTTTAAGCTAAAAAAAGTTATAAAATTTAAATTGAATTTTGTCTGTGAAATAAATTTGAAAAATTGAAAATTAATTTATTTATATTGTTTTAAAATAATAAATTAATATTTCAGTTCAAGAATTGTAGAAGACGGTTATCGACAATTGGCAATGTTACCATCTCAGGCATTAAAAGGTGTAATAAGAGTTCGTTTTGTTAATGAACAAGGTTTGGACGAAGCTGGAATCGATCAGGATGGTGTGTTTAAGGAATTTCTCGAGGAAACAATTAAACGAGTCTTTGATCCGTCTTTAAATTTATTTAAAGCCACCAGTGAAAATAGACTTTATCCCTCGCCAACTTCCTCAATACAGGAAAATCATCTTTTACTTTTTGAATTTGTCGGACGAATGCTGGGAAAAGCTGTTTATGAAGTAACTATATTTTGATAATTTAATTATTATTTAAAAAAAAAAATTCTTATTGATGTTAAAAAAAATAAATAGTAAATATACGAAAATTACATTTTTTTTGCAGGGAATAGTCGTTGACGTACCGTTTGCTTCATTTTTTGTTTCACAATTTTCTGGCCAAACATGCGGTGCATTTTACAGTTATATCGATGAATTAGCATCACTCGATCGTGATTTGTATCGAAGTTTAACACTTGTGAAAAATTACAATGGCGATGTACAACAATTAGAATTATCATTTTCATTGGACGAGGATGTCATGGGAAAATTGGTTACACATGAATTAATACCTGGCGGTCGTGCAGAACCTGTTACTGATCAAAATAAAATTAATTACGTTCATTCAATGGCAAGATTTCGAATGGTGACACAAATTAAAGATCAAACATTTGCATTTATTAAAGGTTTTCGTTCAATTATCAATCCAGAATGGTTGTCACTTTTCTCAACACCTGAGGTTAATAATTAAAAATTATTATTTTAATTATAATTATTTTCTTTTTTCAAACATTTTTTAAATTAATTGTTTTGAATTTCAGTTACAAAGATTAATATCGGGCGATAATGTACCATTGGATCTTCGTGATTTACGAAGACATACTCAATATTATGGAGGTTTTCATGATAGTCATCGAGTGGTTTCTTGGTTGTGGGATATTTTAGAAAAAGACTTTTCCGAAGAAGAAAGAGGATTATTTCTCAAGGTATGCATTTTAATAACATTTTTGCAAATAATAAAATAATTTCTACAATTTAGAAAATATTACTCTATTTTTAATATTCATAAAATTGAAGTTAACATTAAAAAATTTTTATTTCCATTTTATATAGTTCGTAACTAGTTGTTCAAAATCACCGTTACTTGGTTTCGCTCATTTGGAACCTCCATTTTCAATAAGATGCGTTGAAGTTGGTGCTGATGAAGACACTGGTGATACGATAGGTAAAATTACTATTTCAAATTTTGAAAAGTAAAATTAATATTTTTAAAATTCAAATAAAATTCTATTTTACATTTTTTTTTTATCAAAAATCTTTTCTCTTTTTTTTTTAAAATAAATATAATTACTATTATAAATTATGAATATTATGATAATTTTTTATTATTCATAATTTTTATTATCATTTTTTATTTCAGGCAGTATAATTAGGGCATTTTTCACAATTCGCAAAAAGGATCCACAAAATAGATTGCCCACATCCTCGACGTGTTTCAATCTTCTGAAATTGCCAAATTATCAGAAAAAAAGTACTTTAAGGGAAAAATTACGATACGCTGTTACAAGCAATACAGGTTTTGAACTTTCGTAATTAATTCTCTTTAAATATAACGCTATAGCTGTGAAAACCAAAAAAAAAAAGAAAACAAAAAATTGCAAATTAATAACAAATATATATGTAAAATATCAAATAGAATATATTATATATATATATATATAATTCAGGTGCATATTGCGAAAAATTGTGACTCTGATGATTTTAAACATAAGTAAAATTTTTAAAATATATTTCTTAGAATGAAAAATTAATTTTATGTATAGATTGCAATATTACATAAAAATATATATTATATAATAAATAACAGTGATATTCAGGAGACTATATATTTGAAAAATGACTATATAAATATTCTAATTCTAAAGAAGGAATTGATGGTCGTAATATATTTAAACAAAATGTCTGAAGTAAATTTTTCTTCTTAATAAAATTTAATTTTTACATGGAATGATCAGAAAATAAAAAAACGAGTGTTCAAAATTAACTACAGTCTATAAATTTTAATTTCAATTAACTGTTGTTAATTTTAATAATAGTATATTTGTTTTCCGATCATTGCGCATCTTTAATAATATATACGAGAAAAGTTGGACGCACAATCATAATATGTACAGACTGTATTTCTATTTCTTCAGTAAGTTTAGAAATTAAAAAAAAAATAAATATATATATAATCCTATTTTTAGAAGACAAAGAATTTGTAAATTTAGTCATTTTTATTATTAATTTTCTCTGCGCTTTTTTTTTAGCGTTTAATGCAAATTTATATTGTATATGATTCATTTTAATGGTTTACATATGAATTGAAAAAAATGAATAATTTTTTTTTTATAAATTTATAAAAGTTAAGGAATGTAAAAAAGTTTCTATTTTTATTTAAATGGATAATTAAAATTAATTTAATTATGTGAAATTATTTGCCATTATTATATATTTATACTATAACATGTGGGGGATAATTTAAAAAATGTATTTATTTAAATCGCAAAAATATCATATTTTGTTATTAAAACCAATTATATTATTGGGATGTTTAAAAAAAAAAAAATTCTATAAAAAAAAGTAATTTAATGTTTTATATGTAAGAACTTAATAATTATGTAAATACGTTAATAAAATATACGAAGACTTTATTTTTATTCAACATATCCTATAAATATAGAAAAAAAAAGTTTTTTATGCGCTTTTTATATCAAAACAATTTCAAAATCGACTTTAAAAAAAAAAATTGGCACAAAAATAATCGAAAACGACTCTAAATTTGAATTTAAAAAATAATTTCTATTAACGCTATTTATAATTAATTTAATTATTTTATTACTAGTAATTAGTCTTTTTTAACTAATAACTAGTTATTTTTTTCTACTAATTAATTAGCCAATATTTTATTTAAAAATTATTGGACAAGTTTTTCAGAATACGAAAAATTATTTGGCGCCAAAAGTTACAACATGGAAATAATTTTTTTTTCTGTTGGCAACAATGAAAAGAAAGAAATTAACAATAAATTTCCAGTAAATATAAAAACTTATGGATAATATAACAAGTAGAGTAAAGAAAGTGTCAAGAGTAGGATAATATTGAAGATAATTATTGGAAAAAGATGAATTTGTATGAAAATAATGGAAAGACAATGAGGTCGACGGACTTGATGATTGGTCATTGTCGTTGTCGTCATCGAAGTATCAAGGTACTTATACATTCTATGGTTGTGTTGAATGCGCAATGATATAGTGCGCACGTCACGTGACCCCCACCCAGTGCTGCCAGTGGCTAATCCTTTAGTCAAAATCCAGCCAAGTTAAAGTCAGTGGCCAGAAAGCCTTCGGTGAATAAAGTGTTGTGATTTTCGCTCGTGGAAAATCTCCACCCGCGTCTCCCCGAGCTTGCAGACTCCCTCCTTTTTGAGTGCGTTTGCTTGACCTTTATTGAAAATTGAACACTCAAACTCCGTAAGGACAGATCTCATTGTTCTCTGCCACGCAACTATTCCCCATACCCCTAGAATTTTGTGTTTCTTTTTTTTTTTTTTGTTCTCTCCGTGTTAACATTACTTTGTGAGGATTCTATACATATATATATATATACAGTGATTGCTGCTGCACAGCTGAGTGAATGCGACAAAGAAAAAGAGAGAGTGAGTAAACCGAATAACGTGGTGAACCTAACCTATAAAAAGTGTTTCGCGATAATGAGAAGATAAAAAGTGACTGAAATAAAAATTAAACGACTTGACTTCTCTTTCCCCTTATATACGTGAATCTTTAAAATACGTATATTTCTTTATGAGGGCAGTGTCAAAGTGAAACGGAATAAAAAGAAAATTCATGATTTTTGTTGTGTGATGCCAATTGAGAAGGAGGACATTGCTCCTTTCGGCAATGATAAGCGAGTGGAGCAGACGACATCGAAGTAAACGAGTTTCTTGAGGGCTGGCACACGCGATGCTGGAAAGAGAAGGTCGACAAGAAGGAAGGAAAATGTTTCAAGAGTAATAAAAAGAAAAAAAAAGGGGTAACAAAGCGTCAAGTGCACGTGGGCCTTATGAAGACCAATATAATAGGGATCAGTTTTTAGTTAATTGAATTTGTGTATGTGTGTGTTTGTGTTCTTGTTTTGTTGAGAAAGTTAAAAGAAGCTAGAGATTTCGGGTTTGAGTTGCGTCGACGTTTACAAGAAGTGAATAAAAGCAAGAGAAAAACGGGTCGCGTTTGGGAAAAAAAAAAAAAAAAGTTTTTGAAAAGTGAACGAAAGTGAAGTTTCGAGTTAATTTTTTGAGGTTTTTGGTGGTAGGAAGCGAGACGAAGTGAGTTAAATAGAAAGAGAGGAGAAGATTGGTGGCCAGTGCTTAGGGGGGGCCTTAGGGAGGATTTGATGGCAGTAGTGGGGCCAAGTCGGCACTCGCGAGTGTCCATGAGTGTGTCTATGTCGCTGATGCAGGGCGGCGGGGCGGGGGCGTCTGGTGGTGGGGCAACGGGGGCCCACCCGGGTCAAGCGGTATTGGCAGCCGCTGCAGCAGCGGCTGCGGCCCAGGCGCCCCCCACCTACTATCATCCAGCGGCCCCAGCACCCCCTCCACCGGCCCAGGATCCCGTCCAACCTGACCGACCCATCGGCTACGGGGCCTTCGGAGTTGTCTGGTAAGTTTCACATTCAAATACATACATATACACATATACTATATATATTTTAACAGACATGACCTATGTTTTGTGTGCGAGAGAAATGTTTCGCTTCTGCGAATATCACATTTCGTTTTAATTTTATATCATAAAATTTTTTGATGAATGGAAAAGTGTTTGGAAAACTAATACGATAATATATTGAAAGAAATGTTTTGACTTAAAAAAAAAGAAGCCAAAAGTTTTGAACGTTCAAATGAACAAAAAATTTTTTTTTAACTTCTTTAAGTACGAATTTTATTACAAAATATTGTTTAAAATATATAAAAAGAAGTTATTAATTTAATATTTGTTTAATTTACTGTTTTATTTTACATTGACATTATAATTTCTAATAATTTATAGATTGAAAGAAATATTTTGTTCATTTGAACGTTCAAAACTTTTGACTCATAAAAAAAAAAAAATTCTCACACTTAATATGTGACGCGCTCTGAAGAAAGGGGACCTTAGAAGCAAAAAAAAATTATAGGTTATGTTTTCAAATTTTGAAGTAAAAATACACATCGACTTTCAATACAAATTATTATTATTATTATTATTATTATTATTATTATTATTATTTAAGTATCTATTACCTTAAAAAATATTCAATAAAAACTGATTTTAATTTTACATTTAAAAAAACTTAAGCTAAAAAATAACCTTTAATTCGTTTGCTTCTAAGGTCTCTTTCTTCAGTGCGCGTTACAATTTTTAAAATGTTTTTGTCAACTTTTTACAAACATCTTAACTGTCCAATATAATTTATATTTAAGAAAGGAAAAAGAAAGGATGGAAATAAATTGTAGGTTATGTTTATAACAGTTTTATTTAGATTAAATTTTTTTTTTTGTTTCTAATTTAAAAAATTAAAATTCTCATTTTTATGGATTATTATTTTATAACGAAAATTTAAACATCAGTTTTTGCATTATTTTCACTTTGTATATTTTTATTTTAAAATATAACCTATAATTTTTTTTTTGCCTCTAAGATTTCTTTGGGACGCGTCACTAAGGTGTCCACATTTTACACCCACTTGGAAAGATTCCCAGAAAATTTCCCTCTGGAGATTCCATCAAAATTCCGTCGGAACTTTTAATGGAATTTCGACATAATTCCGATGAGATTCCGACGGAATTCCAACGAAAATTCAATTTTTTTAATCTTTTGAGTCATACACTAAGATAAGATTTCATAAAAAATAAATTTTTTTTAGTAAAGTTTCTATTAAAAAAATTCTATTTTATAATAATAATAATAATAATTTTCTTCCCTCACAACAAAAGGATATCCTAAACTAATGTAGGATATCCTGAAAACGTCCATAGGATATCCTGAGGATATCCTCAGAACATCCAAACCGCCGTTACGTAGGTTATTTTTGGGATATCCTCGGGATATACTTAGGATATTCCAGGGATATCCTAGTGATATCGTGGGGATATTCTTGGGATAAACTTGGTATATCGTTAAAATATTCTAGAAATATCGCTAAGATCTCCCTAGGATATCATTATGATTCAAATTTTGACTATTTGAGATAGCGATTTTTTGATATCCTTAGGACGTCCTAAGGACATCCCTAATTATTCCAGGGATATCCTTGGGATATCCTTAGGACGTCCTGAGGATATCCTTGGGACGTTGTAAGGATATCCACAGGATATCCTAATAATATCCGGGGAAATGATGAAAATATCCCTGGGACGTCCTAGGGACATCCTTAGATATCCCTAGGATATCCTAACCGCCGCTACTTTGGATATCCTTAAAGTATCCTTAGGATATCCAAGAGATGTTTTTGGAATATCCTAGGATATCTGGTGCTGTGAGGGTTAATGTAGAACTTTAAAAATTAAAAAAGAATTAATCGGAATCTCATCGGAAATTTTTTTCAAATTCCGATGAAATTTCGTCGAAAGTTCCGACGGAATTCTGATGGAATCTCCAGGGGGCAATTTTCGGGGAATCTTTCCAAGTAGCCAGTGATATATACCTTTTTCTTATATTAAAATTCTTTTAACAAATAATCTTTCATAAAACGGTTTAATTATCAAAATAGGTTCGCCTTTATGTTATAGTGATGTATATAAAATATTAGGAAATTGATTTTTCTTTGTTAGGGTCCAAAACAGCAGCGTTATGAAAATTATTTTCGAAGTGTGACCGTAACGGTCGTTTAAAAAGTTTTCTTTGACTGAAACCAAATTTATTCTCTCCCTAGCAATTTGTGTGAAACGGTGTTCTTTTTTTGTGACTTATTGTTCTATCATTTCTCGTGAGTTTTTTTTTAAATTATAAAAATAATTAAGTACACTCACTGAAAAAAAATTCTAGTTAGAATAACCAGAATTCTGGTTAGGGTATATTTAACATTTTGATTATGGTTAGGTTAACCAGAATTCTGGTTATTTTAACGAGAATTCTAGTTAATTCAACTAGAATTCTGGTTAACATAATTAGAAAGTAATGTTAAATATAGCCTAACCAGAATTTTTTTTCTAGTGCTGAAAAAAATGGTATGGTCCGAGCAATCAAATGTTCGGTTAGTACAACCAAACTTTGGTTAGGCTATAACCAAACAATTCGGTTGGCACAACCAAAGTTTGTTTATACTGACAAAACATTTTTTTCCAGTGTATTAATTTTGTAAATTTTTTAATAATTAGCAATGATTCTGAATTCTTCTGGCTATTCCAGTTGATATGATGAAACTGTATGAGAACAAAAGAATATAATAGGGTAGTTAGTTGAAAGTTTCATTGTTCTTTAGTCTACTTCTCTCTTTAGTTCAAACTTGTCTTAGAAAAAGAGTCGGCAAACTTTTTTAAAACTTTAGATTACTGTGTATGTGAATAAATATACGCATATTCGTTTAACTATATATTGAATTTGTACACGGAAAAAATTAATTCAGTATATTTTACAAAACTGTGACGGAGTAGCGGATACAGCTCTTTACGAAACAGAGTTTTGTAAAATGTGTTGGATATTTTCGGATAAACTACAGAAATTTCATTGTTTATACTGAATATTTCTGAAGTTTATCCTGAATATTTAGTGACATTTTACAACACTCAGTTTCGTAAAGAGCTGTATCCGCTACTCCGTGATAGTTCTGTAAAATCTACTGAATTAATTTTTTCCGTGTATTCTATTGAATACTCTTGTTAGGGTATCTTTTAGTATATCAATTTGGTATTGACTTTTAAATTAACTGTCTGTATTCTCAATATTTTCGCTTTCGTACATGTATTTCATTAAAGTTTATAATTAATTTTGATGAGAGAGCCTTCAAAAATGTGCGATATGTGAACAAAAGAGACTATTACGTTCACTGACTTGATGGGGTTTTGTATTGTCTGCATATTAGGTTTTTTATTGTTATTTGATGCCCACTTTTAAACGTAGGAGTTTAAAATGTTAAAAAAAAAAAAAAATAACGACGTGGTTAGTCACCCTAATTCAATTTGTGGTCCAAGGAGCGTTTCGTTTATGCGGTGGAACAGACGTTGAGCGTAGCACATCACCAACAATGTCTTCGTTTCCAAATACGTATATATTAGGCACTAAAGTTTGGCTCTGGTTTTAGTTCAGCGTACCCTGAAAGTCGTCTGACGAGTATTAGGTGGGCCCCGAGAGTGAAGTGAATGGCCTCCATCGATTTATCTATCCAGGGATCGGGGCTTTTTACGCGTGACAAAAAAAAATGAACACAGCCTGCTGCTGGCACGGGACATGCAATAGTATATGTATATATATATATATATATTTTATATGTATAGTATTGCCACATATAAACAGAGAATATGGCCAACGGGTAGTTTTATATCTATGCCAGTGTGTCTATCTGTCTGTACAATTGTAATTTATGTGCAACATCTCACGAATAATATATTTCTGCATCGACAAAACCTTGCGGCGAGAGAGTCTTTTCCTTCTCTCAGTCCGCGTGTGTGGAAGGCGGTACAAATCTTGAATTCATGTCAAGAGATCGCAACCTCGACCTCGAAAAGCTCTAGCTTTTCTCACTTGAAAATGATTTCATCTTGATACAATTCATCATGGTGTTCGCTGCGCGAATATACGGGGAAAACATTTGGACGTTGATCTAAACTGATTTTCAGATTAGAGAATAGTGATAACAGTTTTGTAGCTTTGATTTTACGTTAATGATACTGGAACATTTTTTTACAGAATAGGTTTAACATTTATTGATGTTTTTAATTTTAGAGATTAACCGTATAGGTCAAAAAACTAATAGAAGCAATGGATTTTACAATTGCAAAACGTTTAACAATTAGTTAAACGTTCGTTTTATATATATATATATATAGGTATATGTATAGAAGTGTACGAGAAACGTTTATACAAAGAGAAATGCGTCTCAATTCCAACAAAGTTTCTACTTTAACTAAGCAGTTCAGAGAGCTTGCCAGATATTTCCACATGCGAGTAATTTGACGTAATCTTGCAAATGAGCACTTACATTTATTTGCTAGACAACTATATATAGGTTCAACAGGAGTAATTTTGAAATACAAAATACATGATTTTTTTATTCTCTTCTTCATAAAAAATCCAAAGTACGTTAAAAAATTAACTATATTCAGTTTGTAGGAACATTCTTCTAAAGTTATCTTTGAAAATTTTACTGTACGTAAAATTAAATTATGGTTATTTTATCATTACAAGTTCTTTTCATGATTAAACAGTGGGAATAACAGGATGAAAATCTGCATTAGCGTGTTATTATACTATTCTGCTATGTAGTTACACCAATTTTTTTTTTTTTAAGTTTGTGAAAACACTTTTCCGTATCATTTATTTTATCGAACGTATATCTGTGAGTGTCCATATGGTTTATTTATTGAGACAACCTGCGAGGTATGATAAGACTGTCATACGTCCCTTATTTAGTCGATATACTGTCTTCTATGTGCGTAGGTGTTACTATAAATAAATATTTTTTA